CCTCACTGGCAATTGCAAGAGGCGACAAATGTCATGCCTCGACGGTTTGTGTTTTTGGTCGGAGCGCGCTGCGCCGCACGGAAAGCCGCAGCGAGTCGAGCGGGGAGAGGCAGGATGCGCACACGTTCCGACCTTTGAAGAGAACCAGCACTCTATACCTGCACCATCACTCACACGATGGAGCCGGTACACAAATGTACAGCATTCCTTGTTTTCTTCACTGTTTTATACAGCAAGTAGCATTACAATCTACAGTGTGTAATGATGCTTTGATATGACATCATTAAGCTGTCATGTCAGTTTGCATTATCGCGCATGTCCGACACGAGCGGCAATCTCCGCAGCCTCGTGGAGGTTGTCATGGTACCTCACTGCTACCACGACGAGAAAGAAGATCTGTGGTACGATGGCTCCGAGCGTATGGCAATCCATGGCGTCGACGTCGTCTGGCCGCTCGCGCCTGCGCAGGCGGCGTCCTTGCTGGAAGCAAGCCCCGACAAAGCGACGCTCTTCCTCCCGCCGTCGGCCATCTCTTCGAGCCTCTACCTCGACCACAAGAAATATTCTCGGAACAACACTGTTTATGGATTGAAGCCCTCCGCGGGACACGTCTACGACTTTGCGCATTTCGCGATCGATGCCGTCGGGTCGGCATCGGCTCTGGTGCCGACTCCTGCTTCGACACCGGGAACGTTTGCGACGCTGCTCTACTTTGTGCCGTCCGACTGCATTGGCGGTGCCGTCACCATCACGTACGAAGACCAGACAACGACGTACGAGGCACGTGGCGGACACTCCGTCGTCTTCTTCAACACGTGTCACGTCTCGGTCGCACCGATCACATGGGGCACCCGCGGCATCTTTGTGCACCGCGTGAGCTACGAGGACTATGCCAGCAGATACATGTACGGCTTGCGCTTGGTGCCACCGCCGCTGCCGTCCAAGGCCGACATTGACGACGCGATCGAGATGCTGGTCGACCAAGAGTACTGCGTCGTCCACGTTGAGCTTGAAACGCGGACCACCGCGCCACAGTATGCGACGCTGACGGGTCGTGACAAGGCGGTCGTCGAATGGCTTCTTGCGGCGGAAATCTTTGACATGGCGTTCATCACGGTGAACGATGCGACGACGAGCCATCGTTGGATCCCGCCAACGGGGACAACCGATGGCCGATGGGTAAAGAACGATGGCTCGGACCGCGGGAAGACCATGCGGAAGCTACCCGACGTCTTCCATCCGCAGTGCGTGACGCCATCGCGTCTCCAAACCGCGTGGCCCTTCCGCCCGATCGCGTACTTTATCGAGGAAGACACGATCGACATTGCCGATGACGACGCGAGCGACATTGCCGATGACGACGCGAGCGACAGTGACGATGACGACGCGAGCGACAGTGACGATGAGGACAATCGTCCAGTCCCAGTCTGCCTTGTCTTTTGGCCCAAAGCGCTCCGCTTGTCGCTGCTCGGTCTTGTACGCACCGTCGCTTTGCTGCGTGATCACGTCGACGGGTCGTGCTCGGACGACTTTGGGTTCGGGTCTACCCAAGCGCTCTTTGAAGCCGCTGTGCGCTTCTTCACTGGTGCCGAGCCCGGTCCGGCGCAGCTCAATCGCTCGAGTCGGTTGGCCATGGCAAACGTCCTCTTTGACTATGGCGACCGCGCGCTCATGGCGGACTATCTGAGCGGCATGCGATGGGACGAGCACGATGTCGCTATCGTGCCGTGGGTGGTCTCGGTCGTCCGCCGCTTTGGCTTGCCGGCCATGACGGACGCTTTTAGCCGCCTGGACGTTCAGACGTCCGGTTCGTTCTGGCGCAAGGTCCTTGAAGGCATCCGTGCTGACACGCCGTCGTGTGAGCGCGACGTGTACGAGATGGCATCTCGTTGGTGGACCAGCGCACTGAAATGGAATGGAATGCCTGTGGACGGTATCCAGCTCGCGGGGTGGCTCTATGAAAACAACCTGGCGCCGAGTACGCGCGCTCTTTTGTCGGCGCGTCTGCCGGCCGATGTCGTCGACAATATCGTCGTCATGACGATCGACGTGGCACCGCTCGTGCAACGATTCAAATACGAACGCGGGCTACCGGTTGCCTTGTGGTCACTGCGTGCGACGCCGCTGCCACGCCCACTGCACGACGCCTACCTCGACTACGCGCTGCAACTCCACAAAAGTGATGTTGACTACTACGACGAGGCCGCTGCTTGCTTGCTCTTGCTGACCATTGGGACCTGCAGATTTGAGGCCGCCGATGCCATTGCGTCGACACGTCGTACGAACGCCACGTTCCAGCAAACGCTAGGAAAGCTGCGCAAGCAAGGTCCACTCACTGCGGCGCAAGAACTGATCCTCGACGACTATCTCCAAAGCAAATAGGGGTCGCTCGTTTAAACTTTTGTCAACACAGATACGAGTATGCATTGTCAGTCTACCCAAGCTCGAAACACATCATGAGCATGCCGTCAACAAACGATACACTGTTTCTGCATTCGAGAAGATAGAATGAATCAAATTACGACGCTAGCACGTGCTGGCGAGGTCCATGGTCGGCCCGAGCAACACATTCTGGCCCGCAATCTCGCGAAGCGTCTCGAGAGCCCTACGAAGTCCTCTCCAAATACGATGGACAATTTAAGATACCGTACGTGGGAGGAACGGGCAGCACCAGCAGCATCGAATGGAGGCGTTCGTAGACCAGACCTTTGGAAATCAAACGACCTTGGTACTCGAAACAACTCTCCGTGCGGGAGTTCCAGGGCCCTAGACAGATACGTCATCCCTCGGTCGCCTGCAGTCTGCGTACCGTCAAGCAGCGTCACGACCGCTGCGACCAGCGTGCCAAGCTTGTCTCGGACTTGTGGGTCCTTGGACTCGAAAAGGAATGGATCCAAGAGCGTTTCCGTCAAGACGGGCAGTTGACACAGCAGCTGACGACAGCCCATGGGACTCGTGCCTTGGATCATCGTCACAAGCAGCTCCATCGCGGGCTGATGGCGCAAGACAGGCGTCTCGCCACGCAAGTACGGCAACAGCAGTGGCACATAGGTCGACGGCTGCGCAAAGCGTCCGCAGCACTCGCCCACGATGCGTAATGTCGGTGCAATCTCCACATCGTGCCAATTCGCCGTCAAATGCGCCACCAAGTGGTGCAAGTCGACCGTGATCGTGTCTTCGCAGTAGACGAGAAGGCACAGCAGCAGTCGCGCGGCATGCATCCGCTGGGGCCTTGCCAATGCGAGAGTTCTCGCAGCAGCGTCTATACGCCACGATGGCATCATCGATCGATCGTGCAGACAGGCGTACGTTGATGAACCGACGGCAACGACCGCGAATGTACAAGCGCGTCCCAAGGCTCGGGCGGCCGGGAAAGGGCGATGGGTACGGCGCCTCAAAGTTGCAAAAGGCACTGCCGTCCACGGCGTACTGCGTTCGTTCAATCACCTAGCCGCAGCATTTAGCGTCCTACGCCCACACCGCGTCGAGGCGAGACATCGTCCGGGTGTTCCAAGGCATAGCGCTTGCCCAAAGCCTCGATCGTCGCCATGGCTAGTTGTGAGATCTCGGCGCACTCGTCCGCAACCGCACTAGCCTTTCCATGTGAGCTTGTGCACACGGATAAGGAAAGAAAAATGGACCTTAGCAAGTAGGGCATGAGTCGCGGCTCGTGGTCGTACCGGTCCGGGAGGTGCGTGAGCCACGCCATGATGGTCTCGTAGAACGCGCGTCGGACGCTAACGTTGGCGTCTTGGTCGAGCTTGGCGAAGACATTGACCTTGACCTCGTGCGTGTAAAAGGCCGAGACCGGGATGATGTTTTCGTCTTGGTACGCGACAAGGTCGGCGATCGCTTCGGTGCCACTGCCCTTGCATTTCTCGACGTTGGGCACCATGACGAGGTCTCGGATGCAGCGCATGGCGGCGACGCGGACACGCGCCATGCGGTGTTCGAGCAAGTGCTTGCACGCGCGAACCAACGCGACGCTAAAGTGCTTAAGCACCGAGACCATGTTGTGCGACAGGGGCACCAGCGCGTCACACGAGCGGATCGCAACGTCCGGGCAGTGGTCGTGGACGCCGAGGACGAGAACACAGAGGATGTCGTAGACGTACGCGTTGAGAAGCGACGACGCTTGCTGTGCAAAGAGCACCTCGAGCAGCGTGTGCAGGAGCGTGATCAAGTGACCGCGGACTTCCTCGGAGGGTTCGCGTGGCTTCTTGTACGGGCCGACGTCAGCCTCGGGGACGAAGATGCGACCGCGCTCGTGGGCAGCTCGCAGTGTCTCGCTCGCGATAAACACTTGGAGCTTTTCGTCAAAGCTCCATGGACTACCGAGGCGCGTGACGACGGCTGGCATGAGGTACGGCAGGATCGGAAGCAGGTTGTCGTGGTGTAAGAGGAACGTGGTCGTGAGCTGGATGCTCGTATCGCGCACCTTCTCGACGGGATCGTTGAAGCGCTTGAAGAGCGGCTTGGCAAAGGACGGGAAGAGTGCGGGGAGGATTGAGGGCGGCGCGGCCGCGACGACGGCCGATAGCACCGATATCGCCCGCTTGCGCACGCCTTGTTGCTCGTCGCTGAGGCAGTTGAGATCGCGCTGGTGTTTGATGAGGATGTCGTCGGCCGTGAGCGTCATGGCGGCCACGTCGTCGCCGAGCTCGTCGAGGTCGCCGTCACGGCTTGTCTCGTCGGCCGTCGTGACCTCGATGGACCGAGCTGCATCTTCTTTCGCCATCGCCATGGCCGTAAGCGGCTTCTTGGCCTTCTTGGCCTTCGTGCTCGGAGCATCTTTCGGGGGCTTGGCGCGGAAGGCCACGGGGCGGACGTCGTTCTCGCGCTTCATCGCGGCCCAGACCTCGTCCATGCTGCTCATGGCTCTTCAAAAGATCGTATTTCTACGTTGTAACACTCGTCGTATAACGTCGAAGAAGTGTTATACCACTTGTGAGAAGAAAACCGCTGTTTGAGTTGGAACAGCGTTTTTAACAGTGGATTGAAATGCACGTGAGCACCAGTATGGATCGCAGCGCAGGTGTGACTCAGTGCGCCGACAACACAGTACAACTATATTAGCATGCACTACGTCCTCTCAAGCGTGACAGAGGACGTTGCTTGAGCGTTGCTGCCTGTACTCCAGTCGGGGTATCGCCGCCAGAAGATTCATATTCTGCTATCATTTCGACATTTCGACAATGCAAGACACTGTTTTCCGGCAATCAACGAATTGGAGTGTTGGAGTATTGGGGTATGGGCTTTAATGGCTTTTTGGTATATTAAAAGTGGCCTTATTGGACATTAGGGCGTCGTCGACTGGACAACATGTCTGGGATCCTGTGCAAAGACAACGCAGGTCCTTCGAGTGATGGGCAACCGTCGTGCACGCATACTTGGGTTTTGTATCGGGATCGAGGAGCATGTTTTATTGGCCAAAACCAATACTCGAAGGCCATTGGTGCAAATAAAATCAGATGGCAGGCGATTGGCTAAAAGTCGGGGGAGTAGACAAGCACGGATGAGCGGCAAGCCGTGGGAAGAGACGCTTCGCTACAAGGGCGCGACCGAGGGCCGGACGCCCGACCAACCGCCAGACGCCAGCGCGACGCCACCTCCTGCGGCCGAAGCCATGGAGGCGCCGCGCCCAGAAGCGTCGGCTAGCAGCGCAGCGGCGGCATCGCGCATTGAGCAGTTTCTCGCGTGGCGCGCACGCAAGGACGGGCTCGGCGCCAAGCCGCTGATCACGGACGTACCGCTCAAGATCAAGAGCTCGTTCAAGCCCGACGACCCGGCGGTCATTCGCCGCAAGCACGACGACCGGCTCTCGGCGACCTACAAGGCGTTCTTGGCCGCCCATGCGCCGCCGCCCGCCGAGGCCAACAACAACAACACTGCGGTCGACACGGAGGCGCCATCGTCAATCACGGCCACGTTCGAGAGCCCGCCCGTGCACGCACGATCCAAGGGCAAGCGGACGCCCAAGGCACGACACAACTTGTTTGCTGCGCCGCGCAAGTCGGCGAAAGGCCGAGCGCACCTCCAGAGGAGCACGTCCAAGCCATCGGCATCGGACGCGTTCGACGACTTGCCGCCGACGCCACCGAGCCGCAAGAAGGTTGCGATCAAGCTAAACTTTGACTCGCCCGAAGACGACAGCAGTGACGACAACAACCAACGCTCGGTTACCAGCGACGAAAGCCCGACTGCACTTTACAACGATACGGACACGGAGACTGCGGGTCCTGTGCCAGAGCCTGTCTTGCCGCCTGTCTTGCCGCCGGTCGTGCACACCGTGGACAAGCCGGCGACGCCGTCCTTGCCTGCGACCGAGGCATTTAGCACCGAGACGACGACCGCCTCCTTGCTCAAGGACGCACCGCGGCAACCATCCTCCATGTCGATACGCGAGGTCCTTGCCCGCATCCTGCTCTCGGTGCTGTGCCTTGGCCTTGGTGTTGTCTCGCTCCAGTACCAAGAACAGTGTGGCACCATGTTGCGCATGCGCGTCGAGCAGCTCTTTCACGATGCGTCCGACGTCGCGCAGTATGCTGTGGAGCTCAACACCAAAGCTTCGTCGGTCGCGTCCTCGACGCGTGCTCAGTTGGATGCGTGGACGAGCGAGTGGACGTCAACGTCCACCGCGCTTGTCGAGCAGCAGGCGTCGGCGCGCGCCGAGATCGTTGCCGTCAACGAGGCGACGGCGACTGAGATCCACGCCGCCCTCGGCGCCGCCGTCGAGGCCTTCCGAGCGACCATCACTGCGTCGGTGGAGGCGCATGCGCGCGACGTGGCGACGCTCCCAGAGACACCGTCGCTGCCCGAGATCGTCACGGCGATCGCCCACGAGGTCGACACGAGTCGCGCCACGCTCCAGTCGGCTGTTAAGACGTACACAGACCGTGCACGCCACAGCGACGCTTTGGCCGACGATATGGCGCACTGGTCCAACCAAGTGCACGCACTGAATGTGACGCTTCTCGCCGAGAAGGAAGTTAGGACGCAAGCGCCACCAACGCCGTCAGAGCCGCTGCCGTCGACGGCGTGGGATGCCAACGACTACTACGTGCTGAGTGTTGTGCTGCTGTCGTCCCTCGTTGTGTATGGCATTTGGCGCCACTTTCTCGAGCCGGATGCGCGCGCGAATGACGACACAGACAACGTCATGAACGGCGATGACGACAATGACGATGACGGCGTTGTCTTTATCCCCAAGCGAAGCAGTGTACCGACCACGTCGTCTTGCTCGTCCATGGAGGTGCGTCAAATGGGATGGGATCGTGATGGCGGCTGAGGAAGAGGTGTAGAGGACGCCACAAGTGTCGCGCGTGCCGGACGTGACGCCTGCCGACATGGTACTCTAGAGATCGACTCGGCAATGCAGCTGATGGCGTCCTATAGGCGTCGCCGCAGCGTCTTCGCACGCTGCGGGCAAATCGATCGACGACGACGCAGATGACGATGGCCGTTCCCGAATGAAACTACATTTGGACCATAGGACTACCGACACCTCGTATCGATGTACAGTCGTATTTAGATGTCTCTTGTCAGGGAGATATGCCAGCTTTATGGAATGTGCAGAGAACTACTCTGTGGTACGATGCAGGAAGGACCGTGTGCGTGTGCCATTAACAGGGCGCTGGTTGTATGCCAAGCAGCGCAATTGGGGGCAAGCACTTGGGGCCAACTATTATCATCCGAGGTAGTAGTACAAGTAGAGCCCCACTGACGTACAAGGTTTGAGTAGGCATGTGAATATTCTTGCAGTCGGTCACTGCGACACCCGTTCGATCGACACGTCCAGTAGCAAAAGTACTCGATTCGCTCGACCAGCATCCTCGACGTAAAGAACGCTGGGTAACTGTTTCTAGTATGGTCGAATCGATCAATCGCGCGTCTGCAGATCGGTAAAAAGAGCGATCGCAGCCCGCACTACACTCCTAGTGTGGCCACAATCGACTGATCACACGGATGATCACGATGGATCCTGTAGACGTAACTTTGTAGGGGTCGTGCAATAGAATGACTGGACTGTATTGTTTAAAACACTAGGACGGTGGCGGATGGTCTCCCACGTGGCGCGACAACGTGCTGCACACATGTCTCCGCCAATCATAAGACGGGACACATGTAACCGCCAATCAAAAGATGTTGGCGCCTTTCCCACTTTGCCTTTTGCGATGGACAGCTCAAACGACGACGAGCGGCAGCAAGACCGCAAGGTACGAGGACCCCCTTGGAAGCGGCATCCATTGAGAGTGTACTACATGCGTCTAGAACGCAGTGCTAACGTGGCTCAAGGACCTCGATGCGGGCGCCAAAGTTCCAGACACGATGGATGTGCGCGGCGCACTCGACGACGTACAATCAAATCCTGTCCACAAGGTTGTCACTTCAGCCGTTACTGTAGTCGGGCTCCACGGCACTGCACCTTGCTGCTGCTCACGGAAACCTTGTTGGCTTGCGGCTGCTTGCGGCGCGCGTGCCTTCCGTTGACCTATTAAACAATGTAGCGATGCATACCGATTTCTATATCGGCTCATTCTCTGCTAGAATGCCTGGACGCCACTGTACGCTGCCATTATGGAGAAGAACCAAGAGGCCGCGCTGATGCTGCTCGAGCTCGGTGCCAGTCCCAACGGCCCCACACACGTTCGTGTCTTAAATCGATCCTTTGTTTGACACTTTCCCCATGGGGATGTAGGAGGCACCATGTCCATTGTACGGAGCTTGCTATCACGGTTTGCATGACGTTATTGTCCATCTTGTCGCGGCGGGTGCCGACGTTCTGTACTCGATGGAGGTACGCAAAAATGATCTGAAACGATGTGACTGGAATCCCTAGGACAAATCAACGCCACTCACGGCCCTCAGTGCGCTCGACGACGACATTGACATTGCTGCCATGGCCACCGTGCTCCTTCATGCCGGCGCGTTGACGGCTTCGGTAGGTTTTCTATCTTGAGTGCGGTGAGTGAAGAATTGTGTGATTTTAGAATGCCAAACACATTGTCTTTTGGTTGGTGCCCAATATCGACCGCGTCCGGTTGCTCGTGCCTTTCGGTCTACGCGCAGAAGACATTGTACCGTCATCTCTATATTTGATTATTGGTCTAATTTTCATAAATGAAATGTGCTATAGGAAGCGGAGCTCTTGCCGCGCGACCTGTCGCTCTTGCAGTTGTACATAGAGCTCGGTGGCAACCCCAACGTTCTTTGCCACGTACGTGCTACATCATTACCTTGTCATGTGGCGCGAGGACCCTAACCCCACTTGGACATATATAGCCAGAGAACGTGCCGCTGCTCACATTCTTGCTCCAACGAGGCGACCAAAAAGGGGCCCGCTTCCTCGCACCCTTGGCCAACGTCAACGACGTCGACGAGGTTGCTCCATATCATTGTCTTTGGTAAAAGACCGCTCATGAGTACACGACTGTAGGCGGGCTTTTCGGGCCAAGTTTGCGCATTGCGTACAGCGATTCAAACAATCCCAGAACCGTCGACGATCGAAGCGCTTTTAACCCATGGCAGCGACATGCCTCAAGAGGTAGCACAATGTCGTCAACGACTCTAGTCCGAGATATTCTGGTCTAGTTTTACAACGATGCCCTCGCGCTGGCAATCGGCGACGACTGCGTCCAACTCGAGTCTCTAGAGCTGATCGCATCCAAAGCCAACATGACATCCAAGGTTGTCGTCCATTTTTGTAAGATGAGGTGGCGCGACAGTGATTGTGGTCGTAGCCCTTCTTGGCGCATGCCGTCCATGACGCGGAGCGCGTCGCACTGATGCTTCGTCTTGCCGCGGACCCGAATCAGTGCAACGAGGTACCGGCAAGGTGGTATGTCTTACTTACTGACGACACGGTATTGCGTTTCGAAGGGCGTCTCGCCGCTGTATCTCGCATGTCGGGGCGAGCACACGGAGAGCGTCCGCCTCCTTGCGTCCGTCACCACCGATGCAACTTCTGAGCGCCACGTACATTGCTGAATCTGAATCTCAAATCTCAAATGTACTTTTGTACTAGAACGGCAAGTCCGCGCTTGATATCGCGCTTCAATCCCAGCAACGGGCGATCGCAGTTGTGTTGGTCCGCGCCGGTTTTCCCGCGCCACCCAAGCTTCCAATCGAGGCCATTTACTTTCACCCGGCGCGTCCGAGAACCAACGTGTGGTCGCTGGGCCACGCTGCGTACGAAGGCCTTACGGCGTATGCTCAACTCGAGCTGCAGTACATGATGGCGCTCTCGTCGACGCTCGACGACCCAACGTCGCCGCTGCCAACGACGGGCTTGACGCGCGACGGTCTCGCCTTACTTCGCGCCGAAGTCCATTTTCGCAAATCGCAGAAGCTCTTTGGGATGACGGCCACGACGACACGCGGTGTTTTCTTCATGGACGACCCGAAGGTCGCAGCGGTACACGCCGCGTTGACGCACCATCTCGCACCGCTCGAAGCGGCTGCGCAATGGGACGGTCCGCGCCTCGACGTCGTCGACCTAGCACGGTACGGCGTGGTCTATGACCGCACGCTGTATTCCGCGACGCAGCATGCCGGGCGACTCGGTGTGCCCACTGCGAAGGCGTCATCGTCGCGCGTCGACGCGAGCGAGTGGTCCTCTGTCACATGCGCTTTGGAGCAGTTTTTGCCGACGCCAGTGACATGGGACGCGGTGACGGGGCGTGTGACGCTTGAGAGTTATCTCAACAACATTCCCGTCGCCATGACAGCACTGTACGAGACGCTCTCGGACTCGCTTTCGTTGGTGCTGCCGCTCTTGAACCGCGCCGAGAGCTTTCACGTCGAGGACTCGCGGCCCCGGATCCAGCTCTCGAAAAAAGCCGCGAGCCGCGCCACGGTTCAAGCAGCGGTGCCACCCGAGCTGCCGCGCGCCAAAGGCTTCAAGTTCCAGCCGATTTCAACGTGTTCGGTGCATGGCCCGCCGTCGCGCCGTCAAGTCTACTGCAGCGTCCTGGGCTACCGCACGACGACGACGCCGGTTGTGACGCCGTGGCAGCGAGCCACCGGAGCGGTCAACGAAGGCGTCAGTCACACGGCGCTCGTCTTCTACGACGTAGTCAATGTCGCGGTGCGAGTCGAGTTGGCAGAGACCTTTGCATACGCGCGGACGTGTCCGAGTCCACGTGATCCCAGTATCGAGGTCGACACAATATATGACAATATGTGCAATCGCTCATGGACAATACCTGTATTAGGTACATTGCCCGGACCGTGAAATTGTCCAAACTCAAGTGACGGGCCATGTGACGGCGCATGCGTCTCGAGTGCTGATCGTCCAGTGTGCTGCCGCCTATCGGTTCGTGCTGACACCATTGGACGCGAATGTGCGAGGCCACTGCAAAGTGCTGACGTGGCATCTCGTCTCGCGCGACGTCGACGCGCTGTTGTCGACGGCCGAAGTGTTTCCGCAGCAAGAAACCAGTTTTTCGACAGTACGATCCAAGGCACGCGCTTGGCGACGCTTCCGGCCGTCGCCCGACACCACGTGCTCTCGTTTGTCGGTGATATCTTTTTGGACGACGTCACAGCCAAGGACGTTGCAACCACGAGCAAACGAAAGCGAGCAGAGATGGTGCTGCGCTCGATGGGTTTGCTCCCGTCGAACGGCGCAGCGTAGTACGAGGAAAGGGTAAGAGCCAGGGCTCGCATTTTCTTCCGTAGACTGGTGACTGTAAACACGATTTGACACAAGGAGGAGCATTTAGCATGCGGCGTATCGCAATGACTTGTCTTCAATGTCGTCAACTGTCGTGATGCAAGACGCGTCGACGCGGGTGAACGTGGGCGGCTCGCTGTTTGACACGGCCGAAGTGATGCTGACGCTCGACCACCCGTCGATGGTCGCGTACTTGCATGGATCGCCGAGCGCGAGCGACCTCCGCACTTTCTATCGCGGCGATCGGGACCGTAAACGAGTCCCGACCCCGCTTTTTGGGTTCGGCGCTATGAGTACCACCAGATCACCGACTTTAGCCCGGCACCACCAACTACGGCCTCGCGGTCTATCTCAACAATCCGCAGTCACGCGGCAGGGCGACGTGCGCACTGGACGGATCGTGACAGCAACACGTCGTGGTACCCCAGCGTCGCCGACCAAGCCAGTGTCCAACCACCGTCCATTTGATGCTGTCGCAAGCCAACTCGACGCGGGTCGTGCCGGATGCAAAGGCCACTGATTGTATCGCAGTGGACGATGACGCACGTGGCAGGGACGAATCACTATGGTGGTAGCTGCTACACGCCTCGCGCAACGAGCGCCGGTGCAGCGATGGCCAGCTCCGCGTGCGTGGTACGAGCACCATCTTTGTTGAGACGAGCTTCGTTTGCGCACCTAAGGTGGTCGAAGACAGGTGCTCAAAAAGACGTTGAAATGCAGAGTGAGTGAATTAGACGTGCTGCAAGAAGCTAGACCTAAACCTACTTGCAGAGCCGATGTCTTGGGCCAGCGCGGCGGGCAACTCGATCTGTCCTTCGACGTAAAACAACTGGTCGGTGCGCTGACGAGCGCGCAGTGAAAACTTGCCGTTGATCGAGATGGCGGCGGCGTCGTTGGAAAATACCACAATCGGACGCGACGGTGACGCGATGATGCGGGCAACGGACAGCCGTGTGTTGGTCATAGTCGAGACATGCAGCGTTTCACTAAAGGCGGCGGTGTTGTGTGGTCCGCGTACGCGCAGCGTGCCGGCCTGCGTGACGTGAACGATATGTCCGTCGGTCATGTGAACCGTACGTTGCACCGGGTGAACATCGTGGAGGAGAGAGAGATCGTTTGTCATATGCGACGACGCACCGCTGTCGAGTACGAGGTGCGGAGGCGGCGCGCTTAGGACGCTGGCGGCTGTCGAGATCGTGCCGTCGTGTGGCGCTTCATTGGCAAGAAACTGCGAGGCTGCGACACGACGAGCTTGGTTGGCTGGGTCTCGACGAGCTCTGCCGCTCTTACGTGGCCGCGCAAAGCGGTCGCGTGGTAAACGAGCTTCTTGGACGACGCCTCGCTTGATGTCCGCCTGCTTGTTGCGACAGTCGCGTGCAATGTGGCCCGGGCTATGGCAGTAGTGACAGGCACGCTCGCTCGAGGTCTGAAACGCTGCGTTGCCGTGCTGGGCTGCAGTCGAGCTTGCGCGGCCGTTGGCTTGGCTCTCGCGCTTGGCGTACTCGCGGATCTGCTGCACGACGCTGTCCAGCGTTTGGTAGCGCTCAGGATCATACGTGAGCGCCGTGAGGATCGCGTTGACCTCGGTCGTGAAGAAGCGATGCGGAACGCGGTGCAGAAAATCGAGAATCCGGTCGGCTTCCGACGTCGTGTCGTTGGCTGCTTCGAGGCGTGCGAGGAGGCGCTGAAATCGACCGGCGTTGGTGTCGTAATCCGTCGCTTCGTCCCAGGCGAAGGCACCAAGCTCACCGCGTAGAGCCATGCGGTCCGCGAGCGTGCCGGCGCACACGTTGCGCAGCCCGAGTAGCGCGTAGTTGGTAAAGACGCGGGTCGGGTGCTGCTCGTCGGCGCGCGAGACTTCGACGTACTTGAGTTGCGTGTCGTCGACCAAGGAGCCGATGAGGCTGGCGTAGTACAAGTCGCGGTCGAGGTCGTAGTCGGGGATCTCGAGACGGTCGGTCGCGAGCAAGTAGCGGCGGCCGCCATCTTTGTAAATCTCGGCTTTGAGAGCCGTGTACCATTGACGGAAGTTGGCGCCGCCGGGGGCGAGGCGCACAACCTGCTCTTGCGTAAGGCTCATACAGTACCCTGTTAAGACCTGCTTCGTCTGCGCACCGAGTGTTGTGGTTAGTGCCCACGACGTCTACGCAGCACGGACTTGCAGTTCTGCTTGCAGTTCAAGTTGAAGCTCAACAACGCCGTCCCTACTTAGGTCTAGGTTTCGCTTCTTGTAGGTACGTGTAATTCACTCACTCTTCATTTCCACGCCTCTTGAGCACCTGTCTCCCACCACCCTTGGTGCGCAGTCGAAGAAGGCCTCAACACCGAGGGTGGTGGAAGACAGGTGCTCAAGGGGAATGAAGAGTGAGTGTATTAGACGTGCTACAAGAAGCTAGACCTAGACCTACATGTAGAGGCGATGTCGTTGAGCAAATAACTTGACCTGTACGCAGAACTGCAAGCACATGCTGCGTCATGATCAAGGGCATGTACATCCGGCAGTATCCACAACCATTTTCCTCGGCGACGCCAGCGTCATGAAGAAAGGGATGGTCAATCCGTGCGGGTGGGTAATCTATGTGAGCTACCAAGTTGCCATCAACGTTCGCGCCCAGCGGGGAACGTCAACGCAGCTGCGTCCACCCCGCGCCCTTGCCACCGTCGGCGACTTCGCCCTTCGCACCGCTCAGCATCAGTGTGCGGACGGTGTGGTCGCTAGGGATGGTTGGTTAACTAACACGCGGTTAACTCAGCGTGTGACGTGTCCTGCGAACCGTCCTTGTGGCGCCAAGACGGTCCTAGCACCCGAGAGAAGCTCCGAGAGAGCATCGTCGATCCGAGGCAGCTGGCTCGGCCTTGCCATGGCCTATGCACAGACTCGGCGTCGTGCTGCGACTACCTTCTACCAGCTCTCGAGCCAGCGTTGGCGCCATTTTCGATTCGGATCCGGATACGGGACGGGCAAATCCGGATAACGGGTTTCCATGCCGGGCAGACGATGAACAGTCCACGGGAGCTCGTACCGGCGGCCGGCATGGACGCGTCGATCGCATCTCGGACGCGGACCAAGGTAGATGCACTCGAGGAAGCGAGGTAGACGGCTGTATATGTGCTAGGTCTCGCTGGTCGACGTCGACATTGAGCAGCTCGAGGGCGACCTCGCGGACGACCCATCGTGCATGGGCCTCGACATGGACGTGATCAAGGAGGAAGAGAACTACCGGCGCTTCCTGACGTCCTTGCTTCCGAACGCGTCCTCGGACGATGACGACCTCTCGTTTCTCTGCGACGACGACGACGAAGAGTACCATCCCCATGACGACGACGGCGACGACGAGTACGACGACGAGCACAAGCAGTCGCGCCACGCCGACATGGCCAACAGCATCTCCAAGTCGGAGCTTTCGGGGCTGCTCTGGGACTCGTCCAACCTCGACTTTGTCCCGGCGCCGCCGCCCGACGAGGCCCATGAAGCGCCACCCAGCGCCAGTCGGCCCAAGCCAATGACGTCGTCCTTTGTCCAGATCCAGCCGAATGGCCACTGGAAAGGGTCGCTGACGAAGGCGCAGCTCACGCAGTTGGCATCCCAGATGCACAAGCACTACCAGCTGCTCTGCCAGACGACGATCTTGGCGCCGTCGACGCCGGCGCGCCGATTCTAGAAACGTCGGCGATGCTGGCCGACCTCCAGCGCCGCAGCGAAGCCGTGCGCGCGTGGAAAGAGTCGGTCGTTTCAAAATTGCACCCGTCCGAGTCGACGTCGACGCTGCTGCTCAACGCCCGGCGCGTCACGCGGTCGTTCAGCGCTGCCCACGCTGCGATTGTCAACCCGTCCATGTACGAGGTCCACAACTTGCTTCGCCCATTCTCGACGCTTCATGTGACGGATGCCACCAGCCGCACCGATCGACTGCGCACGCACCTGGGCGCGCTGGATTACCACCTTCTGCATCCGGCCAAGTTTAAGCCCAAGGAGTCACTCCTGGAGGTCTTCACCGAGAGTGAAGACCGGTTGCTCGTTCACGGCGTGAAGCGGTCGGGCGCTAAAATCAGCTGGACAACGATTCAAAAGAACTTTTTACCGACCAAGTCCACGGACGATCTCCGTGCACGGTGCGTCGTTGTCTGCAAGACACATACTATGTATATACTAGTGATGGCGGCGTGCTAGGTACCGGTTCCTGTCGAGTGCCAAGGCGCCTTCCAACCCCGTCAAGGCCTTCATCTCGTCGTTCCCGCCGCGCCGCGTCGCGCCATGGCTCATTGAAGAAGAAATTCGCATCCTTCGGGGCATGCTCGCGTTTGACGAAGACGAGCGCCGAAAGTTTTCCAAGATTGGCACGCAGCTCTTGCCCCATCGGTCTCGGTACGTTTTCATCGATGTAGCACGAGCTGTCGCTATGATGCATGTTGTAGGAGCGAAATTCGCAAGAAATGGGGCCGCATGCAAGTCGAGATGACCCAAGACGAGCCTCGAGAGGGGACAGCGACGCTGACGTCGCGCGAACGAGACATTGTGCGGTGGCAGCGCGCCCTCGAGCGCAAGCTGGAGGAAAAAGAAAAGCAAGCGGCGCGCCACCTGCCCCCTGACGCACGCGTGTTTGAACCACCGGCGACCGCAGCGAGCAACGACGAAGCAGTGTGCGATGATGGACCAGCCATGGCACTCGATGAAAATTGCTTTGAAATAGATCGACGTCGCAGTGTCTAGAGAAACATTTGCATCCGGCCCTCTTCTACTCTCCGTGGGCGATCGCAGCGCCGTCGCTTTTGCTCGACTCGACCTGTGAGCACAACTGGCCCGCGTCGCTGCCGCTCAAGAAGAAGAGCAAGGCTGTCAAGGTACAGTGTTCGTGCTCCACCGAATTTTGTCTAAAGTGTTTTTGCTTTGCCCAGGGCAAGCGTGCGATACCAACGCCAAGCGACTGGGCGTCCATGCAGTTCGCCAGCGACGACGAGGACAGCGAGTTTGAGGTCGAAGATCTCGTTTCGTCGGACGAGGATGACGACGACGCGGACGACGACGACGAGGCTGCCAAACCAGAACCACCGTACGATGGGAGCCTTTCCGACATGGATTTTGAGCAAGTCGAGCTGGACGACGATGACGACGACGACGACGACGACGACGATGGGTTTTTGGACACGTCTGAATCTGCGTTTGCATCTCCTCACCCTGCACGTGTGCATCTTCCACAAGCCTCCGAGCGCACGCTGGCCGCCCTTGAGCGCCGCATTAGCGGCCGTCTCCCGTCGCCACGGCCCCGCCTTCTCTCCGACGTTGACCCCTCTTCGATGCTCATGCTGATGGACGACGACGACCCACACGAGATCATGGAAGTCGAAGAGCTGCAAGATGATTATAGCGACATGGACGACGATGAGTTTGAGTGCGAAGAGCTTCTCCCAACCTCCGAAGAAGAAGACGAAAATGATAACGACGACGACGCACCAAGCACGATGGAGCTACCGCCGATCCAGAGCAGTCCTCGCATTGACACGGCAAGGCTCGAGCTGCTCGCACGGCGCATGTCTCAGAAAGGCAGCTAAATCCTTCTACATCAAGGACACTTGCCTCGATTCGGTTTGAATCTGCGTCCCAATGTCCCTAATGTACTGAAACTCAAAAACGACCTCGTAACGTCCAGCTCTCGGAAAGACCGTCATGGCCATCAGTTGTGAATGCTGGTGGATTGTACGACGTACATTCGTATTCTCGAGCCAATCAGAGATCATTCACCGTGCCGCTTGGACACGATGGAGGACGCAGCGCGACCAGGGACCAAGGTACGCAAGCATCAGCGACCGAGCATCCACGCAGCGACGTGTAGCTGGCCGTTCGTGCGTGGCTACACGCTGTCGACATTGGCGCCTCGGATATGTTTCCTGCCGCTCTGCACATCGACGCACCACTCGATGCGGTACAGTCTCGTCACGTCCCGGCTTTGCATGCTATCGGTTGGTTGTAGGCCGGGAACACGGCGCTGCATGTAGCTGTGGCTGCGGGGCACCTTGCTGGCGTGCGACGACTCATATCGCTTGGCTGCGACCTCGATGCATGCAACATGGTCAGCGGTGACGACGGCGAAAGCACATTCTTGGGCTCAATCATGAGCTCCTGCGTAGCGTCAGCGAACGCCTCTGCTCGTGGCCACCGCGCACGGCCGCGCCGAGTGCGCCATGGCGCTATTGGAGGCTGGGGTCTTGCCCGAGGCACCCCGACACGTACGTTCTCGTCTCTGGAGAATGCTTATGCAGCATGTAGAGCCCGCTCTTTGAAGCGTGTCGGCATGGGCTTTTGGACGTCGCGCGCGGTCTCATCGCCGCTGGCGCCAACGTCAACTTTATGAACAGCGTAGCGAATCTACTCACTCTACACAAGCAAGTCATTCCTGGTGTTGTAGGGAGGGTATGTGCCACTGATGGCGCTGCTGACGAGGCCGCCCGAGTTTGACATCGAGCCGCTGCTGGCGTTGCTCGTGGCATCTGGCGCCGACATTCATCGATGCACCAGCGTACTACGCTAGCCACTGCGTCCTTGATTTGTGGTACAATGTGAAGCGTAGCCCGGCGCGATTTGTGACTTTGCGCATCAACCGAACCGCTACCGACTCTTTCTGCGCTACGGTGCGCGCGTATCCGACATGGTAGCGCCGTTCCAAGCCTACGGAGGTGCTGAGCTCGTACTTCGTAGGATCTAAGGCTGCTCGTAAACAATACGGCACTCCTTCACGTCTACCTCGAGGCCGGTGGCGATGCCAACGCTCAAACTCAGGTGCGTCGAGCTTCGAGATGCATCTGTTCACAGAGTTGCAGCCTAGCAGTCCTACGCTTCTGGGACTCCTAGCGCAAGCCAACGATCACGCGGGGCTGTGTATGGCGCTGCCCCTGGGCGATGTCGGCTTTCTGGGCGAGGTACGCTTGTCTCGAACCAGCCACGGCGCTCATCGGCGTCTAGCGTGCTAGCCCCAATGGTGGAGCCCCTCTCGATGTTGCCATTCGCTCGGGCGCGGACCTCTTGACCTTCCAGTTGCTCTTGGATCGTCCCTGCTCGCAAGAGGTAGATACGAGGAAGCTTGCTCCGAACACCGAACGACGTGACGCAATGGCGTCGACGTTAGGTGTACAATGCTGCACTGCAGCATGCGTTCAATTGTCATCATACGACGGACGCAACGCTGCGCCTTTTGATCGGCCGACTTGCGCACCGTGCGTCAACGCAAAGTGCAAAGTGGTCTGTGCTCATGTAGACTACTGGGATAGGTACCTACGTACTTTTGTCTCAGCAACGTACGACACATGACGCTGCTGCTGAACGGAGGCTACGACCCCAACTGGCGTACACCGGTAGGCATGTCGTCACCGTAGGTCGTATCACGGAGTGTACCTCGGGTGCGTAGGAGGGCTACACTTTGGTGTTTCTAGCCGCTCGTGACGGGTGGGGCTCAAACGTCGAGGTTGTTGGTCTCCTTGCCCCCCTTACCGCCGGCCTCCTCACCGAGCGCCACGTATGCCATTGACTTGGTGACACCGCCTGTATGATGCACGGCTTAGGTGGACGTACTGCGCTGGACGTGGCGGTCGCGATGGGCCATATTCCCGTTGTGCGAGCGCTTCTCCAAGCGGGCTTTGCATCCGTTGTGACGCTGCCTACGGACAATGTTTTCGGGTACCCCTGCACGATGCGATTCCCAGAAACGTCGCTTCTCTGGGAAGGCTGGCGCACCAAGTCGATTGCGTACTCGGCGCTTGAGCTGCAGTACATGGCCGCGCTCTGCTCCGTGCTCGACGCGCCCGACTGGCGATCGACGTCGTCCCGACGCCTGGCTTCGCCACTGCTATGCCAAGAAGTCGACCACATTCGGGATTCCAACCCACACGACTGGACCCCCAACACGGCGCGCGGCGTGTACCATGCCGATTTTGGCAACGACGACGAGACCTGCGCCGCGTTACGAACGCATCTCGCGTCGCTGGCGGGGCCGTGGAGCGGCCCACTCCACACCATTGTCGAGCCAATGCGCTGTGGCTCGATCGAGGGACGCACGCGGTACAGCGTCATGCCACATTGTGGACGACTGGGACTCGCCACCGACGTGGTGCAGCACTCGACATCCATCGACCATCCCATGTTGGCCGCGGTGACGTGTCCGCATGTGCAGCTCTTGCCGACACCCATCGTCTGAGACCCCGAGACGGGCCGCGTAACAATTGCGAGCTACATTGTCGATGTGCCGTGGACAAAAACTGCAGTCTACGTGGCACTGGCTGACTCGGTCTCGGTTGTCTTGCCACTGCTAGACCGCGCAGCAGCGTTGCGCAGTCCAACAAGCCCGACACCAAACCGTATTCGCGCGCCAGTATCCGATACATCCGAGGAGGTTGCCATCGCGCTGCCACGAAGCTTCAAGGCGGTGGATTTGCGCCATTTTACCCCAACGTCGCCACCCCTCGAGTTGCATCGACAAATGCTTTGCAGAGTTGAGAGCCTGCACGCGCCGCCAACGCCGTGGGCCACCGAGTGGAGACGCGGCACGGGGGCCATCAACGAGGCCGTGCGGCTCTCAGCACTGGTGTTTTACGATCTCGTCAACGTCGAGGCGCGTCTTGAGTTGCGAGAGACGTTTGAGCGTGCCAACACGCATCCGAGCCCCGATGATGAAGCGACGGAGGTATACGAGCAAGCATCTTGGTCTATCCATGGTAAAATGGCTCTAGGTGTTCGGTCGTGAGATTTCCGAAAAGCGAACGCAAGAGACGGGGTTTCTTACCGCACACATTGGCCGCGTCGTGCTGATCCATACAAACGTGGCCTACCGCGTCACGCTCCGGCGCGTCGACGCGACACGCGGTGGCCACTGCAACGTCCTCGCGTGGCACCTTGTTGATGCGCACAACGGCGGTCTCTTGTCGACGGCCGAGGTGTACCCGCAGCAGCGAGCCTGGTTCCTCGAGGCCATTCAAGGCACCCGTCTCACGGCGCTCCCGACGGACCTGCTCGAGCTCGTGCTTTTGTGTGTCGGTGCTGGCTTTGAGGACGATGCAACTTTTGTCGACACGTGTCGTGGGACTCGCGACGACATTGTGCGCCGCTCGATGTAATTCGCGTAAACGCTTCGTAGTGTCTGTCGCTGGTCTGGACGTGTCTGATGGTGATCACAATTGCATTTCAATATCGTAGACCACATCTGGACATGAGAAAATACCGGAACCACCTTGCCACCGGAGGAATCTAATCAAGTGTATTCATGAGCCAACGGCTATGTAGACTAGAATGGAAGATTGATCCAGCATCGACCATCGACAGTGCAAGCACGCCAATGGAGAGCATCCAGGGTGCATTTGTTTGGAATTGGAGTTTTGAAACACGACTACGTCGCCCATCGAGTGCGCAGCGACGTCGCCTCGTGCCGCCTTGCTTGCGGTGGCAATAGCTTGGGCCTCGGCGTCGTCCAAGACGAGGCTGCCGAAAAACGATACTACGTGATCGAGCACGACTGTCGGCAGCGTCGCCAAGCGAGAGCCTTGAACTGCGTTGTAGAACCAGTGATTTGCTGCGGGTACACCTCGGCCGTCGACAAGAAAGGCTCCGCGTCTTTGGACACGAACGACCACGTAAGGACCTTGCAGTAGCCGGATTGGTTGGCATCGATCGGCGACAGCACGATGCGGTAGGCGGTGGCGATGGCAAGAAACACGAGGCGATGGGGGTGTGCCGAGACGACGCCCGTCACTTGGGACTGGAGGCCTCGTCGGGTGCGACAGTGCACCTACAGAAGGGTCTTGTCTTGCATCTCGCTCTCACATTCCAGAACCATCGCGTGTACCTCGATGGTGGGATCTTTCGGGCTTGCGCACGTTTGAGCCGCTGGAAACGACTCGGCAAGCTCGACGCGGGCGGCGACGTTGACATAGCCATAGAAGAGGAGCGCTGTCTGACTGATAGCTTTGTTGATCGCGCCAGAGGTCTGCTGCCAGGCCGTGCTCGTTGGCGACATCTGCATCGTGGGTGCCGTGCAGCAGACGAAGGCGCTGCAGATCACCAAGCGTGGATCGACACGAACTGACCGCCACCGCCATGGGGATGCGTATCTCTGTACGACACGGCGGATCACGGCGCGGTGACGGCAGCCATCGAAGCCACACACAATGCCAGCGTCGCCGACGAGCTGCGCAACCAGCGTCTCCGACACGGCCAACTCGGCGTCCGGTGGATGACCGGGTTCATTAAGTACCTTGAGCAGCACGACGATGGCCGGCTGATCCGGTAGAAGCGAGAAGATGTCTCCGACTACACGATGCTCGATCGCGTGCTCTGCAAGATAACAACTCGATCGGTCTACCGCCGAGGCGTCGGGCCGGGCCGCCCAGTCGCGGTGATCCCATCGTCACTACGACGGGTGATGGTAGCCGGTGCACACGCCAGCGTTCGACGTCATGAAAGACCCTCGACAAGCTCGCCTTGACGTCGTATGGGCCAGGCAAGCTCGGCGACGTCACTTCGTTCGTGAAGCGGTGCAACTGGTGCCAAGAATCCAAGCACCTACGGCATACCACCCGCGCGCCCAGTGGTAGCCCACGCGTCGGATACGCGCCAATAGACGCACTTGCGGCAGACCATGCGGACTTGCTCAGTGTACCTACGGCCAACGGCAACAAGTACGTCCTCGTCGTCACGGATCTCTTCACGCGCTACGTCTGGTGCCTGCCGGTCTGCGACAAGTTACTGGAAACGACTGCGATGATGCTGCACAACTTTGTCATCCAGCCTTTTGAGGCACCACGGGTGCTGGTTTGCGACCGTGGTCAAGCTTACATGGCCAATGCCTCGCGGTGCCTCTACATCATGTACAACGTCAAACACTGAGAGGTACTGCCTTCGAGGTGGAAGCAGCGAGGTGGAATTTCCAGGCACGGGTGCGATGCAATTCCATCAAATACACACTCGAGAGACGGGTTGAGAACTATTGTTTGGGTCATCGATCGTTAGTAGTCCGCACTTGTAGGCCACAACATGTCGAATTGCGCGTCGTCCGCTTGTTTCTCTGCGGCCGTGAGGATGTGCGGACACTCGAGCCGAGCCAGCTTGTCTTTGAGAAGCCGCTGCAGGTGGCTTTTCATCTCGTCGTCCTGGACTTGGTCGATCCACTGCACCAATTGCAGCGCATGCTTAATGACATCCGTCGACCAGAAATGCACAAAGAGCACCGTCAAGCCCCAGTCGGCGACCGCCGACTTGTCGAGCGTTCGCTCGAGCATACGACCTCTGGGTACGAGGCGGGTGGTCACGGCGCCCCGAGCGAGCAGCGCCGCAGCCAGCACTTCAACGTCCACACCGGCCTCCGTGTTGGAAAGGAGGCAGTTGGCCGCCGTTGCTTGGCGCACCATTTCACCTTTTAGTAGCAAAAGCCACGACTGGGTCAAGGACGTCGAGCGCTTGACGTACAAGTGGACGAGGAAGGCGAGATTGTCAATAGGGTCGTCGTCTTGCATGCAGTACGGCAGCAGCATCTCAAAGACCTTCAAGTCGGACGTGTACCACCAGTTGCACACGAGAGTGCGCGGCGCGTCAACGCCCGTCGTCGGTATAAAATCGCGTGGGTGTACATCGATGCTGCTGCGACCGATGAGCTCTGCCAAGCTAAAGTCGCGCAGTTCGGGTTGTTGGGCGACGGCGTTGATGGCGCGATGGATGTGCTTGTTTCGGAGTGCCGACTGGACCATCTCACAGGTCCACGGCGACGCTGGCACTTTCGTTTCGACGAGTTGGAAGACATCGTCATTGGCCTCGGTGCAGATTGCCGCCATCATCTTGGGCGTAAAGAGCACGTTGTGGTCGAGAAGGAGCTGCAGGACGGCCAGTGCATGGGGCTTCTTGAGGCACTCGGTCAAGGCAACGTCGCCTGTCGGAAGCGGATACCCCTGTGCGACAAGGTCCAGAACGATGTCGTTGCCGCCGCACTGAAGCAGCTTGTGGACGAGCGTGTCCCGAGTGGTACCATTCTCACTGTGATGGTCCAAGAGAAATCGAACAACGTCGAGGTGGCCGTTCGCAGCGGCAAAGTCGATGGCGAGTGGCGCAGTCATCCCGAGGCCATGTAGATACGTGACGAGCTCCAAATGTCCGTTGACTGCTGCCACGTCGAGAGCGTCACATGGCACGCTGAGACCGCGACGCTCGATGAAGAAGCGGACGACGTCCACGTGCCCGTTCGCAACGGCCAGAGTCATGGCGTCCGTCGAGCAGCCCTCGGTTCGATGCTCTTGAAGGAACCGAACGACCTCCAGATGTCCGTTGGCTGCCGCTTGGTCCATGGCGTCTGTCGTGCAGGCCTCGCCGCGACTGTGGAGGTCCTGGACGATCGCGAGAAGACCCATTTTGGCCGCGTCGTTCATAAACCCAGCGTAAATCGCGTCGGGCATGCGCTCGTAGAGAAAATGGCTGTCTGCGCCGCGCCCTTTTCTGCAGCGTGCTGCAGCAAGTCATTTGGCCAGTCGTCTTGGCGGTGGTCCCAGAGCAGACGCAAGATGGCGGCATTGTCCTTCTCGAGCACTTGCAACGGCAGCCAACTGTCGAGGCTCCTTGGTGGCTCGCCGAGAAACGTTGCGTCAAACGGGACCAACAGATTCGTTATCGTGGCGCGGAGCTCCAAAAGGAGTGCTGCCATCTCGAGCTGGTCAAACTCGACTGCGACTGCGATGGCATCTTGGTAGGCAAGGTCGGGGCGGCAGGCCAGCATGCGCTTGGCCGCAACAATATCGCCCTCCGCAATCGCGAGATGGAGTGGGAAGCGCTCGTCGCGGTAGTTGAGCTCGTTGAGGTACAGATCGGTCGCGCGCAGCTTCTCGCGCGCCGCCGCGTCGCTGAAACCGCGTAGCGACGTGCGCAGCGCTGGGTCGAGCGCGTAGTAGCCATTGTACCACGCACCACACGGCGTGAAGTCGACGAGGAACCGAAAGTCCATGAAGCGGGAAAGAACGTCTTCGTAGACGCCCAACTGAAACTCAAAAACCATCGCTGCGATCTCGGCTTGGTGCAGCACGACGTCGATGAAGCTCGCCATCGTTGGTGTTGCAGCAACAACCCGGCAACAAACAATGTGGCGTGTCAAAAGGTGCGTGTACCTGCCAGATTCGATATGGGTTGGCAATGAATTCTTGTGGCACAGTTGTCAAAGGTCGATGCGGACGACGACGACGACGCAATCACCAATCTCGACACCGTCTGCGCGCCGAGCCCGACACGAGACGACCTCGTCGTCGACCGTGTCGCAGGTCAAATGTACCTGCTGCTGTCGTCGCCGCCCCAACGCCCGACGTCGGTTTATTGGGTCTTCGTTTTGCGAGGCCACCACCACCCAAGTGGGGACTACTGGAGGTGGGTTCAAACGAGCATGGGCGCAATGCGTGGAGCTTGAAGCACGAGCAGCCTCGGATGCTACAGTGGCTTCTTGACACTGGTCTCGGCGACCCTCGACGCTTGATCCTCAAAGGTCCCGGTGTGTTGCGCTGGGAAGTGCTGCAGATCCTTCTACCACACTGCATGAGGAACGGCGCGGCCATCGACAGTCTCATTTTCCATGTCGAGTGGAGCATCAAAGCGATCCAGCCTCTTTCTTGCACCAAGTCGCACCTGCTTTTGCTCGAGTCCGAGATGGTGCGCCAAGCGACAGCGGCCACCTCCCTCCGACTCGACGACGATGCCGGCTCGGGTGTAAAGGATCTGGCTGCCTCGCAAGGAGGCATTCCATCGACGGCTCGCTCTTCAAGACGGGCATCGCCGACTGGGGCTTGACGGCGTTGGTTGTCCACTTTTGGTCGAATGACGCAGCAGGACATGTGCACCGACTGGTGCGACGGATCCACAAGATCACAGACGACAAAACGAAAGCTCATCTCGAAGCGCACATACATGAACGAGCTGTTTGCGCGTCTTGGGCACCACGACGTCCTCGCTGCCGCTGTGCACACCGTCGCGCAAGAAGATAGAGAGGACGAAATATGGTCGGAATTGGATTGGGAGTCGAAACTCCAAACGAGTTCCAAAAGTTTACAAAGCTTGCGCGCCCAACTTGTGGCGGAGACGTATTCGTACTGGCGTGCTACACCACCGAGCCATCGCAGCGATGTCGTTGAAGCTCTTCAAATCCCACGTCTCACCGCTTCTCGTCTTGACCCAAGAACAAACGCACAGCAGGTTTCACTGCAGTGCACGACTACAAACGACCAAGTGCTTGTGCCACGCCATACCTCGAGTCGCTAGAAAGGTCCTCGTGGCCCTCAGCAAGCGCTTCCCGCTGCAGCTCGCGACCTTCATTTGAGCACAAGCTGTCGCGTTCACGGCGTCATCGAGGTGACTCCATCGACGTGTATACTCGCTACCCGTGGAGCAGGAAGCTCTGGTGTCCGAGCTGCCTCGTGCCGACGAGATCAACCAAGTTCATGACGACGGTGAGCACAGCACCGTAGAGAAAGAGCATCCACGTGGCGTGCAACATATAGAATGACTAGGAATATTACGTCTAAAGAGTCGCTTAGTCGACGTCGTCGATGGGCGTGGCCTCGGCGGCCGCCGTCTTGCGCTGGCGAAGGCCATCGGTCGACGCAATGACCTCGGCCACGTCGGCGTTGTCCTCTTCGGTCGCCACCTCGGACGGCGTGCGACCCTGGTTGTCCTTGGCCGACAGCAAAAGGCCGCGTCGTCCTTCGAGACCGCCGCGAGGAGCACCTGTGCGGCTTCCGGGCGGCCGTGGAACGCGCACCAGTGGAGCGCGGTCCAGCCGTCATTGTCGGCTTCGCGGACCGGGACGCCGGCGTTGACGAGGCGCTTGATAATGTCCTCCGTGTCGAGCGCGCTGCCGCAGGCCACCATAAGGGCGGTCCAGCCGTCCGTCGTCTTGGTCTTGATCTGGTCGTTCTTGAGCAGGATCGACATGAGGCCTTCAAAGTTGGCTTCGACGCCCATGTCCCAGGCCTTGACGATTGCATCGGCGGCGTTGGCCGTCTTCTTGGCCTTGGCCGGCTTCTTGTCTTCGACGGCAGCGGCTTCCGTGGCCGCGACAGGCGCGTTGAGCGACTCGCCTTCGAGGCGCTCGTCCCAGTAGCGCGGGCCGCCAATGCCAAAGATGTGCTTCTTCAAGATGACGTTGTCGTACAGGTTGAGCGGGATCATGACCGACTGGATCACGACGACCTGGTTGACGCCAAACTTGAGGTGGATAAAGCTCGAGATGGCGGCGCCGATCGCGGTCTGCTGGATAAACTCCTTAGCCTTGGCGAGCTCGTGGTCATAGTACGTCGTCTCCGTGAGCGGCGAGTTCTCGGTGCTCGTATCGAGCGGCGACTTGGGCGTGGGCACGAAAATCTTGGTCGTGTCCTTCTTGGCTTCAACCTTGGACTTGGCGTAGAGGCCGAGGAGGAGCGAGACCACCTGGCACACGAGGAAGCAGGCACGGGCGCCGTTCAAGATGAGCTCGTTCTCGAAGTCAATCTTCCCCATGAGGAACATCATGGGCAGCATGATGAACATGCGCATCGGGCTCTGCTGCGTCATGGCTGGCGAAATCGAAAGTGGACGCTTTCGACCGCTGGGCCGCCAATCAGTGACGTCACACGTCCATTTCGCCTTTTTAGCCAATCACAAGAGAACAGCGAAACAGTGTATTGTCAACACTAATCCGAAAACCTCTCAAACTCGATGTGTGCAATGCGATCCCGCTCCGTATTTAGTGTATGATTGCACCCAAAGAGGCTGATCCGCTTGGATTGTATCGTAGACCTCCAAGAAGAAGATGAGCTCTCAGCATGCCAACGCACGGGCGATAAAAGAAGGATTAGCTTATGGGGCTTGTGCTCTACTGAGACCCACAAATCGCCATGGACAAGTGCGCGCGCTTCTGCGGAAATGATGCTGAGGAAGGTAGAGGTGGTGAAGGGGCTCGGCGGGCAACAGTAACGAGATGGAGATGCATGGTGCGAGGTGGTCCGTGTAATGAGGCGTAGTGCTAGTGTACTGGTGTGCCGTTGTGATAGAGTACAAATGAAGACCTCAAGACCTCGTTGAAATTGACAGAATGGAGCCGGGGTATCTTACACTATTACCGTTTGTTCGGTATCCAAAGGTGTCTTTTTGTCGCGGTGGACGAGTTTCCTCTCACAATCGATAGGATCGCTGTAAAACGCAACGTTAAAGTCGATGCAGCTGTTTAAACACGTCGATTTGTTGAACTGCTGTTGCCGCCGTGTCTGTCAATCGTAAAGACTCCGTGGCAAGCCCCTCGCTTTCAAAAAGGGCGCTGAAAACAGTCAGCTCAAACTCAAAACGCCCGACCCCTGCTCAGCGACTCGAGTGGTCCAGAGCCTGATAGTACATTGCTCGACACCGCTTGGAGCTGCACGCTTTCGATGCTGACCCGTCACTAGACGCTCCCCGCCACCCACGGCTGGCGTCAAACTGCGTCCATTGATCGACAAGCTCAACGTACTAACCTTGTAGCGACACCATGGCTCAGTCAACGTCAACCAACCTCAACGACGTTGGTCTGCGTGTCTTTGGACAAGAGGACACCGGCGGACGCGCATTTCTCCATGCAACGACGACACAACGTAATATCTGGTGTGACGAATCCATGTCCGAATCACGAGCAACTTGCCGTGCAAGAATCCTATGTAGTGTTTGGCGCCGCAAGAAACGTTGTTTCTCGAATGTTGTAGGTGTCTTGGCCCTTGTCAAGTCCGAGACAAACGCTTCCTAGGTCGAGCTACATATCCAGGCTGCTCAAAGCTGCGTCAACCGAAAGCAGTGCGATCACTCTACGTTAATTGGTCAAATATATTTTTATTTTAGCCAATCCAATGCGACGCGACCATTTGCCTGTGGCCCTTGCCCGTGGCCATGCCTGGTTGGTGGCCGAAATCACGTTTGGAAATGAAGTTGCCCATTCTTGGTACAGCGATAGAGGACACTTTGGAGATCCCGAAATGCTCAATTACGTCATCGTGCGAACAGTGCAGCGGCCAGTAGAGAGCTAACAGTTAGTAAATTTGGTACGCGCCACATATAGCCATAAATATCGCAAATCGATATATCTTGACGAGGGCGATGGGAACGGCAGCCCAATACGGTGTCGCTTCAATGCATGCACACATTGGAGCTGAAGTCATAGCTATGCAAGCGCCCTTGGGTTGAGAGTCTCGTGCTCATGTGTCGTCCGAGTTTTGGCGCGGAAAACCCGTATTACATGCGCTCGTTGATTGGCTACCAATTAATCGTAAATAGTGTATGATGTCGTCGGCGCCCCCATTGCCGCTTCGTGTCGTTCTTTGGCGGTTGTACTCTATCCATGACAGGGCCAACACCACCGCCTTGCATGCACGGTTTCTTTGCGAACGCTATGCCAGACACCTTGTCGTTTGAATGTACCTTTTTCCCGTTCCAAAGTACACTATTTCTTTTTCACGGAAGTGGTGTGTGCCCAAATACCTCTGGCATTTAATGTGACTTGCATTCGTTTTGACAGGAGGCTCGATTTGGTTGGCTTTGCAAGATATTCGATTCGCAATGGACAGCGAGAGCTTGCAGCAGCGCGAGACCAAGGCGAAGAACCTCCTCTCGTCGATCGTCGCGCTCGCCTTCGCCGACGTCGATGGCGCCGACACGGACGCGTCCATCTTCTCGGCCGAAGCGCACCAGATCCAGGCCATGCTCACGGACCAGCACGTCTTCCGCTTCGTCTACTCGGGCAACGCGTACACCAAGTTCTTCAACCACATGATCACCATGTCCAAGAACAGCGCCGTGTACAAGCAAGTCGCTGCGCTCGAGTACCTCGCCGTCATCGTCGATGGCAGCGCGGTGGAGCACCTCGAGGCGCGCGTGCCCAAGATCCTCGACGTCGTCTTCCACGCGCTCAAGCACCAGCACTCGAGCGTGTGCGAGCCCGCCCTTCGCATCTTTGGCGCGCTCTTGACCAACGCCGACGAGGCCTCGACGGACGGCCGCCGGGCCATCGTCGAGTACGTGGCGCGTATCGTGCCCGTCGTGCTCCAGCACCTCCACGACGTTCCGCTCACGGCCGAGACGACAACGTACTTTGCTGCATCCTACGATGCGCTTCTCGCCGGCCTCACGTACCACTCGACCACGTTCCGTTCGTTTTCGACCAAGGTGGAGCAGGCGTGCCTCCTTGTGCTCAACCCGCCCACGGACCTCGCGCTGGCGCGCCTCGTGCTCCCAAGCGCCGCCCGCTGCCTCGGCGCCGTGGCCAACGCGACGGCCGTCGACGCGACGAGCGCAGCGTGGACTCAGGTACTTGCATCTTCCCCTGTACCAGCTAGGGTACTCATCGTGGCACTAGCTCGTGGAACGGTCGCTGCTCTCGTTGCACTACCAGCTCGACCTTGCGAGCGGCAAGGACAATTCGAGCGAGTCGCGCAGTCGCCCCGCGTCGCTTAAGAACTGGGTCAAGGACACGACGTATCCGTCGCTGCCGCTGTACCTCCAGGCCCAGCGCGTCGCCTTCAAGTTCGAAGCCCTCGGCGCGTTCCTCGAAGCGCTGCTTGGCAACGGCAGCGTGGCCGAGAAGGACGTCTCGGCCATCGCACCCGAGATCCTCGCGCTGCTTCGCCGCGCCTTTACCGTCCGCGCCGACGCGGTTGGCAAGCAGGTACCTTGCATCTTTCTGTCTTGCATGCTCTCATCCACGTCGTAGAGTGCTGTCTCGGAAGACGGCCGCATGCTCCCGAGCAGTGTGCTGTACGGAATCCTCGCGTCGTTGCAGTGCCCGCTCTACCGCGTCCTGTCGGCGCTCTTGCGCCGTGGCCACCTCACCTTGTACCGGTACGCGTCACTGCTCACCAAGGTCGTGACGCTCGCGTGTCATGGCGCCATGCCCGCCGCGCATGACGCGCTCCACGCAACGCTCCAGGTCGTCGCCACGTCGCTGGGCGCTGGCGGCTATGCGTCGACAACGACGTTCGTGCTGCAGTGGGTCCTCGCGTCCACGGAAGCGCTCCTCGCCCAAGCCAACGCCAAGTCGGGTCTCCAAGTGCAGTCGTCCAAGGCGCTCAACGCCAAGAAGCGTCGGCGCGACCAGCTCCCGCTCGTGACCGAGAGCACGGCCACGTCGCTGCCACTCAATGACAAGCGTCGCCTGTCGACGCAGGTCAACGCGGCGCTGCAAACGCTCGCCGCGATCTTGTATGCTGCGGGCAGCTGGGTCGCCGCCGACGACCGCTTGCGCATCGCCAACCTCGTCGCGTCGTGCCTCTCCGAGTCGGTGCTCTCGCTCTCGGCGGAGGCGGTGACGCTGCTCGGCCTTGCCAACGCAGTCGTTGTCGACGGCCACGGCCAGCGCGGGATTGCCCTCGCGCATTGCATGCAGGCGTGGTCGAGCCGCCGCGCCGGCGACGTCCGGCACCTCGCACTGAGCGTCGGCGAGAGCATCTTGCACCCGCGCGCACCGCCCATGGCCATCGACCTGACGCCGACGACGACCAACGCGCATCGCCACGCTCATCTCTCGACCAAGCGTCTCTCGGAGAAGCTCTCGAACGACATGGACTGGGACGACGAGAGTGCCAAGGACGAGGATGAGAATGAGGACGACGACGATGCCGAGGCCGAGGTCAAGGACGACGCTGTCGAGGAAGACGATGATGGTATGGATGCATTGTGGTGTCGAGCGGAGAGAGGCTCATGTCTGGTACGACTAGTCGATGACGAGAAGGACCCGGCGATGAAGCGGCACAAGGTCGACGACACCGTCGCAGATGCCAGCACGGAGGAGGCGCTGGAGGATGCCCCGGAGGATGCGACGCCCGAGGTCGCGTCGGTGCCGGTGGCCGCGCCGGTGGCCGCGCCGGTGGCCGACGACGACGAAGAGTTTGATTTCCCTGATATCGTCGACGAAGACTAGATATGTTAGAAGCCAATAGACTCGGACTATATAAACACTGCATGCATGGATCGTCCTTGGCCAAGATCCGAAACGGAATTCAATAGGACGATGGGCAATGACGCCTCGCGCGAGTCGACACCGCATGGTCTGACCGACAAACGTCCGATGGCCGCCGGCCGCGCGGTGTTCGCCGCCAAGGCCGCGCGCTACGAGGTGCACCATTCCACCGATAGGTAGTAGGTCGCTCACCGCATCTCCCGGCGCACTAGACGCCGAGCAACAACAACGACAACGACAGTGATGACAGTGACGACGACGAGCCTCGCATGCCACCGCCGCCGGTGCGAGGGCCCGTGCAGGCTACGCGTCCAGTCACGCAACCGCCGGCTTCGTACTCGGTGCGGTCACCGCCCGTTGTGCCTGCGCACTTGCGGCCCAAGATTCTTCTGCCAAGCGCCAAGGGACTCGTTCCTGGCGACCTCACCGCGGCGCGTACACATGACGACGATAACAATGACGCACGCACGCTACGCGCATTGTGGCGGGCGCCGAGCCATTAGGACCGAGGAGACTTTGGCGAAAGGGTATTCATTCTGCCTCCCAGCTCAGCGTACCGTTGTAGAAATATACTACGGGTAGTGATAACCGCCGCCTGGCTATTAAGTGTCTGGATCATGGGCATGGTCTGCGCCAAGTCTGCAATGCGCGACGAGCCACCAGCCTTTACGCCTGCGTCGCAGTGGAACGATCGGCGCCAAGAGTCGGTCGAAGAGGTCGTTGTGCCCATGAGCAACGAAGAGTTGGCCCTCCGGACGCTGCAGTACGACGCCAACGGCGCGGGAATGTTTGAAAAGTTCGAGTCGCAGTCGGGCGCCCGCGTCGTGCACTCGACGCCGTCGACGCCTGAACCGTCCACGCACGAGGTACACATGCTTCGAGGCTCGCTGCTGACACGGCTGCACAGGACGAGGCCAACGATGTCATTGACGATGCGACCGACAAAGGTATTAGTACCGTCGACCTCAGCCACCTCGGCATGATGAATGCATATTACTTGGAATAGCAACGACGGCCAAGGTGCTCCAAGAGCAGGCGCCCATCGGTCGACGGGCCTTTGGCGCGCGCATCGTCGCGCCGTCAGTGTCCGTGGGCATCTTACCGGGGCTCTACGACGCCGCGACGCCGGAGGCAGATGACCCCGAGATTGACCTGGCGCTGCATTTGGGCCGTGCCAAGCCCAGGAGGCCATGAGGAATCCAACTCCTCGTATTTATTATAAAGACATGACATCGTAGAGGACTAGAGTCGTCGCGATGTAGACATACGATTAGGTCGACGGACCGGCTTGTTGGCTGTACTGGAAGAGCACTTTGATGATCTTGGGCAGGTTGGGCACGAGGACGTCGGCGTCTTCGGCGAGGTCTTCGAGCGACGAGGCGCCGCCGAGGACCCCGATCGAGAGGCCGCAGCCCGCGTGCTTGCCGAGGAGCATGTCCGTGCACGTGTCGCCGACCTAGTAGTACGTGATATTGAAGCGAATGCAGGGTCACGTGGATGGACCATGATGGTGTTGTGGGGCGCGATACCGAGGTTGTGGCACATGGTCCAGATCTACCATTACCACCACTTGTCCAGCGACAAAGGGACGAGGCATGGGAGTGCACCTGCTCGGGCGCTGGTTTGGCGGGCAGTCCGTCGTCGCCGCACGAAATGGCGTCCACGAGGTGGTCGACTTGCAAGTGCTTGAGCGTCGCCATCGTCGGCGCGCGGTTGTCGGCGGTGCACACGGCGATCTTGATGCCCATGCGTTTGATGGTCAAAAAAAGCGCCGGGATGTCGGCGAGCGGCCGCGACGTGTTGACGGCGTCGGGCATCTGCCACACCTTTTTGATCGCTTTCTCGGCAGCGTCGGTGGCGACACCTTCGTCGAGGAGGACCTTGACCGCGACTTGGTACAGCTCGCCCATCGGCGTGCAGCAGAGCGCGCCTTTCGATCGAATCGAGCGCGAGATCCAATCGTAGCCCATGGCCGTAAAGAGCTTCTCGCGCACGGGCAGCTTGGTCGTCATTTCGAGCTGCCATGCCACCGACTCGACCCAGCCGCCCCACATCAAGTTGAAGTCGATGAGCGTCCCGTCCTTGTCGAACACCACGAGCGCTGGCTTGCACGCAGCAGGAGGGTGCGTCGAGAAGAGCCGAGAAAAGCGCGTGCTGCGCCGACGTAGAGAGCGCAGCATCGTTGTACTTCACCGTCGGTGGAATTGAATATGGCAACCCGTCCGCGGATGCTTCAAGATCGCAAGCGCTTCGAAAATCATGGCCGTAGCATCTGGCTTCGATATTTTAATTCAATTTTATATACAAATCTGTAGATACACGCGTCGACCTTTTTTACAGAGTATCTATTTATAGCGACTAAGATCTGAACGGCAAGCGATTCCAGTCGGCTCTGGGCGAGACCAGAGGCAGATCTTGCGTCCCATAGCCTTGGCTCTGCGGTGCAGTGCTTTCTCGAGGAGGAGGACCGTGCGAGAAAGAAGAGGTCTGGCCATCGACAGCAACGACGAAGTGTTTGGATCGAGTGGCAACTTCAACCGTACCAGCTGCGAGCGGATCTCATCGAGAATCTCAGTCGTCGTGAGGAAGCCATTGATACAGGCGCCTATAAATTGAGGACGGGCCACAGGGCCAAGGTCGATGATTGCTCTCCACGAGCATCTGCATTCACACAGTTGCCGTAGCCGAACGCACTCGTCTCTCCCTGCACCGCAGCTTCACTCTCTTACCTGGCTACACCCACTCTCCGCCACACTCACTACCCACCACCAAGGGTCTCACCTATGTTGCCACGGACAGCTCGCTTCGCCTCGATCGACAACACAATGTGGCATCAATGCACCTCCTTCCAGCCACAAAGTTGCTTGTGTACGGTCCCTAGTTCGTTAAGCTGCCACGCAGTCGCTCGCATACTAGAGTTGGTGCCTATTGCTACTACTATCAAGGTTTCAAGCGACTTTGCAGTTTGATGTACAGTATTAGCATCTATGTTGCAGCGTCCGTGGGATCGCACATATTGGCTGCCACGTGTGGTTCGGATACGACATCTCTATCCGGACTCGATTTTCGTTTCGGCGAATGCCGAAATTAGACGCGTCCGAAAACCCGCCCGAGCCGACACCATCATCGTCCTACCAGCAGCAGCAGCAGCATGGCCCAGCACCTGCCGAATGCAAGCGCCTTGTTTGGTACGACGGCGTCGATGGCCTTTCTTCGTTCATGCATGTCTACGTGGTAGAGCTCCACGAGCACATTGTGAACAAGCGCCTCGACGATGGACGCATGTACGACGACGACCACCCGCTCGCGTACCCGCAGCGGTCGGCGACCGCCGCCAAGTACCGGCAATGGCGGCTCTGCGACGACGCGCTCTCCAAGTACAAGGAGGTCGCACGCTCTGGGCAGCACAAGCAGCAGCAAAATGCGTACATTGAGGCCGTCCTCTGCACGGGCAGCGCGCTCGCCCCGAAAATCACCGCCCAATGGTTCCACTGCCTCAAGCGCCAAGAAGCGCAGGGCCAATGCGCGCTCGTCACGCGCCTCCTCGAGCGCAGCCTCCGCGTCGAAGGCCAAGCGCTGCTGCGGCACATGGCCCCCGAGTTCCACCCGACAACGCTGTAGCTCGAATCATTTCTTGCATGTAAAAGGCTCTCATGTCCGTAAGTAGCAAGGGAATACATGGATTCTTCCCTTGGTTCGTAGTAGTAGTAAGGATGGAGGGATGCGCTTACTGCACGACGTACGCATCGGTCGAGACGAGCTGGTCAAAGCCGTACTTGACGGGCGCGCTGTCGGCAATGCGCAGGACCGAGTCGACGCTCAAGTCGCAGTAGATCGAGCGCGAGAAGAACGACACGGAGATCGGAAAGAACGCGTCGAGGTCCGCGCCCCGGATGGAAAACTCGAGCGAGCCCGAGCTATTTGCGCCCGAGATCGAGTCGAGGTGCCAGAGGAGCGCGCCGTCGGCCGCGTTGTGCCGGTAGTCGCCGTCAATGTGCGAGACGGCCGGGAGGTCGGTCGCGCCCAGCGGGATCACAATGTTGACGTTCTCAAGCGTCATGTTGCGGTCCATCGAGTACTCGAGGCTCACCGTCATCTACAAAACAAAACTCAAAAAATCAAATAATCGACAGGATGGGCGAGAGTACCTTGCCGTTGCCCTCTTCTTCGGGCCAGCATGTAATGTTGAGTGGCAGGAACGTCTCGTCTTGCGTCTTGATGGCCCAGCGCAGAACGGCGACGCGCGACGGCGGGAACGGCTTCGAGTCGTCCTGCGCCATATCCATTGCGGTGACGATGAGAGACCAATCTCCATATGTGTACCTTGAGGGCCAAAATGGACTGCGCTTCAAAGAGCTTCTTGTCGACCTTGGGGTGCGTCTACAAGCATCGGAATAAGAAAAGAATCAGCATGCGCGGTGTAGGGATAGATGCGGGTACCTGAAAGTTGATGCCGTTGGCGTTCGAGTGGCGCAAATGAAGGCGGCAGACCGCCGACTCGGGGTCATTACCCGCCACGTACAAGGAGCCCTTGACCTCGAGCTGCTCGACAGCGCCGTCGCGGTTGAGTGACACCGAAATTTTCTCTTCAATCGCAATCCCGACCGGCTCCATGCTCACGGCAGCCGCGGGCTCGGGCTTGGCCGACGGCGCAGGCATGCTGGCAGCCGCCATCGCCATGGGCGGGATCTCCTTGAGGTCGTCCTCGGCCGCCATGGCGTCGAGGAAGCTGTTACCGGGCTTGGAGCCGCCGAGCTTCATGCCCGACGTCTTGGACGTAGCGACCGAGAGCTTGGGCGCCTCCGTGTACGTCGGCTCGGACGACTTGAACGTGTTGCTCGATGACGCCGACGGCGACGCAAACCCGCTGCTGCTGCTGCTGCCAAAGCCGCCGTATGCCGACGACGCGTTGCGGTTGAAGGGCGAGGACATGCCCGCAGCCTTTTCCATGCGCGCCTTCTCGCGCTGCTCTTCCTTGATGCGCTGCTGCTGGCGCTTCATGTCGGCGATCGCGTTCTCTTGCTTGGTCTTCTGGATCATCAAATGGAGCTTCTCTTCGTGCGACTCCATCTCCATGTTGGTGCGGATCTGCGCGAGATTGATGTTTTCCGAGTGGCCGCCGGCATTGAGGAGCTCGTCGAAGCCAAAGACGAGATCGAACTGCTTCTCGCGGATGTGGGCTTCCGTGAGCGGGCCGCAAATATCGGGCACGAGCTTCGCCATGAGCTGCATCGTGTGCAGATCCTCGACAATGTTGCTCGTCTTGTTGGTAATCAAGAGCAGGAAGAAGTTCTCGATCGGCTGGTACACATAACGCACGCTCTCCGTGTCGATAAACGTGTGCTGGCGCGACTCGCTCGCCAAGAGCTTTGGAAATGCTGTCAAGAGACCCTAATGTACATGCGTCAGAGACCGCCACGCGTCGACACCATATACCTCCAGTCGGATCCGGGACACCTCGACAAACTGGCGGGCGACCATGACTAGGCGCCGTCATTAGGAGCAAGTGCATGCCAGGGTGCCTACCTTTGCCGTTCTTGGCCAAGAGTGCTGCGGAGAGGACGACCTAGCCACCGATGGATCTCAGGATCGCGATGATAGCCATGCATGGCCGCCATGGCGCCACGCTCGTACCATGGTGAGGTAGCTAGGAAGAGGCTAAGATCTATGTCGACGGCGGGCTCGGCGGACGCACGTGCAGCGGCGACGGACTCTTGTTCTTCGGCCCTGGGGGAGCTAAAATGAGGTTGAGACGGATTGCCTGACGGACTCGCCTTTGCGCCAATCAGCGCCCTCCACATCCGAATTAATCACACCTTTTCAGCCAATTAAACGTGACCAGCAAAAGCCCTGGAAGGCTTCGGCCACAACCCCGGGGCACGCCATATATCATATCCGTCTCAATATACAAACATTTTTCTGTACTGTCTCGATCCGATGCAGCCGTGGCGCCGCGCTCCGGCGGCTGTGACGGTCAAGAGTCCTCTCATGCATGACTCTTACTGTCGACACCCGCATAGTCACGCTTTGCCTGTGGGCCTCAACCTGTCGACGCGAGGCTACTGTAGAGCCCTACCCCCGACAGCCCAGTTGGTGCCATACTATGATGCACGACAGCACTGCACTCAAATCCACGTTTATACCAAGAAGGCTACAAGGCCAGCCTCACAGCTACAAGTTGCTGAAGCAACAGAGCTCTCCCTGGAGCTCCTGCATCGCGAGACACCCAACCTGACACCCAAACCGAGAGATGCTCGTCGGTTGATGCGACCCCACCTGACGCTGCATTGTGATTTGTCTTATCGTCGCAGAGTTATGGAGAGGCGAAGCGTTCTAGTTAGAAGAGGTCGGCGGTCTTGAGCGGGTGCGGGCCAGAATGCAAACGTCGCGGACTCTGAGGAATATTGGTGCTCGCTTGGATCTCGGACGCCTCCTTCTCCATCGCGCGCTGGTAGATGGGCTCGACGCACGACTCGTCGGCCATCGTCACGTTCAGGTCTCGAATCTCGCCGTCTTCAATGCTAATGCACTACTTGAGTTGACGTAAGTCAATGGAGTCTACCTGTAGCACCAGCCGTGGACACTGAGCTCTTGGCCCGCCTTCCACGCATTTTGCACAATGCGGGTGTGGCACACCTAGCAGCATTCGATGAGCGCTCTTGATGATTTTCAGTCGACGTACATTGTAGACCGACTTGGTGACGTTGAGCTCCGTGAGCAAGTTGAGCTTCTGTTTCGGCTGCTCCAGCGCTATCTTTGTGTGATGGCGTCGGCAGCGCATCGGGCCACGCACCGAGAAAGTGCGCCTTGTGCTCGATGTAGAGGTCCTTGATCGAGCGGAGCCAGTTGTCGACGAGGCCAAACTCTTGTCGACTCAGGGCAGCCTTGACGCCCGAGCACCCGTAGTGCCCGCACACGATGATGTGCTTGACCTTCAGATGCACGACCGCATACTCGATGACCGAGAGGCAGTTGAGGTCGCTGTGCACTGACAACGCATCGCGTTCGCATCCATTCTCGTGGAATGCACATACCGACTTCGTTGGCGACGTTCGAATGCACAAAGACGTCACCAGGCTTGAGGTTCAGGATCTGGTTCGGCGGCACCCGCGCGTCCGAGCAGCCTACACCATGCTCGTTGGCGTGACTATTGCGAGACGAGCCATGCACGTACCGATCCAGAGGATCTCGGGGCTCTGCGCTCGCGATAGCTTCTCAAAAAAGTACGGCGAGTCGCGCACGGTCTCGGCGGCCCACTGCCGATTGCGCTGTAGTAGTTCGTGCACGCCCTTGGCGCCACCCGAGACGGCGCCGTGGCGGGGCGACGATATCAAGGGCCGCCCGATGCTAATATTGAGCTCGTGGTTAAGCTCGGTCTCCCACTGCTCTGGGATGCGATCTGGCGACAGCCATACGGGTACATCGGCGCGACCAAGCGAGTCCCGGTGCTTCTTCGATCGCTCGGCGTCCATGCTTGGTTGACGCTTCGCACGGGCGAGAAAGATATGCTTGTGGAACTCGAAAAGCCGGTGGCTAAATCAACGCCCCTCAGCCCGGGTTTGTTCCCAGAAACGATCGCGACGTCTGCCGATAGTCGTCGCGGAGCTCTGTCGCGACTTGCTACTGTAGCATTGCACTTGGTTGAGCTAGGCATCTGCTTCCCATGCGACCACATCGTATGGACAGCAAACTAGATGCCTTTAACGTTGCATTTTGAGTGCTACATGGATGCTAACGTTACTTGTGGTTGAGGTCTAGCCTTGCTCGGATCTGGAAGAGGCAAAAATGATTGCGAGTCTACAACGATGCGCCCGGACCCTGGTGGACGAGGCCCGCGGCGTCCGGGCGCTGCGTGCGTACGAGGTACGTCTGGCTAATGTACGAACACGTCGGGCGAACCTTGAATCCTACGATGCGAGCAGAGGTTTAGGTGACGCCGCCAACGACTTGAGTCGCACCGTTCTCCTTGGCGTAGTCAAAGGCAGCGTCGCAGAGCTTTTGGGCGAGGCCCATGCCCCGCGCCGCCGGCAAGACCACCGTGTGGGCCAGATCCAAGACCTTTTGCCTGCACGGTGTATATATCATCAATGTAGCAGCTTGGAGACGCACCCTTGGAGCGTCAGTGGTTCGTATTCGAGGTAGCCCAGCTCGGTTGCGGCCGCGTCCGTGGCGACAAAGCACTGGCGGCGGAGGTTGTGGGCGATGCGCATCGTCGCCATCGTCGTCGGCTGCAGATTGGATTATCCAAGCCAGTCTCGCTGCGTCCCATTGGCCAATACGAAATTGCGAATACGTTATTTAACAATAGAAAGCATCTTGGTGTGCACTCGCTCCGCGGCCCGGACTTTTCCCGGAATGGTACATTTTTAGGCAATTCACCCTTCCCGCCCCACACTTTGTCGATGCTCATTGGCTGAATGGCACTTCAATGTACTGGAATTGCCATAAAAAGTAAAAGATATGCGTGCACAGATTTGTCCAGGTTCATTTGTCAATTGACTCGGTACCACGCAGTCCACCATGAAGATGTACTGTACGATGGCTCTCCTCTGCGCGATCGCGTACGCCGAGACGCTGCCCTGCGCCGGCCAGATGCTTCAGACCACACTGACGCCCGTCTTGGGCCGCGGCGACACCCTCATCAAGTGCTGCAAGGCAGCGGGTGTGACGCCGGACGTGCCAGCGTATCCTGCCCGCGTCACGGAGGCCCAGGCCACAGCCTTAGCCAATGACCCAAGCTGCCAAGCGATCTATGCCAGCACCCAAGGTGCACTCAAGGACGTCTCGCCGCCGTGCGGGCTCAGCGAAGCCGCGACGACGGCCACGATGCAAACGATGACGTACCTCGAGTACATTCAAGGCTTCCAGCTCGGTGCAGCGCCTAGTGGGGACGCCACGACTCCTTCAGGCAGTGCGGCAGCGACGTCGTCCGCGCGCGGGCCGTCCACGCTGCCAACGAACGCGATTGTGCTCCTCGCTGCCCTTTCCAGCGTCGCCGTTGCGTACGCGTAGCGCATCGTCGCGTCATGCCCTGTACTACTAACAAGGACACTATATAAGCTTACCCCTTCTCGTCGCCATCTCAAGCTGCTGCGGACTATCAGGTTACTGTACATCACACTCCTTCTACCTACGGTATCTACTACGGTAGTACATACCACAGTACTAGCTAGTACTGTACACGCTCGTGCATATGTACGGCTCGGATTGTGACGAGATGGCGAGCTTTGCAGACATCTTGAGCCAGCCGTCCATCGCAGCGCTCGTCTTGAGCTACCAGTGTGGCATCTACGGCGACGTGTATCCTCGCTTTGCGGCGTCTCGGCGAGCGGTCGAGTGTCGTTGCGGGTACGCCGAGCGTGGCATGTACGTCATTGTCACGTCCCTCGTCGCCGACGACAGCGTCGACACGGACGACGAGCATCTTTCAGTGCTCTACGCGACCACGCTTGGGCTCACCCTCGCCAGCGATAGCGATGCGCGGTTTCCGCTGCACGTGTCGATTGCCGAAGGCGACGCGTACATCGTCGACCGAGTACTGGTCCGCATCTGGCGTCCGCCGAGGCCATCGAGACGGCCTTTCTGCACCACCGCGTAGCGATTGCAAAGGACTTCCTCGTGCGCCGCGACCCGTCCCTGCCAGCGCTGTATGTGCGGCAATCGCCGCTGGACGCCGATCATTGGACCCAACGGAATGGCCTGCGTACTGTGCTCTACCACGACAGCGCCGAGGCCTTTGCTTGGTTTTTGCAATACGCAAGCTTGCCCAGCACCAGCGAGTAGATCCGCTTGGCCGTCGACGGTGATTGCACAAATGCTGCCCGGTGTTTGCTGGCGCTGGTGGAGGACGCCAACGTTCCTGTCATGTCTGTGTGACGACGACGCCTTCAACTGGGCGATCGCGACGCTCTTTGTGAGGACAACAGAGGACGTGTTCGCGCCTGCCCCGAGGATCTCTACCAAGAGCTTCTACCGCATGCGCACGTCGAGTCGACACCGCTGCTTCCAGAGACATGGAAGAGCACTGGCGAACCAGAGATTATGGCCTACGATTGCACTAAGCCTAAGATCGAAATTGCGTCGAGCCAGTTTCCCGCGCAAACCGATTGCAACTTGACGTGTAACCGGTTAGCCAACACCGTCCGAGGCTGAACCGGCTGGTCCTGCGACAGATGCGACATTTATCAAGACTGTCTCTGACAGTAGCAATGGAGGCGACAGCACTGGCCGGCCAGCCAAGGGCCGCTGTGGCACGGGCGACAGCGACGATGACAGCGGCAAGTGCAACCAGAACCAAAGCTAGCAAGAGCACGAGGTATGTACGTCGCCCGCTGGGCCTCGAAGAGGCGGCAACAAGCCACGGCAAGACCAACGTTGGCCCGTGACCAACACCCATAGCAGCAAGCCCATACGCACAAGCCTCCATGGCTCGTCAAGGACTGCTAGCCAGCGCTCTACGATAGTATTCGCCGATAGATCTTTAGTAGGATGGAATGGCGCCGTCCATGCGTGCGTTGCGACCTTGATGACCCATGTACGAGACTGCGGCATCGATCCGCACGGCTACGAGGCGCGTCGCTTGCTGTCAAGTACGACAACTCTCTCTATGGCATGATTTAGCTCGGAAATCGTACTGTAATTCTTCCTGTCGTTGGTAAAAGCGTGGTGGGCCGACTCGAATTCCCGTCCTTTCTTCCTGTTACTCTAGCGTTTTCTCCCCACCGCCATGTCGATGGACGAGTACCTCCGTGCCGACTGCCCTCCGCGCATCCAGAAGCAGCTCATGGAGCTCGCATCGCGCAACACGCGGCGCGTCTTGGCCTGGATCGACGCGCCCGTCAACGACCCGAGCGTGACGACAACGACGGCCGGGCCCATCTCGGTGAGCACGACGAGCGCTCGGTACCCGCGGCGCTACCAGCGCGTGATCGTGCGACACGCCATGGACGTCTCGTCCGACGAGCTGCATCGCGTCTTGTTGCCGAGCGGCGACCTCAGCCTCGAGGCGCAGCTTGTGTTTTGCTCGCCCTCGGATGACGTCAAGGACGTGACCGAGTGTTGCCACTGGCCAACGGGCAACGTCGGCGAGTTTGTCAACGGCGTCGACGTCCGCGTCAAGAAAGCGGCTTGGGCGTCCAAGAGCTCGTCGCTGCCGTCGGGGTCGCACCGCTTTCTCCAGCACTCGAGCCATGTGTGGGACCGGCCGGGGCCGCCCGTCCACGTCTCGAGCCTCACGGCTGTCGCCGAGTACCACGTGACATCCGCCCAGCGCGTGGCCACGGACGCCCTCGCCCCGACCGTCCTCGGGCTCGTCATGACCGCCGGCGACGGCGGCGGCGTCGTCCTCGCCATTGTCGCGGTCGTCGCGGACAAGCACGCGTTGCTCTTTGAGACGCTCGCAAAAGCAACGATGAGCAAAGTCCTCGAACGCGTCCAGAGTCTTCGGTTCGCATCTTACTCGTCGACTGTCTCGTCGCTGCTGCCGGGTGCCATCGCGCGGGGCACGCTCGGGGCCAAGCCAAAAACCAAGTTCCTCGACCGCGTCCTTGGCCGCGACGCGCCGCCGCGACTGGATCACTCGGCCTCGCTCTTGCTCTCGCCGCGCGGCAACGCAGTTGACGCACTCCCATCTGGCGCCAGCGTGTGCTATCTCTGCCCCACCAAGACCAAGCCGTACCGCCACTGCGTGCTCTGCAAGCAGCTTCTGTGCAAGAAATGCCGGGAGAAAGTCCATGGCAAGCGTGTCTGCCGCCCGTGCATGTACAAGGGCCAGACCGTCGCGCCGCGCGAGAGCGGCTCAGACGCCCGCAGCTCCGAGTCGTCGTCGAGCGCGTCGCAGCGTGCACCGTCGTCGGCCACGACCCGGTCGTCGCACCGCGGCGGCGACGATCTGCCGTGGGAGGTGTCGATGACCATGACGACCTGCAGCGACGACAGTCTGCCGAACGACTTGAACGACGAGGGCGCCGACTTCTATCGTGACACCGAAGTCTTTGCCTCGGCAGCGACGTATCGGGACACGGAGGTCACGCGGTCCGTGCACCGGCTTGGCCACCTCGAGGCCGACTTTAACGCGGTCTGCGCGGCCATGTGCGCCGAGCTGGACTGCAAGTATGCGCTCGTCGTCATTGGCGACGTTGTGAGTGGCGTTTACTACCCCGCGAATGCGACCGGCGTGCATCACGCGCTCAAGCTCGTGCCAACGACCAAGTTTGTGGGCCGCCACGCGTACCACTTACACCATATCAAGGAGCTGGCGTTTGTGCTTCAGAAGAACCTCTTTGCTGGCCCCCAGCGCATCGGCCACGTCCTTCTCGCCGACGACAAGATGCACCGCCGCGGCGATCTGGCGCAAACGACAGCCACGCTGCAAGCGTACGAGGACACGCTTGTCGAGATCAACCAGTCGACCATTTTGTAAGCGTTTTATGACTATGATGGACCATGCTATCCCAGCAACGTTCCTTTGTGGACAAAGACAGTGCACAGGGCGTGTTGGATCGTGGAGACGCGTCGGAGCTCTGCAGATGTTGGAGGGTGTCAATAGTGGGCTTGGCCTCATGCAATGATTGTCGGCCAAGAATATCCCCAAGCAGACGCCGTGCGGGTGGTCGCAAATCACTCAGGCTGTCCTGCATTCGCCCTCGTAGGCAAACCTAAGCTCCACTCATGCTGCTGCCACCTCTCTGCGGAAGGTCATCATCCATCACTGCTCGGACAGTCTGCAACAAAAGCATTTCTGACGACGCGACGCTGGTCGTGCCATGCAAGGCGCGTCGATACAGCCACCGCGCCCAGCAATCCGACGTTGTTGCACCTGCGCCGCCATAACTCGCTTAAAGGCGAGCGACAGCAATTCGCTGCAGGCGTGTCTAGACGGTGCAGTACGTCGCTGGGACCACTGCGTCATAGATCCCATGGCGTCACACGCACACCATTGCTGCTACGCAATAGCTGGGACTCTGGGCTAGAAAGGCCATGGCCAAGACCAAGAGCGTCGGCGGCTGCGGTCGACGGGCCACGGCCCGCGGCCTCGTCCGTTGCCACCGGGTGCGTTTCGCGTTTCCCGATCCGATCGCCAGTCACCGTTTTGGGTCTGGTGATTAAAAGGCAATATATTGCAATTTCATCATAATCAATACAAACACCAAGGTGAAATAAAGAAAGCGGCAATGAATTCCGTGGGCCAGTGTGGACGGCCCTGGCCTGTGATTGGTCCATTTTATAATTGGTTTGATGAGATTCCTTGCTGCGGGCCCGAAAACCCTCTGAAAACACATACTTCAGTGCCCACCGGCGCTGACAGGATGTGGGGTCTCGGAGGTTTTGGCGACATAATGACGACAACCCGCAGTGTCCATTGAACGAACCATCGATTGATTGACCTTTGGTGCATGAACACGGCGTTGGACGTTGCTATCACGGGCGCATAGAGCCCACGCAATTATGTCGTGGTGAGGAGAGACTCCATGCACCTAAGGACAACACGACGTTCGTCTTGATGAGCTGTAACTCGAGCGAGAGCAACGACCGAGGCATATCGAATCGTGCGCGACTAGCAGAATGCCGTTGGACGAGGGTATGACGTCGCGAGCTGCAGACTACGATCTTATTTCCCCGACCTATGCCATCGTCATGACCACCTTGGTGATGGCCAGAGTGTCGATCAAGTGGCAAGCAATCCTAAATGCGTGCGATTCTACACCGTCATACAAGCTCAACACTATTGAAGAGTCTATCCGACGTGGTGCTCTTCGACACATGCTTGTCTAGATTCTATCCACTCCGCCAACGAATCTCTCGACCCACCATATACACTCGCGCATCATCATCATAACATTGAAATCATGCAGCTCACCAGCACGTCGATTGCGTTGGGAGGCTGCATGATGCGTCTCGTCACCGCCAACAACGGCGTCGTTTCGTCGGCTTCAGAAAGGACGCGCCCAACGGACGTGGCTCCGCGACAGGCGCGTATGTCTTGTCGCAGGCTATTGCATCGGAGAGGTTTGAACGTCGAAAACCTCTGAGACTGGATACTGGAACATCAAGCACATTGAAATGCCCTCCACCCATTGAGCGCCACTCAAGGCGCTGGCGAATAGGGTTGCTTCTGTAATAGAATTCCGGTCGGCGCTGCTCTATCTACGCTTTTGTATGTAATTTAATAAAGGACCGTGAGATTCGAACGTGGCTGGCCCAAGCCTGCTCACTTTGCATTTTCGCCTCACGGTCACAAGAAGCAGCAAACATGGTACGCCAAGATGATCCTGCAAGTGGCCATGCGCTTCCTCTTCCTCGACGGACGCATGGCAGCTGCATGACGATGCGGAAAATGACGCTTATGATGTGTGTCTAGGTGAACTTCACGGTTAATCAGATGCGTGAGATCATGGACTACACGAAGAACATTCGTAACATGTCCGTGATTGCCCACGTCGATCACGGTAAGTCGACCTTGACGGACTCGCTCGTCTCCAAGGCCGGTATCATTGCCGCCAAGAACGCCGGTGACGCCCGCTTCACGGACACGCGTGCCGATGAGCAGGAGCGTGGTATCACGATCAAGTCGACGGGTATCTCGATGTTCTTCGAGTACAACATGTCGGCCGGTGAGGCCCTCGCTGCCAACAAGGCCCACGCCGACGCCGATGCCGCCTCGGGCGTCGAGCACGGCGCGCCCACGGACGTCGAGATTAACGAGAACTCGTACCTCATCAACTTGATCGACTCGCCCGGTCACGTCGATTTCTCGTCGGAAGTCACGGCTGCCCTCCGTGTCACGGATGGTGCCCTCGTCGTCGTCGACTCGATCGACGGTGTGTGCGTCCAGACCGAGACGGTCCTTCGCCAGGCCATCGGTGAGCGCGTCAAGCCCGTGCTCATGGTCAACAAGGTCGATCGCGCCCTCCTCGAACTCCAGCTCCCGCCGGAGGAGTGCTACCAGGCCTTCAACCGCTCGATCGAAAACGTCAACGTGATCATTGCCACGTACAACGACGAGAAGCTCGGCGACGTCCAGGTCTACCCCGAGAAGGGTACGGTCGCCTTCGGTTCGGGTCTCCACCAGTGGGGTTTCACCCTCAAGAAGTTCGCCCGCCTCTACGGCCAGAAGTTCGGCATTGAGGAGTCCAAGATGATGGAGAAGCTCTGGGGCGACTGGTTCTTCGACGCCGATGCCAAGAAGTGGAAGCGCTCGTCGGAGAACGGCACGCTCAAGCGCGCGTTCGTCCAGTTCATCATGGAGCCGATCTGCAAGATGTTCGACGCCATCATGAACGACCGCAAGGCCAAGATCGCCAAGATGCTCACGGCCGTCGGCGTTGAGCTCAAGCCCGAGGAGCAGGAGCTTGTCGGCAAGCCCCTCCTCAAGCGCGTCATGCAGAAGTGGCTCCCGGCCGGTGATGCCATTCTTGAGATGATTGTCGTGCACCTCCCGTCGCCCGTCGTCGCCCAGCGCTACCGTGTCGACACGCTCTACGACGGTCCTCTCGACGATGAGTGCGCCAACGGTATCCGCAACTGCGACGTCAACGGCCCCCTCGTCATGTACGTCTCGAAGATGGTGCCCACCTCGTCGGACCGCGCTCGCTTCTACGCGTTCGGCCGTGTCTTCTCGGGTAAGATCGCCACGGGCCAGAAGGTCCGCATGCTTGGCCCCAACTACGTCCCGGGCAAGAAGACGGATCTCTGGGTCAAGAACATCCAGCGTACGATCATCATGATGGGCCGCTACGTTGAGCAGGTCCCGGACATCCCGGCCGGTAACACGTGCGGTCTCGTCGGTGTCGACCAGTACCTCCTTAAGTCGGGTACGATCACGACGTCGGAGACGGGCCACACCATCCGCACCATGAAGTTCTCGGTCTCGCCCGTCGTGCGCGTCGCTGTCGAGCCCAAGTCGGCCGCCGATCTCCCCAAGCTCGTCGAAGGCATGAAGCGCCTCGCCAAGTCGGACCCGATGGTCCTCTGCTTCACGGAAGAGTCGGGCGAGCACATTATCGCTGGTGCCGGTGAGCTCCACCTCGAGATTTGCTTGAAGGATCTCCAGGAAGACTTCATGGCCGGTGCCACGGTCAAGATCTCGGAGCCGGTCGTCTCGTACCGCGAGACGGTCACGTCGGACTCGTCGATGACGGTCCTCTCCAAGTCGCCCAACAAGCACAACCGTCTCTTCTGCTCGGCCACCAACCTCTCGGACGAGCTCGTCGAGGAGATCGACTCCGGCAAGGAGGAGGTCGGCCCCCGCTACGATATGAAGCTTCGTGCCCGCTACCTCGCCGACAACCACGGCTGGGACGTGACGGATGCCCGCAAGATCTGGGGCTACGGCCCCGATGGTACGGGCCCCAACATCTTCGTGGATGCCACGAAGGGTGTGTCGTACCTCCAGGAAATCCGCGAATCGGTCCTCGGCGGCTTCCAGTGGGCCACCAAGACGGGTGTCCTCTGCGACGAAGTCGTCCGCGGTCTCCGTGTCAACCTCCTCGATGTCGTGCTCCACGCCGATGCCATCCATCGTGGTATGGGCCAGATCATGCCCACGGCCCGCCGTGTCGTCTTCGCCGCCCAGCTCGTCTCGACGCCGGCGCTTATGGAACCGTACTTCCTCGTCGACATCCAGTGCCCGCAGGACGCCATGGGTGGTGTCTACGGTGTGCTCACGGTCCGCCGCGGCCACGTCTTCTCGGAGGAGCAGCGCCCGGGTACGCCCATGATGTCGATGCGTGCGTACATGCCCGTCAACGAGTCGTTCGGCTTCACTGAGGAGCTCCGCGCCAAGACGGGCGGTAAGGCCTTCCCCCAGTGCTCGTTCGACCACTACTCGATCGTCACGGGTGATGCCCTCGTCCCCACGTCGATGGCCGGCAAGCTCGTCACCTCGACGCGTGTCCGCAAGGGTCTCGCCCCGGAAGTGCCGCCGTTTGACCGCTTCTACGACAAGTTGTAAACGTCTCAATCGACGATTGCCATTGTTGGTGCATTTTTTGATGTCACATTAATATATCTATCCAACAAGACCATCTCTCCTTTGCTGCACACGATATCGATCCCTTGAGCGTTGAGGTGTAGATTTTGGACTTGAGCGTCGAACGGCGGGGACACGACCTCAACGGACGTGTGGCCCAAGCAGCTCTCGACGCGTGAAGCCGCTTCGCTTTGCGGCGTCTTTCAAAGCCGTTGTGCAGCACGACACGCTTGGACACCGCTGGGCGTGATGAATGCGCGAGCCAAAGCGCTTGGTAGCCTCGTGGTCCCAGGCTGCTCCGTCGCGCTCGGAGCATGCGTAGGTACAGTATTTTCTTGGCTGGAGCTGGAAGTCTATTGTCGGCAATGGTGCTATCGCACAGTTCTTGGTGCAAGCTTCCGACCGGGTAGAATAGCAAGGAGTGGTTAGTGATCTCTCTTGACGACCTCACGCTACAGTGCCTTGCGACGAGACCGACGAGTCGCCCACGGCAACAGCGTCACGGCGACAGCGTCCTTGCAGCCGAGATGTGCACGTATGTGCGGATCACTCGGGAACCTGCAGCAAGCATACTTGACGATTCGACCCAGCTCCGTCCCTCGACGGCGGCGCAGTACACAAAGGTCGAAAGAGATCCCACCAGCCAGCACCTTGGACGACCGGTGGCGTCGCCCAAGATGCTCGGTCGCACCCTATCCAATATGGTGGCTACTGCCTCAAGCGCTCTAACTGCTGGATACAACAGCTCTTGGCGAGCCTAAAGATGCACTCGCTTGCTTCCGGCTATTGCTCTAGCATGGCTGGACCGCTTGGTTCTGGCTGGAATTATACCTCCAAAACTACTCAAAACTACTTGCAAGGTGCCGGTGGAATGGTTGCCGAGTCATACGCGATCCCCGTAGACTGTGTATCTGTCTATCTATGATACGGCGACCCTGTTTCTTGCGTCGCTCTTGGTACGGCGGCGGGCTGCAACCATTTTCACTTCTTGGCTGCAGCAGAGCTGCTTGCTTGGGGTTTCTACTATGCCTAATATTACATGCTCGTCATTTGCTGTGCATCGCAGCCAGTTTGCTTGCGTCGCGAGATGCGCATGTCGACGATCGCCGGGCATCAAGGCAGCGACGCTCGTCCGCATGCATCGGCTCCACAAAGTCTGACAAAGGAGCCCTCCACCAACGCTCGTGCCTTGGCATCGACAGCTGCATTACGGCGCGCTACCTTGCGCGTTAGCCCCGGTAAGGCACACGAGTACTTTTCACGGTGGAGGGGAAGATCCATCCTCGGTGACACGCAAATATGGGTGGCGACGCACGCTGGCTTGCGCGAAAACAACCTTCGTGACTGCGGCAACTGCCTGAACAAGACTGCCATGCAACTCCAGAGAGCTCCGTGCGCGTGGAGCTATTGGTCTTCGTGTCGCAAGGATGCTGAGGACATCGCTGACTGCACGAAGTGCAATGGACCCAACAGAGCGACCACCACTCTGGCTCACTTGTGGGAGGCGCTTGGGAGATGGAAGCGCAGGTCGATCCTGCTCGGACCAAGATACTTTGTCGTGCATTGGCGCCAAAGACATGCTCGACCTCGGCCTGAACGTGGCGCCATGTTGAAGTAGCCTTGCATCAGGAGGATTTTGCATTGCAAGGCAGCATCTATGCGCGGCAAGACGAGCCTCAAACGATGTTGCCATCGTTGTCCACGCCATTTAATACCCGACGCCACAACGGAGGATGGAGTCGAGTCGCGAGGGTAGAGGCAGCGAGAAATGACTCACGCGGTCGAGGTGATCGCAGCTTGAACCTCGGAAAGGCGTGGGCCTGGGAGCGCACGCACCTTGTTTCGTCACAAGTGGGATCCGCCAAGATCGCACCAATCGCAGCCGGTCGTGGCCGCCCCAAGATCGCCATTTCGTATACGCAACACGCCCGCGTGGCATCTGCCGGTTTTATGTGGCCACCGGCGCGAGGATCGTCGGCGGCAAAGATACCGGCGCGCAGGTTCCGCGTCGCCGGCGCTCTGAGCTCGTTGGTTTCCTCTTCCATCCCTAGTAGTGCTATGCTCGCAAAGACGCGGTGACGGGGCGACCGAAGCCTCCAGCACGGGGGCGCGCCAGTGAATCTCTTTGTTTCGTCGTTCCGTCGACTTGACATTGCCCTCAACGATCGGCGCTCCGGTGCTGCCACGAGGGCTATGCGGAATAAGAAAGCCATGCCTGCGATAAGCACCCAAGCGCAGGGCCAATGAACGCGCGCGCTGGGCGCTGTAGCGGTTCGATGACACGCGCGCGTCACGCAATGCCCACTCGAAAGCCACCGTCGAACATGCCGTTGGCACTTGATGTTTGTATACCTCGCGTCAAATCGTCCACGTGACGCCAAGGGCAAAGTGACACGACGTGCGCGGATTGGCTGTTGCTTGATGGACGATTTGGATTGGCCAAGAGTGGCGAATCACACGCGACCTCGGGCGTGGTCGAGCAACTTCAATATGGCGGCGGCTCGGCCCGCGCTACGAAGCTCATTGTGCAATCTTCCAGCTCGACAGCAGCAGCAACATGGCGACCCACCAGACGACGACGTCGGCCCTTGGCCTCAACGAGCTCGGCATCGACGCCAAGTGCACGGTGTTCCACAACATGACGTACGACCAGATCGCCGAGCACGAGGAGCGCTACAAGGAAGGCGTCTTCACGGCCAACGGCACGTTCGCGGTCGACACGGGCAAGTTTACCGGTCGCTCGCCCAACGACAAGTTCATTGTGCGCCAGGAGCCCTCGGCCCAGCACGTGGACTGGGGCAAGGTCAACCAGCCGACGACGGCGGCCGTTTTCGACACCTTGTACGCCAAGGCGACGGCGCACTTTTCCAAGGCCGAGAAGATGTACGTCTTTGATGGCTACTGCGGTGCCAACGAGAACTCGCGCCTCAAGGTGCGCATCATCACGGAGCTCGCGTGGCAGCACCACTTCGTGACCAACATGTTCATGCGCCCCGAGTACAAGGACGTGGCGCCCGGCTCGGGCTTTGCCGCCGACTTCACGATTGTAAACGCGTGCAACATTGTCGACGAGGACTGGAAGGCGCACGGCCTCAAGTCGGAGGTGTTTGTCATCTTCAACATTGAGAAGAAGATGGCGGTCATTGGCGGCACCTTTTACGGCGGCGAGATGAAGAAGGGTATCTTCTCCATGATGAACTACTACCTCCCGCTCAAGGGTATCATGCCCATGCACGCGTCGGCCAACAAGGGCCCGAAGGGCGACACAGCCATCTTTTTCGGCCTCTCGGGCACGGGCAAGACGACCTTGTCGGCCGACCCGAAGCGCGCGCTCATTGGCGACGACGAGCACGGCTGGGACGACGCCGGTATCTTCAACTTTGAAGGCGGCTGCTACGCCAAGACGATCAACCTCAGCGCCGCCAACGAGCCCGAGATTTACGCGGCCATTCGCCGGGACGCGATGCTGGAGAACGTCTGGCTCGACGGCCAGAAGGTCCCGGACTATTACAACATTGAGAAGACGGAGAACGGTCGCGTCTCGTACCCGCTCTACCACATTAGCAACCACGAGCCGACGTCGGCCGGCGGCCACCCGGCGGTCGTCATCTTTTTGACGTGCGACGCGTACGGTGTCTCCCCCCCGTCTCGAAGCTGACGCCGGGCCAGGCTCAGTACCACTTCCTCTCGGGCTACACGGCCAAGGTCGCGGGCACCGAGCGCGGCATTACCGAGCCCCAGGCCACGTTCTCGGCGTGCTTTGGCGCGGCCTTTATGACGCAGCACCCGATTGTGTACGCCGACCTGCTCAAGAAGAAGATTGAGGCCCACGGCACGCGCGTCTACCTCGTCAACACGGGCTGGACGGGCGGCGCGTACGGCGTCGGCTCGCGCATGTCGCTCAAGTACACGCGCAAGTGCATTGACGCGATCCTCGACGGCTCGATCGAGGACGCCAAGTTTGAAGTCGACCCGATCTTTGCCGTCGCCGTCCCGACGTCGGTCGAGGGCGTGCCCGCCGAGATGCTCAACCCGGCGCTCGCGTGGGCCGACAAGGCGCAGTACAAGGTCATGGCCAAGAAGCTCGCGACCGAGTTCCGCGCCAACTTTACGCAGTACGTCCTGCCCAACCACACGGACTACTCGTCGTTTGGCCCCAACCAGGCTTAAGCGTCCTTGCTGCGCGTGCACGGTTTGCCACGTCATTACCGTTTTCCCCATTTATAAACCCTAAAAATATACCCCCCTTTTGACACTGACGGAGCTTATGATGATGATGATCCACCGAACCAATGCGTTCTGGGAATGAGTTCTGCTATGCGACTCCCACTCTGGTGACATGCACCTTGATGCAGCGTGGGACGCTGTCAAAGGAACACGAATTCCCTTGGACGCTGTGGACGATTTCCTATAAGGTAGTTCCAGACAAGCATAAGACACAAGAAACTGGATCGACGTCAATTTACATTAGGGCATGGGCGAGGGCGGCGACACCTTTTGAAAGGAGCGAAGGAGCTCAAAGAGCTGGCGCTGTTGGTCTTGGAGCGTGGCCGTGATGGTGTGCAGTTCGCGGTTCTCTTGTTGCAGCGTCGTAAGGAGCGCCAGCTGCTGCTGGTACTGCGCCAGCGGCAGTACGACGACGGGACTGTTGAGAACGACTTGCGAGTTGCTTTCGTTCGGAAAGGGCAGCGTGCACAGCGGCGAAAAGGTATGGGGATGATTGTGCACAAGCGATGCGCGGTGGTGGCAGCATGAAGGTGCGTGCGTGGCCGGCACCAGGCTCGGGTCGATGGCCAACGGGAGAGGCGTCGACAGAGGAGCGCGTGGCTTGGCCTCGGGCACGGTGTCGCTTTCGTCTTCAAAGGTCTATGTCAGGATGGATATCTGTCTGACCTTTGTGTCCATTCAGTGGGTACCTTGTGCGCGTTGCGCTCGGGCGATGGCGTTGTCGGGTTCAAGTCGATGATCGTGAAGCGGCCCTTCTGCTTCACGCGCCTACGCCGTCGTTCATGTTTGCGCCTATGCAAGGGCGCGTAGCGTACGTCTTTTGCAGCGGTGCATCCGCGTCAAAGGCGTCGTCGTTGCTTGACGACGTCGGCGTGTCCTAGCCGCTGCTGGCACCGCATACGGAAGAGGTGCAGCTACGTACGTGGCCAAAGGCGGCGCTTGGGCTAGGGACGTCCGATGGCAGGTCGATGATCGTGAACCGGCCCTTCTTCTCGACGCGGCCCTTCTCGGCGGCCCGCTGCATGGAGGTGAATGCTCGTGTTGCAATATGCCCACTGCGATTTTTGGTGCTGCGAGGGACCAATGACTTCGAAGTTCGATAGTCGTAGAAAAACCCGGATTCGAAGTCGGCGCGGTCACCCAAGCCTCAATGGGCAAGCCACCAGACGCGCTTGAAGAAGAGCACTTCATCGATGATGTGACGATGCTACTCTTACTTTGCACCTAGTAGTGCGCTGGAGGCACCCAGTACAGTGGTAAAAGCTTCGTGTCGGACCCATGGCGACGCGCACAGGGAGACCGACGTCGCTCTTGTGCGTGTACAGAGGTCGTCCTCGTCCTCGTCGAGTCGGTTACCAGCAGCGTGGTACTGTAGTAGGTCGTCGTTGCGAGCCGTGCCAGTTCGCGGGCCCAGCACGCTCGCATATCCCGGCGCATGCAAACTTGAATGTCAATCAATGGATTCCTCGTATTGAGATTGCCTTTCATGTGGGAAACTGCATTTTTCACATGCTTCAAACAGGCGGTGGCGCTGGACATCTCAAAAGATCCCAGCGTCCAGCAGTGTGTACGACGACGGCGAGGGTATGGTAGTTGAAACAACGAGCTCCTCCGACGCACTTGCAACCTTGGAATCTCGTCTCCTTCTCTGGCGCTGGCTCCAAAGCATCGGGCTATACATTTGACAGGCAGAAAAGATGCACGAGACTCCATGGGTTCGTTCTACGTCCCCGAACGAGACGCTTCTGCCCAAGTGGATGCGACCCGCGGCCGTGACCAACGCAGCCACGGAACACAACCACGTATTTCTCACGCGTGTATTTTGCACATCGCACGCGAGGTGGCATACAAACACCAAGTACGCGACGCATTTCCCACGCATTTTGCGATCCAGCCAATCACCTGCCGGCGAGGCGATCGCAACTGCGAAGTGCCAGTATTTTTGCTTCATCGGCCATGGCGGACGACACGATCATGCCCCCGTCGCTCTTCCAGCGGACGTGGAACACAACCGAGGTGGATGGCCTCGTCGGCCTGCAGCTGAGCCTGCCAGGCCGCGTCTTCATCACGCGCCGCAGCAACCCGAGCCTCTCAACGCCGGCGGCCGAGGTCGTCCTGCGCAGCAACGCAAGCGACCTTATCGACTTGATCACGGTGCATGTCGTCAATGGCACGTACACGTCGACGATCCACGACTGGAAAATGCAAGTGTCCAAAGACGATCCGATTCTGAAGCTCAGCGTGCGCGACACGTCGACGCGGGTCCAGGGCACGCTGCTCGTGCACATCATCCTGAACAGCCCGGTCCGGTCCGTCTCGACGTCGGCGCAAACGATCCTGGGCCATGGCACGCTGCTGGACGATGCATCCGCGGAGGCCATCGACATTGCAGCGTACGGCAACGAGAACGTCTGGATCGAGTCGACGGGGCCCGTCGCTGTGAAAGGCCTTACGCTCAACGCGTATGGCTCGGGCAACATTCAGTACACGGTACCGCACTTGACGCTGGGAAACACTTTGGATCTCAACGTCTTTGGCATCGGGTCGGTCGTCGTCGAGGCCGCGGAGGCGTTTGTCGACTCGGTCGAGTCGACGGTCGGCGGCCAAGGCTCGATCTTTGTCCACGGCAAGTACGCGGTCGCAGACATGGCCAGCCATATTCTCGGCTCCGGCTCCATCAACTATTACCCGTACGGCAAGTGCGGCAAGAGCAAGGTCGATATTGTCGGCGTCGGCAACATCAACGCCGGGTCCTGGGTCTGCCTCCGAGCACACGCGTCCGTGCTCGGCTCGGGCAAGGCCATCGTGCAGGTCGTCGACGTGCTCGATGTTTCCGGCATTGGTCGCGGCCACATCGAGTACTTTAACGAGACGCCCTCAACGCTACCGCGCGGCAAGACGGGCCTTTTGAGCGGCCCACGGGTCGAAATCGCACTGATCAACACGTACCAGACGTTTGTGCCGCTGGCGACGCCGCCCCGCGAAGCCATCTTTGTCTCGGTGGGCCCGGCCAACGCGGGCTGGTTCCTCCCGTCGTCGGCGACCACGAGTTTCTACGGGGTTTCGGTACCACATACAGCCGTGCTGAGCCTCGTGGGCATGGCAGCATTCGCGGTTCTTCTACTAGCACTTGTCGCTGTGCTCCGACGCAAGCAGCCCACACGCCACCGCTACAGCTCTATCAATTAATAAATAATACTGTTACATTGGACGATATTGTGCATCGACATGCAGTTGAATAATCGTGTCTCGTGCAGTCCACGTGCGACTGTGTTCATGCATCACGAACGGAGTGAGACTGCCACGTTTGCAGGGGTTGGCGCGTGGGCGTGCGCTGCGTCAAGGGTCATAGCTGCGTACAGTGCAGTCCGTCCCGTGGTCGCCAACCGATGGTTCCTGCGCCCGTACGTTGTTCCTGTCGAGTTTTTTGACAGAGGAATCAAGCTCGCCAATTTATGTTGTGGCTCCTCGTCGTCCTGAACTTGGCGACCTATAGCGCCGTGCTCTATAGTGAATCCACAGGGTACACCTCGAGGCCAATGGGTGGTGTGCAGAAAGCTGCGAAGAAGGCTGGTCTTCTCGCAGTAAAAAGGCCACTGCCCTCGATTGGCACTGGTGATGACGTTTCTTGCTTTTCGTAGTCTGCTGAATCAATGTGAAGAGAGCATGCTACTTGCTGCATGAATGGTGCTGCCCACTGTATCAACAGGTCGTGGCTATGCATTGGGGCTTCTTCAGGCCTGTTGTAGAGTCCCAGCAGTGGACATGGCTCGCCGCCGTGTTGGACAGCGATGCGCCAAGCTGCCAATTATTTTGGTTATTAAATGCTAGGACGCACGTACGTTGGCAAAATATGCAGAGGTAGTAGGATCGCCAAAACAAAACAAGGGCACCGTGGTAGCGAAATCTGGGCGGTTTTTTGATGTGAGATGGTTTTAGCTGCATCCTCATTATGTGGCGTCTACAGACGCTCGGTCGCCTTTCTTCGTTGTGCGCATTGAAAGAAGCAATAATGTCTCGGCCTTTGGCGCCTCGAAAGAAAAAGAGTGAAAGATCGCAACCATCACTCTGCAAACAGAGTGCTGGCGATGTCGAAAATTCAGCCCGACATCCGCGTCATCTTCGAACTTCGAGACGTGTAACGCGCCCGTTTTTAGCGGGTCATTGACGCCAACATACGTGGCCTGCCCACGGCTCAGGCAATTGCTGGGATACGTTGAACATGACCGTCAACCATCTCAGGTCACCGCTCCCCGCCACAGCTTCCATCCATCGCAAAGTTGACCTTCTCACGCTGCCAGAGTTCTGAGTTGCATGGGTTTCGGAGAAGGAGGGCAGTAATATACCGCAGGCAACAAACCTGTCTCGTTCAACACCTGCGAGGTGTGCAGCGCCGGTCCTGGTGTGTGCTTCAGTCTGGCACTTTGTCGTGTCGACAGGACATGGCGCTCACACGCTGGTGATGCGTGCATTAGGTTGTATGCACTACGTAGCTCGCAGACGTGATATGAAGGCTTTGTCGAGCTCGTCACAACCAGCATCAGCTTCTCCATCGCTTGCTCGGATTCGAGGCGCGATGGGTACAAATTCACACGAGTTTCGCACCACATGGGTCCAATACAATACAACAGTATATCGATTGTAAAACCCACCGTGAGAAATCAAAGCCCACATCAGCTTCGAACTTCGCATCAACAAATCGCCTTGAACGCTGCTGAGCCACAACTCAACTCGCTTCGCCTCGCCCATGTCATCGTCGCAGCTCCTCAAGCTCCATAGCGTCCTCGACGACACGTACTTTGAGGTCCGCGGCAAGGCGCCGTCCACGGCCAGCGGTATCGCGACCACCTTTACGGTCGTCAAGGACCCCGATCTAATGGACAAGATGAAGCTCAAGTCGGCGGCGTCGAGCAAGAACAAGGCCGAGCTCTTCGTGCGCATTGACGTGGGCACGATTACGATCACGGCGCAGGGCGCGACGACCGACATTGCGATCGCGCAAGGCTGCACGGACGTGCACTTGCAGGGCCGGCGCAGCGTCCGCGTCGCGACGCGCCAGGGCCACGACCACGCAACACTCGCGTTTAGCGACCGCATTTCGGCGGTCGAGTTTTGCGGCTGCGTTGGGCTCATCCAGCACATTGAGCACCTCCGCGAGCCGCGGTACCTCGCCGAGTCGCTCAACCATGACGGGAGCATGCTCAAGTACACGCGCTTGACGCTTGCGTTCGCCGAAGAGATGTGGACGCTCGCCATGTGGCGCGAACTGTGGCCCTACTCCAACGTACTGAGCGCGCTGCGGAGCGTCCTGGCCGCGCTCCCGGATGCGACGAGCATCCACCGCGTCCGCGAGATCAATGCGACGCTGGCCGAGGTCCATGAACAGTTTTACGGCCACGCAGCGATCAACTTTTTTATGGAGAAGGACGGCGTCCGGTACTACCGCGCCTCGTACGTAGCGCTTCTCGTCGCCAAGGTCAAGGCGCTCCAGACCCACCTCGCCTTTTACATGTAGTACAAGGGTAGCTCGATATTTAAAGGTGTAATTTGCCACGCCAATAGTGGACCAAAAGACAATATTATTGTGCACAACATGACGACGACTTGTCAACCGGTACTAGTAGCTGAATGCGGGAGCGTTGAGCTTTCTTGTCGCCTCCAAGGACGATGGCAACGAGATCGGGTAGGCCAGCACTTCAAGAATGTCCGTTGGTGAGAGAGTTGCCTCGACTTGCCATGGGCGACTGAAAGGAAACATTCCCTTCTTACAGCATGGAGCGTTCATATTTTGAGCCAATATCGTCTGCAATTCCTTGCAAACAAGGGGCATCCTTTCGACGCCAAGGATTTGTCTGTCGGGATTGGCACGAATTTCGAATTTCGCAGGAGAAACCGCACTTTCGATGGGGCCAACTTCGAGAAGGATACTGGTTGTAACATTTCCCGATTTGCAGCCATGTCGGTCCACCTCATGCGCCTCAACAGCATCCTCGACGACAGCAGCCGGAGCTACTTTGAGCTCGAGGACAGCGCCAGAAGCGGCGTCGCATGCGAGTTTGGCGTCGTGAAGGACCCGACCCTCATGGACAAGCTCACGGGCCATGCGAACCACGCGACGCTCCTTGTGCGCATCGACGACGGCTCGATTACGACCACGGGCCACGACGGCGAGCAGCAGCGCATGTCGACTAGCGATCTCTGGACGAAGCTACATGGCAAGCGAGAGGTGTGGCTGGGCACGACGTCCAGCGACGACGCGCCCACCAAGCACCACACCACGCTCGCGTTCGAGTCGCGGCTCGCGGCCGTCGAATTCTGTGGCGCCGTCGACCTCATTCAGCACATTGCGTATTTGCGCCAGCCGCATCGCGCGAGCGCCATGCGTGGCGACGCTGTGCTGCGCCACCACCTCGAAGCCACGCTGCGTTTTGTTGAGGAAATGTGGACGCTGGCCATGTGGCGCGAGCTCTGGCCGTACTCGAACATGGCCGAGATCCTTCAAGCGTGCTTGGACGACCTCGGTGCTATCGACGCCACTCCAGCGCAAGTCCGAAGCCGCCTCGCTGAAATCTACGATACGTTCTACACGCAGGCCAACATGACGCTCTTCGTCGAGCGCGACGGCGTCCGCTTCTATCGACCCTCGTACATTGGCCTCCTCGTCGCCAAGGTCAAGGCCGCCATGAGCCACATTGCGATGTACGCACGCTAGTTTTAGGAGACTTTTCGATAGACCAACAGGATTGTAATACTACTTGGTATTTAGACCACAACCAGAGCAGGGTGAGAAGGCCCAGAGATACGCAGACGCGGCCGCACCCCGGGGTACAATTTCGCGTTTTAGAGGTTGGGCGCCTTTCCGCACTTGATGGCGCCGGGTAGATAGGACAGCATGGCGGCGATGGACAGACTGGGATCGTGTCGGTAGTACGCGTGCTAACGCAGTTGTTTCGTCTACAGCACCCGCGCACTTGGGTCAATTCTGCCGAATATAAAAACCGCCATCACGTCACCGTGCTCCCTGCGAGCCAAGGTCCATGCGCTTGGCGCCTGCACACAATAGCTCCTAGCGTAGTGAATGCACGTCGTCTGGATAGCGACCACGCGTACATCATGTGAGCTGTCATGCCAGGACGATGGGAAAATCGTGCGCACGGTCTTTCGAATATGCATTCCTGCCACCTTCGTCTCAAAGGACCATGTACCCCGGGGTGGAGCTTACATTTGGTGCACTCGACCTCGCATTACTACTGCACTACACGGGATCTCGCTTCCTCGGCGAGGCGTACGGTATCGGGATTTCGCGCTGACGTGCGCGCTGGCGCCATGTTGCACATGGCATTTGCCGAATTTATATCGTGGGGTGCCAGCTGTGTGCCCCGGGGTCCATGACGCACGTTGCGACCAAATCTAAAGAATTGGTTTCCGCCGTTGTCGCCGACGAGACATGTTTGGCTTTGCGGGGCTCTCGAGCAAGCCGCCGGTCGGGCGGACCTCGGACGAGCAGCTCTTCCACAACGTCGACCCGGCGCTGGACGAGGTCCGCAAGCTGAACGGGACTGCCACGTGGGCCATCCTCGGCTTTGTCCTTGCGTCGACCCCGAGCCACAGCAACGAGGTCTGCCTCGACGTGCTCGCGACCGGCGCAGGACCCATTTCGGACGAGCACAACTGGCCCGAAGCGCTCTTCGACCCGTCGTCGCTCTGCTATGGTCTCTGCCGCATCGAGCCCGAGGAGTATGCGCTCACATCGTCGTCGCTGCTCTCGGCGTCGTCGCCGCGCACGCCCCGCTCGAATGGCACGTTCTCGTTCCCAGTTGCGTACACGGTCTCGTTTTGCTGGAAAGGCGTGACGCTGCCGTTTGCCTTGCGCGCCAAGCACACGGAGTTCCACAAGCGCATCCAAGAGCATCTCGGCGGCATGGCGCACGTCACGCTCAAGAGTGCATCCGACCTCAGGTACACACCACTGGATATCCATCAGATCTGATTTGCGTGCGAAAGCACCGAGTCGATGCGGCGCTTCTTGCCCATGACGAAGCGGCGCAGTGTCACGAAGCGGCTGAACCTCGTGCGCTCGATCGAATTCGCGCCGGCCGTCGTCGCCGCCTACGAAGACGTGCGGCTCGACGCCAACCCGTTCAATTGGCTCATTGCGGGCTATGCGACCAACAACGACGACGACGCGCCGACGCTCGTGCTCCTCGAGACGGGCATGGTATGCGCTTCTTCTTTGCGACCGATGAACCTCTCGTCATGCGTGTATTAGTCGGGTCTCCAGGCGCTCAAAGGCCTTGGCGGCATGGGCTCGAGCTTGCTCACGACGACCGGCGTCAAGTACATTTACATTCGACTGGACGTGCCAATGCAGCAAGGCAATGTCTCCAAGTATGTGCTCATCACGTGGCAGTCGTGGGACATTACGAGCCCGAGTGCCCGCTTGCGCAGCGGCAGTGTCGACTCGGACATCTTCAACGACGACACGTCGTCGGCCATGATGGAGCCGACTTCGTCGTCGACGTCGATCTCGTTTGAATCCAAAGTCGTCTCGGCGGCCAACGCGCACGCGCACGCGGGCGAGGTCTACCGCTTCTTCCAGCACCACGTACGTTACCTTGCCTTTAAATGATGATGAGAAGGAAGATGATGGTGCGGGCGATGTAGGTTCACTTTTTCGCCAGCAGCATGTCGGACATTTCGGAAGAAGCCATCCGCGAGCGCGTCCGGCGATCCATCGACAGCGACCGCATGCTTCTCCGCGTTGTACGTATCCGCCTTGGCCATGTGCATCGACATCCCATAACGTCATTAGGTCTGCGTGCAAGCATCGGGCGATGCACAGCCGGCCGTGTGCATCGAGATCTCGCGCGAAGCGATTCTAGCCGACCTGAAAAGCGAGATCACGCGCGTGATTGGCATTCCGGAAGACCGCCAGCGCCTTGTGTGGTTCCACACCAAAGAGGACGTGGATAATGGTAGCACCTCTCTCGGGATGATGGACATGGTGCAAATGGGCATGGCTAGTCTTTCACGCCACGTCCCAAGCGACCATCTTGCAGCTCGACTCGCACCGGCTGCGGAACGATATCGGTCTTGAGCACGGCGACAAGATTCACGTCGACGACCTCAGCATTGGCGCCGACTCGGTGCTCTTCAAGCTCGTGCAGCAGGTGGATCTATTGCCATGAATGGACTCTTGTACGATAACGATGCATCGTAGCTCAACTCGGGCTCGGACGTGGTGAGTCTCTCGGCCGAGCGCCGACACGAAGTCGAGCTCACGGTCGAAGCGCGCGAAGCCGAGCTCAAGCGCACGATGAGCGCGACGCAAGACCTTTTGGAAGAAAAATCCAAGCGCGAGCCGCTCGAGCCGGTCGTCGACGGCGAAACAACGCGCAACGACGACGACGACGCCAAGGACCATGGAAGCACGGCGATCGTCACCAACGAAGTCGACGACCTCAAGAACCAGATGCGGGTCTTGGAAGCTCAGAAACAGTACCTCGACATTCCGTACGAGAGCATCCGGCTCCTCGATGGGAAAGAGAACGAACTCGGCATTGGCAAGTGTGCGACCGTGTACCGAGGCATGTGGATGACCAAAAAGTCGATCGCCGAGGTGGAGATTACGCTGTCGCATGAATGCATATGGAGATATGTGGCGCTAGGTGGCCATCAAGGTGTTTCGGTATGTGCGCTTGACGGACAAGATCATGCAAGACTACACGCAAGAAGTTGCGATGCTCCGGCAGCTCAAACACCCCAACATTGTGCTCTTCATTGGCGCCTGCATCAACCCCAAGCTCATGATTTTAACCGAATATTGCTCGCGAAAAAGGTATGCAAAATGCTGGCGTCGCCGAGGCTCGAAGCGCTTACGTCCATGGCATCCTAGTCTCTACAGCGTGATCCACAACAAGGCCATGTTTGCCACGATTCCGTGGAAGGTACGTGTTGGCTTGATACATTGATAGTCGTCGAAGCTGGCGACTAGTTTAAAGTGCGCATGGTGCTCGACGCAGCGCGCGGCATTGCCTACTTGCACGCGAACCGCATCATCCACCGCGATATCAAGGTACCCAGCTATCCAAACGCAACTATCCTTGTATCGGATTCTCCTCTAGTCGCACAACTTGCTCGTGGACGACGACTGGCGGGCCAAGGTCGCCGACTTTGGCATTAGCAAGGTCCTCGACGTGGGCGCCCAGGCCTTTACACACTGCGGCACCAGCGGCTGGTAAAGACTCGTTTCGCTCGAACCGAGAGCTCACAAGAATCGACGTAGGGTCGCGCCCGAGGTGCTTTTGGACGAAGACATTGGGTACACGTTCAAGGCCGACAACTGGAGGTAATTTGTCACGGGATATTCGGGGGATTCGAATTTGAACCACTAGTTTTGCGATTGTCATGTGGGAAATGATTGCCGGTGTGCACGAGAATCCGTTTCTGGGCATGGCACCTGTCAAGTTTTACCACCAGACCATCAACAAGGGCTTGCGCCCCGTGATTGACGACACGGTACAACATGTACACAAACACTCGCTTGTCTAAGCGTGGCGTGAATTTAGGTCGACCCAGCGTATGCGAGCCTGATTCGCGAGTGCTGGGACTCGGACCCGCCGTCGCGACCGTCCTTCGCGACGATCGTGGACCGCCTCGAGACGATTCTCTCGGACCTTGGTATGGACACGGGGTTGCCCCCGACGTTTGCCGGCGGCTACCACGCGCACTCGGAGGCTGCGTCGTCATAGTGTTCCGTTAGTTTTAACCCCGCAAATAGTACCCCTTTTGTAGCCACGACGCCTTGAATCATAGACTCGGCACGGTAGACAGACTCTTGAGATAGACAAAGTGTACACGCGACGTATTTTAAAATGAAAACAATTCTTTATAAAAAAGATTATCAAAAAACGATCGAGCGATCGTATCCGGATAGCCTATCCGGCGGATCCCTGCATGTTGGCGACGATGATGAACATGGAGAAGCATGCGATCGTCCTCGACGTCGGGAGTCGGTACCTCAAGAGCGGGATCTCGGGCGAGCGCAGCCCCCGGTCGGTCCTCCGCTACGATGTACGCAGCTTCATCCCCACGAGGCGCGCTCTCGATCGATAGGTAGCTCGCCGAGAAGCTCCTCCAGACGCCACCGCTCTCCAAGGCCCAGTGGCACGACTACATGGGCGGCCATCTCTACCGCGTATGCTTTCAGTACGACCATGGATCAGCATCCTTCTGCAAGGACAATGACTTCATGGTGATGTCTGGGTAGCGACCTCCGCGTGACACCCAAGAGCCGAAGGTTCGTCGTCTGCGAGGACTTGCTCCTCCCGCGCAACCTGCGCGAGGCCATCCACGACGTCCTCCTTCTCGTCTTCAAGGTCTCAACCTGCATATTGCCATCTGCAGCGTGTACGAGGCAGCGTAGGCCAAGCATCTGCTCTTCGTGCCCGCGACGACCACGGCGCTGTACGCGACCAGCCACGTGACGGCGCTCATAGTCGACGTCGGCTGGCTCGAGACGCGGGTTCTCCCAGTCTTTGAGCGCATGCCGATCCTCTCGGCCTACAAGAGTACGCCATCACTATCCTCGTCTAGGATGTACTATACCTTGTCCGTAGCGACCGGTCTCGCGAGCCAGTATGCATGCGCCGGCCTCAAGGGCTACATCCCGACCCGCGATACACCCGTCGAAGACATCCTCGAGCGCGCTTGCTTTGTCCTCCCCGCGTCCTCCGAGGTACGAGCTACCGGAGACTGCAGTAAGGATCCGTCGTCATGCATGAGGGTAGGCTCTTGTCGTTGAAGACGCCGAGTTCTTTGCGTATACCCCAAAAGCGGTCACGGTAGTCTCATCTATCCATCATGCAATGGGCGAACGCTTCTGGCTTGACGCTCGCCTCCTGCTGTAGCTGCCCGCGGCTGCCCGCCACGAGTGCTTGGAACCGCTCTTCACCGGTACCTGCCTCGTTGCCATTGCATACCTTTACCGTTGGTCGTTGGTCGTAGGCACGGACGAGCTTGTCTCGATCCCCGATGCGATTCTCGACTGCTTGGCCAAGTGCCCCGTCGATACCCGAAAGGCGCTGTCGGAAAACATCCTGTGCATTGGTGGCACGTGCATGCTGCCCGGTAGCTTAATTATCCTCCTGCTCGTGCGGCTGACGTTCACGTGTTCGCAGGCTTTCGCGCACGGCTCCAGCACGAGCTCCAAGCAGAGCACATGTCGGCGCGCGTCGTGGCGACTGCGTTCCCGCCCAACCTCATGACGTGGGTCGGTGCCTCCGTCTATGGCTCAACGTCCGATGCCATGGCAGTGTCGCTCTCGCAGAGCGATTACGCAGCGCATCCGGTCGTCGACGACTGGATGAAGATCCACGAAGCCCCATAAGATTGGAATAGGTCAAGCAACACGTATTGGCGACGCGTTTTGGCGTCTTATTTGCGGCTTCCGAGCACGGGCCGACCGGTCTCGTCCCACGGCGCCTTGAGCGACTCGACGGGCCCGAGGTCCTTGAGCTTGGACTTGAGGTTTGTGCTCGTCTTGAGTGGCGCAATGTGGTGGGGCATGTTGATTTTGCGGTTGGTTGGAGACCCGCCTTTCACGTCCTCTTCCTTTCGGCGCTCGGTCGTCTTGGCGTCCGCGCCGAGGTCCAGCGCCGCGACCTGGCCATGCAACACCTTCTTTTGCGCAATGAGACTCATGGTCTCGGGCTCCTCGTCGCCGTCGCCGTCGCCATACTTGACCTTCCAAAGCGAAATCTTGCGGAGCTCTGGGAAGCCCTTGACGCCATTGCGGAGCGTCTTGACCTAATGCCAGATGCGATGTGAAGGAAGGATCATCCGCACACATTTTAGATACTTGAAAGCCGTTCTTTTGGCACGTGACGTCCGGAAACCGCGTGTCCAGAAGCGGCTGCTCGTCTTCGCCGTCTTCAATGTGCACGTAAAAGGCGTTGTCGTAGTAGAGCACGATCATGACGAGCGTGCCCGTGTACACCTTGCACGCAATCGCTTCGACATGCTACCCATTTGTTTGTATCAAGTGGATTGTTCGACACGGGGCTACCTTGAGCTGTGGTGTGGGCTCAATGCCGAGCTCGAAGAAGCATTCGGCGGCCTCGTCGTTGAGCCACCGACTGACGTCGTTGCCGTCGCTTTTCTTCTGGAGACCGGCAAGAATCTCTTCAGTGGCCGCGAGCTCCGATTGGATCGCAGGAACAATGCTCGCAATGTACTCCATCGTTGACGCAAAGAGGGACGTCGCTGGCATCTTGGTGACTTCGCACATGAACGTCTACTCCAGGCATGGAACATGGTCTAACATGACGGTAGAGGAGACGTACAAGGGCGCTCTGCTGCCGGCGCAGCATCGGGATGACCACGGGGATATCCGAGAGCTCGAGCTTGGGGCCGAGGTCGACGTGTCCGTTGTAGCACCAGCTCCCAAAGCGAAAGAGCACTTCGCGGAGTTTGCTCTCGGGGTGGCCTTCGACTATGCACGAGAAGCTAGTTAGTCGATCGTACTTGTGCGAGTAGGCGTACGCGGCTGTGTGCGCTGGATCAAGAACGTTTGGTTGTAGCCGGTGCCACTCACGTCCTTGCATTGCATCTGAAACGTCTTGGGTGGGCTCTTGGGCTTGCTGTCGCTCGGCATCGCTTGCCACAGCACGAGCTTCTTCATGTTCATAAAATTCTCTTGGTAGTGGCGCAGGTGCACGCCTTGGAGGTGCTGCGTCAGATCTGGGAAGCGCACGTCGAGCAGTGGCTGCTCGCCGACGCCTTCTTGAAGCACCACGTAAAAGCTCCGCTACGCTCCTGTCAGCACGATACATGAGTGCAAAATGTCGTTGCTACCTGGTAGTAGATGACGACCAAGACGAGGCCGCGGACAAAAGTCTTGCTCGCAACAAGGTCGATACCCTAGGCGGCGTGTTATGAGGCCTCTCGGTTGACAAGGATTGGACCAGCGTACGTCAAAACAGTCAAAGCCGCCCGTCTCGAGCTCGAAGAAATTCTTGGCGTCCGCGTCGTCGTCGACCCACGTGTTGTCCTGCGCCGCCTTCATGAGCTTCTTCTCGATGGCCTTGGACGCGAGCTCGGCGCCAATAAAGTCGAACGCGTCGTAGAGCGTCTCGAGGGGCATCGCATACGGCGACGTGGCCGGGATCTGCTTCCACTCGCAGAGGAACTGCAGCGAGCCCTGCTGCTTCTGGAGCGCCGGAATCACGACGGGCAAGTCGGCGAGCGCGATCTCGGGGTCGCCGAGGTCGACCTTGCCCGTGTAGCACCAGTTGCCGCAGCGGAAGAGCACCTCATGCAGATGCGTCTTGCTCGACTGGATGATGTACGTCTGGTTGTACCCATCGCGGAGCGCGACGACGTCGGCGGATGGGGCGTCCGGCGCGCGGTCGTCGTCGTCCGAGTCGGACGCCCGGCGCTTGGACTCGGTCGTCTTGGTCTCGACGTCGCTTCCGGCCGCTTCCTTCTCGTCCATGGTTGCTCGACTTGGAAAGATCTAGTGTGAAACGACGGGGGCGAGCGCAAAAGAAGAACGCACGGTTTCGTTTCTTTAATAGAAACGGCGTCTTCAAGTGTCCCAAAGCATTAAAAGAACGCGATCGTGGGGTCTTTAAATCCGAACCGAGAGTCCCTTGCAGCGCCACGCGATCGGTGCAGCGATCGTTGAGATCGCCATCAGTGGAAGCTGTCCTATGCGGCCGCGTAGGCTTGCGCGTGTTAGTGTGGTTTGTGGCTTCACGAGAATAAAAGAAATAAGAATCGAATAAAAGATATCTCGGCCTCATGGCTGACACTATTTGCCCAAAAGGTAAAACGTCGAATAGTGTGAAATGTATGTCAAACAACGTTCGATTTGTATGGTATACTCGCCGCAAGATGACCGCCTTCCACGTGGCCGGTCACACGCCAAAACATCCGCCGAACCATGGTCGACTACGCGGGGCAAGCGCTCGCCGAGAAGATGATGCGCATCATCTTCATCGTCTTCTGCACACCGGCATGGATCTATGGCTTCCTCCAGCAGGACTTCACCTACCCGCTCTACGCCTGGGGCGCCGCCTGCGCGACGGCCGTCGTCCTCACGCTGCCCAACTGGCCGTACTTCAACCGCAACCCGATCCAGTGGCGACCGCGCCTGCGCAAGGACAAGGACGAGTGATAGCTACGCTGCTAACTTACGAATCTGCACGTGTACTCGACGATCGTCACCGACCGCAGCGTTCCAGGCGCCGACGCTGCCCACCAGGAATCGCACGCAGCATCGTAGAGCTTTGCCGCGATGAAGCAACGTAGTACGTAGTAGAGGACCATTGACACATGCCCACGGACGCTGTGGCGGCGAGAAAAGACAGGCATGGCCTCCTCATGTCGTGGCAGACAGGCAAGGCCAGGATGGCGACGCTGGCGGCCACGTATCCTGCATTGCCTCGAGCGCTCGTAGAATCGCACGACCTACTTTGCAAGAGCAAAAGGTGCACAACCAACATACGAATCACAATCCATTGGGATACACACACGTGAGGAGGCTATTACAGCAGCGGCACAAAGCCTTGGGCGAGGACGTGGAAGAGCCCGTGGCTGGTGTCGTTGGTCGAGGCGCTCAGAAGCATGTAGCCGCCTTCGCCCCACTTGGTGCCCCACGAGTTGCGGATCTTCCAGACCGGAACGCCGTTGGCGACGCCGTACCCGACGATGGTCACGGCGTGGTCCAGTGGCGCGCTCGCGTTGTGCCCTGACGTCAAGACGCCACCGACGTAGAACTGCCACGCCGGGTTGCCCGCACTCAAGCTTACGGCAATCGGCGACTTGGCGAGCGTCCGCGTAAAGGCCGCCACCGATTTGGCGACGCGGCCGACGCCCGAAACACCGAGCGCCAGCGGCTTGGCGCAGGGCCGGCACGCGGCACCGGCGCCAGTTTTTCCCAGTGTGAACGGCGCGTCTGCCAGCGCACACGCCCCGAACCGTGTAAAGTTCATACCAGCCACCGTCGTGCCGCCGTTGCAGCCGCCGCCGTTGTTGTCGCTGCACGTGGTGACATATTGGTCGGAGAGCGCGATCGTGGTGTTGAACTTGGCGCAGTACGCGCCTTCAATCGCGGCGTTGGACGCGAAGGCCCAGCAGTTGCCGCACCGGCCCTGGAAGCGTGGCGGCGTCGTAAAGCAGCGCGTGTGGTCAATCTGCCAGACGACAGGCGTCGACACGTTGGGCGCGTCGGCGGGCAACGTCGGTGGTGCGACCACGCGGCCGTCGTGCACAACATCAATGTGCCACTCGTCCGGATTGGCGTCGTCGACAATCGTCCAGTCGGCGGTCGCAAAACCACGGTCGACGATGCTCGAATCGTTGAGCTGGAAGGTGCGGTCGGGGTCGACCCAATTGAGAAACTCGAGCGGTGTCAAGAGCGCGTATGGCGTGATACCAAAGGTCGCGCGGGGGTTCGCGAGCCGCAGTGCCCGGGCGCGAAGCCGCGCGTTAAAGTAGCGTTCGAGCGTATGGTTGCTCTTGAGAAACCCACGCTGCGACGCCATTTGACCTGCAGCCGAGTGGCGCCAGCGCGCAAAGTGCGCCCGCAGCGCGGTGACGTTGCAACCATCGACGCTGGAGAGGAGCATCGCCGCCAGCAGAAGACCGCTCCAGATCGCACGCAGCGCCATGGACCTCCGATTGCAGAATGAGAGCGTCGAGGTGCAGACGATCGAGACCGGTATTTATAGTGGTCGAGGCGCCATCATGCTGTTCCAAGTTTAAAGTGTGCCGCCATCTTGTGCAATGTAGGACGCCCGTCTCAGAGCTCCTCTGGACCGGGGGCCATAAATAGAGAGTCGCCTGTTGTCTTGTCTGGTGCCTACTAGCTCGTCCAAGCAGTAGCAAGCCCAAATACCGACCACCTTTCGAGCGTCCAAGCAAGTGTTTGGTCCTTTGGCTGCCGCGCCAGATTGCACGTTGAGTCGGATTAGAAATCGGAAAAAGTAGCTTTGGTTTACCAATCAGCGAGGCTAGATGGACGCCACTTAGGGTCGTTCCATGCTTCACGCGCAATGCCCTGTGTACATGGCGCAGCCCCGCAATAGGGGCACGCATAAGAGCTTCATTGACTTAGAGTAGCGACCCTATGATAGAGAGAGCGGCGTGGTGGTCCTCCATACCAGCCTGGGATCAAGCAAGAGTTGCGTGCGTTTATCCTCAAGTGGCCCCGATCCCGGCGTGGATCGGGCAGAGTGCAATTTGCCATGTTTGTGGCCGACGTGTGCAAGGACCGCGTCGCGCTCGTGACGGGCGGCGGCTCGGGCATTGGTCTCGAGATCGCGCGCCAGCTCGGCCGCTTCGGCGCCAAAGTTGTCCTCATGGGGCGCCGTGCACCGGTGCTCGAAGCGGCGGTGGCCTCGCTGACGGCCGACGGCATCACGGCGACATTCGTTGCAGGCGACGTGCGCAAGCCGGAGGACGCCAGCGCAGCCGTCGCCAAGGCCATGTCGACGTACGGCCTCTTGAACGTCTTGGTCAACTGCGCCGCGGGCAACTTTCTCAGCACGGCGGAAGACCTCTCGACGAACGCGTTCCGCACCGTTCTCGACATTGACACGGTCGGGACATTCAACATGAGCCGCGCGGCCTTTCCGCACCTGAAAGGTGACGGCGTCGTGCTCAACATTAGCGCCAACCTGCATCTGTTCGCAACGTGGTACCAGGTGCATGCGTCGGCGGCGAAAGCGGCCGTCGACTCGATCACGCGGTCGCTTGCGCTCGAGTGGGGCCGCCACAATATCCGCGTCGTCGGCATTGCGCCTGGGCCGATCGCGGACACGCCTGGCATGAACAAGCTCGCGGGTGACGCGGCCGAAGACATGATCAAGGACGTGACGGCGCTGCGCCGCATGGGCACGAAGCTCGAGATCGCACACCTCGCCGTCTTCCTCGTCTCGCGTGGCGGCGCCAACATCACGGGCCACACGATCGTCTCGGACGGCGGCCAGCACATTTATCGCGAGCCGGGCATGCCCCCCGAGATGGTGACTGCGTGGAGCCGTCGTCGGGAGGCGCAGATCAAGAGCAAGATTTAAGCGTTAATTTTAGCACCCTTTTGAGTTGTTTCGTACCATGACGGTAGCGCACTGGGCGTCCAAGACGGCGCCAGAGCTAAGTGCGGCCGAGGCCATCCGCGTCGCAACCGAGCTCCTCTCGCTTGCCACCGAGGCAGTAGTAGCCTCGGGGCCGTCGACCGTCCGCCCATCGTCGGCCGTGAAGAAGCGCCTGCCGGCAACGACGACGGCGACACCTGCACCGTCGATCGAGCTATGGCTTCGCGCCGAGACGACCGCCGCAAATATGGTTAGTGTCGGCGCCGCGCTCACCCTCGAGATGGCCGAGCTTGATCGCACCCTCAACAAACGCCTGGCGCTGCCGTACTATGACGCCCACTTCATGGACGCCGACCTCCAGGCGCTGCATGCGGCGCTCGGCGCGCAGACTGACGCGTACTTGAGCGACTTGCACGACGGGTTCCGACGCCTCCGTCGCCTTGTCCACGCAAGAGACAACTCGCTGCAGTCGCTCGCGTTTACCTCGGAGCGGTATATGGCCCGGCACGAGGTAGAAGTGGCGATCGCTCCGTGCCTCGTGTCCGACCACGTGCTCTCGCCAGACCGCATTGCGCTCATGCTCGTGCACTGCGACGTCCGTGGCGATGGCAGCGTCGACATGCAGCGCTTCCTGACGCTACTGGAGACGTCGCCGCCGCCCCGCGAACGCTGCATGCAGTTTGCGTTCTACATGCTCTGGCCGCGCGCGCCGGTGTCCAACAGCCACGACGAGCGACTGCGGATTTACAAGCTCGTCGCGCTGCTCAAGGAGAACCACGCACGCGACGTCATGCCTGCGTTTGCTGCGACGTTGCAGTGGTTGCAGTCGTTCGACGGTACAGTTTTGATGGATATTTGGAGTTTGAGTTTGCACTTTGCAGAGCCAGCGCTGACGCTGACCGAGTGGATGCGCTTCCATCGCCTTCAGAGCGACGGCATGGACAATGACGCAGACTTTGTTCGCTTCCTCCGTACTACGTCCGCAGGTCGATTGGGATGGCATTGATGATGTCAATACGCGTAGACACTACTTGGCATGTTCTCGCGATGGAGCCCGTGCCAATGACGTGGCAGCGTGAGAGAGCCATGTGCGATACACTCTTGCAGCAGGCTGCTGACGCGCGCTTGGCGCAAAAGGCCCAGCAGCGGCGAAGTGGCATCGCCCACGAGCTGCGCGACCTCGAGACGCGGGTGCGCGGGCTCTGTGGCCGTCTGCGCGAGGCGTGCCTGTCGCTAACACGAGCAAGTGTCTCGGGCGCCGTCTTGGCCGCCGATGTGAGCGCTGCCAAGACTGTGTTTGACCAGCTGCATCGCCTCGAGGCGCTGCACATCACGCCCGTGCTGACGACGCTTCCGGACGCTGCGGCGCTCTCGGGTCTCATCGAATTGGACATTGCGCACTTGGGGCTCTGGCACTTGCCCGCCACGAGTGTGGAGCTCGTGCACTTGCGCATCTTGCGGGCGTCCCAGTACGATTGTAGTAATATATGAACAAGGGCCATGAGAGAGTGCGTAGCAACCAGCTCCGCAAGGAGAGCCTCCCCAACGTGCGCGTGCTCTGGCCGCAGCTGCGCGTACGCACCGCGACGAGATCAGCGGTACCTCATTTCAGTGCCTAGGAGCTGGACCTCTCCAACAATACGCTTACAACCCTTCCCGAGGTTGGTCCATCTGACACTGTCTTTATGCTCAAGTTAGATGGGTGCGCAGATGTGCCGGTCTTGGACTCTGCTCGAGACATGCAACCTATCGAGCAACCAGCTCGTGGCGCTCTCCGAGACCGTCGTCGAGTCGTGGCGTCAGCTCCGCAGCCTGCAGCTCCACGACAACCGACTATCATCGCTTCCCAGTACACTTGGGTGCTGCGATGCCCTCACAACCCTCTCTTGTCACCGCAATGCGCTCAAGGCGCTACCTGCGTGGTTGGCACACCTGGACGCGCTTGTCGACGCCTCCTTTCACCACAACCAGATCGCACACCACAGTATGAATCAAAGCGTGAACTGCTAGTGCATGATCGCGTCTCGGACAGGCGAAGGACCGGGCGTGCCAGAGCGACGTCATCTGCGGCAGCTGGCGCGGTGTACCTTGTCGTACAACAGCCTCGAGGGCATGCCATTTGAGCTCCGTGATCTCACCAAGCTGCAGTCGCTCAGTCTTGGGCACAACCAGCTACGCGACCTCGGGCCCATCGACTTTTCCTGCCTTGTTGTGTGCACCGAGGTGGACTTGCGGCACAACTGTCTCCGGGAGCTACCGTCGTCTCTGTTTGCCATGCCGATGCTGCAGCACCTTTTCGTGCACGCCAATGTCCTCAACGATCTCCCTTCCAGTATCGGAAGCGCACCGGCCCTGGCTTCGCTCCACGCACACACCAACCATTTATCCAGTGTACTACATGTCTATCCATGCCACTACACTATCCAATCCAGCTGTAGTCAAGTGGACTGGATAGGTGCCGCCGGAATTGAGCAATGTGGCAACACTGACGCACTTGGATCTGTCGCGGAATCGACTGAGCACACTACCATTGGCATGGACCGCGTTCCTGGCGCACCGTCACCCTAACACAACGTCGCAGCTCGTGCTCGAGACACTCAAACTGGACGGTGCGTGCTGTCTTTGTGTCCACTTTGTATCAACCCCTTCGGTGATAGACAATCCGTGGGAGAATGCGCTCAAGGACATTGTCGTCCGGAGGAGCTATGCGTCGCCCAGCGTCCAGCAAATGACGCTGGTGCGGCCATCTCGATACAAGAAACGTCTGGGAATGACAAGTGTGGCTAGACGCTCCTCAAGCTCGTCGACTACCTCCAACGCACGACCACAAAGCGCTCCAAAGTCGACTTCAGCGTGTTTCAAAAGCAGCACAAGAACGACACGAAGGTCTATCGCCTCCGCGTTCGGAAAGGCCAGGCCAAAGTGGCCACCGAATACCTCGAGTGGGCCTTCCGCGATCACCACCAAGATAGTGGTGTCTCGGAAGCCACTTTTCGCAGTCGTTTGCTGGACCTCGGGTGTCCGTGGACGGCCGTCGAGTGGTCGCGGGTCCTGCATCGATTCCCACTGCAGCCCGGAGGCGTGGATCTGGACCGGTTCTTGGAGGCGGTCGAGAGAGTCCACGACGCGCCCGTCGAAGCCCATAGCTTTCCGGAACAAGTGCTCTTGTACCTCCACGACGTGGCGGCGGCGTCCGAAAAGTCTGCAGCGCCCATCTCCAAACAGGCGATGTCTCGTGCTACGCCGAGTCCAGCGCAAGTGCGTCCTGCGGCCAAGTCAGCGACGTCTGTCACAGTAAACCCCACGCCACCCGTCGAGACAAAGCCCCAAACCAAGAAACCATCGACTGCCGAAGCTCGATTACGCCATCAAGTGCTTCGACAGCGCGAGCGTATGGTGATCCTCCAGCAACAAATGCTCGACCAGAGACAGCGACCGGTCGTGGATATGGCACGGGAAAAGCCCAACACGGATGGTGACACCGCCCCATCTCAAGGACTCGTGCTCACGTGCATGGGCGAGACGACGCACACGAGCCTCGTCGTGACGTCCTTCGAGATGCAGTGGACCATACGCGAGCTTAAGGAGCACATTGAGGCCGAGCATGGCATACCGACGTCGTCGCAGGTGGGTGGCACGATACTAAAATCTGCGGATGTTGCTAGCATAGATGTCGTAGGTGCTGCTGGCCGTCTACCTCGATCGCCGTTTGCGACTCGCCGACGCGGTCGTCCTTGCAAGCGTGCTCCACGACACACCAACGCCATCGCTGCAACTCCTCGTCGGGCCTCCCGTCCGCGCGATTTTCGCACCCCGCGCCGTCACCTAACCTCGCTACGATTTGCTATGGAGAAGAGTTGTTGTTACTATATCGTGATGTACTCGGTCGGGTCCGACTCCATCGCATCCACTTGGCTCTTTAGTGTGCGCAGGTGGTCCTGTGCGTGGCCCATTGCATCTTCGAGGCGGTCGATGCGGGCAATCTGCTGGCTCAGCTTGTCGAGCATCGAATTTTGCTGCTCGGCCAGCAACTGCTGCGTCTCGGAGATCTTGGAGAGGAGCTGCCAGAACGAGTGTTGCTGCTCCGCGACCGCCGCCGCCGACGTGGCCACGAGCTTGGGCTTGTGGCGCTCGAGCGACCCCACGATCGACTCAGTCGCTTTTTTGGTCGTCATTGGCGACCTTTCGTCGACCTCTGGGATCGGCGATGGCTCGGGGGGCGCTTGCAGAAACGTATCCGCCGACGCATTCGAGGTCCGGCCCATGAACGACGAGAGGTTCCGCCGGAACGACGACCCGCCCGACTCGATCGAGCACTCTTCAATCGCTGTGAGCCGGTTGCGCTCGCGCCGTCGGTTCTCTTCGAGCATCTCCATCACGATGGACGAGAGGTGCACAAGCATATCGACGGCCCGGGCGTCGACACCGTCGCGCGGTGCCGTGTCCAGCACCATGATGGTGCCAATGACTTGTCCGTCCATCGTCACGATCGGCACTGCGACGTAGAACCGAATGTGCGCCGGCCCCGTGACGAGCGGGTTCTCGGCGAACCGCTTGTCGAGCGTGAGATCGCGGACCACGAGCGGCTTGGTCATGCGATTCTCAATGAGGTACGTGCAGAGCGCGAGTTCGCGCGGGAGCTGCGCATGCGCGATGCCGAGCGAGGCTTTGTACCACTGCCGCATTCCATCGAGAAAGCCGATCGCGGCGACGCTGCAGCCAAAGGTCTTGGCGGCCGCTTGGCACACGGCGTTGTACTCGGCCTCGACTGTTGTGTCGAGGATCGCAAAAGACGAGAGCGCGAGCAGCCGCGTCTCTTCGGCCTCCATGTTGCCGAACGAGTAGCTGTTGGTGCTTTGGTGGCTCTGCGAGAGCGGCAGCAGCGTTGGTGGCGCGGCCGAGTTGCGGTAGACTTGGACTTCGCCAATGCAGTCCATGCAGATGCGCACTGTGAGGATCGTCGCGTTCTTGATCGACGAGGTTCGCTGCTGCGGATGATGATGGTGGTGGGCACTGAGGGACGGGCGCGGCAGGACGTCGCGGACGTGTCGGTGCAGCGAGCACTGGCTGCACACGACTTCGCCACAGGCGCGGCAATGGTGCTTGCGGACAAAGGTGTTGAAGCGGCGGATGCAAATGACGCACTGTGGCCGGTCGCGGTCGGCCACCCACTCGTTCATGTGCTTGAGATGGAACTCGAGGACATCGTCGGGGATCCGGCTACGCTTGGACGACGACGAGAGCAGCATCGTGCGCGGGAGAGACTGGCCAATGCGGCTCGTAGAGGCACATCAAGTCATGCCAGCTGGCGGTATTAGCCTCCTGCGACACCAGCTGCGGGCCTTTAGCATTGACAGGAACACAGAATAATACATGGACGACAACACGACGAGGTTGTTGTCTGCGCAGGGAGGACGGGATCGATCCAACAAGGACCATCTTCGTGTCGTCGTCGTCGTATTAATAGCAGGTAGGACCAACATGTAATATATTCCTAGGCAAAGGCGCGCTCATGCGTGGATCGCGGGACGGTCTTCTTCGGCGACGAGCCAGACACTGTCATCCTCTTGGTCGAGGCGCTGCGCAAGCGCGAGGATCGAGCCCGTCTCGAGGAGGTACGACACGAGGCGGTCGTTGGCGTCGACCATGGCATCGAGGTGCCGCGTCGACGTCGTCGTCTTGTGCTTGCCAGCGTGCAGCGGCCGCACATCGCGCGGCTGCTCTAGCTGCTGCTGCTGCTGCTGGTCGAGCTCGTCGTCGTCGTCGTCGTCCTCGTCGTCGTCATCGCTCGAAGACTCGTCCGAAGACTTGCTCGCGCTCGGCCGCAGCGTCGGCGAGGTCCCCGACGACGGCTTTTGCTGCTGGCGGAGCGCGGCCTTGCGCTCTTTCGTGCGCTGGCGCTTCTTTTGCCGCTTGTTGCGCTTCGACGCTTGCTTGGCCTGCTTCTCGGTCGTCTCCTTCTCCGTTTCTTCCTTCCAGAGACTCTCTTGGTACTTGAGGTGGAAGATCGTGCAGTCGCAGTTCTTGCACACGTTGCACTTGCACTCGGCGCAAAAGAACGTGTCGTTCGAGTGCTTGGAGAAGGCGCCCATGCAGATCGCGCACGTCACAAAGTGCTGCTGCCATATCCGCGTCGCGCTACGACAAACAACGGTGGGTACTTGATACGTTGATAGTTTTCAGTACCGCTTCGCGACGGTCGCCGACTTGTGGGACACGAGGGTTTCAATGTTGGCCGACGCCATCAAGCCTGCGTACGGGTTGGGCGCGTCGAGTCGTTTCGCCTCGAGCTCGCCCACTTGCAGTATACGCTCGAGGCCTTCCAGCGCCATCATGACCATGCTCGTCTCTTCCAATAGGTTGCCTAAGATCTGGATGCAGCCTTCATTGACCAAGTATTCAATCTATCAGAGGGATCAGACACCGTATGCCATGCACGAGTCACAAACTTGACTATCGGAGCCGCACGACGTCGCGTTGAGGACGACCCAGCACGCTTCGGAGCGCACCTCCGTGTCGGTTGCGTCCGACGACGCGAGGTTCATGAGCGATGGGATGCAGCCAGAGTCGAGAACGCATTGAATCTGGTCAACCGTGCCCGCGGCAATGTTGGAAAGCGTCCAGCACGCTTCCTTTTGGATTTCGCGGTTCGAATGCGCAATGAGCTTGCGCAGCGACGGCACAGCGCCACACTCGATGATGTGCTACGCAGAACACGTTGATAGCCTCTTGCTAGCGTCGTCCACTCCACCTGGGTGTAGTCGTGGTCGTCCTCGGCGCAGACAATGTTGCCAATGGCGCGCAAAGCAGGCTTGGTCACGCGCCACGAGTTGTGGCTGAGGAGCTCCACGAGGCGCAAGCACACCTCCGAGTCGACGACGGCCTGGATGTGCGTGCTCGGGCCGTCACAGAGGTGTGAGAAGGCCCAGCACACGTGGCTTAGCACTTCCGTGTCCGAGCTCGCCAGCATCTACGTAGCCATGATGATATGACCATGGATCGAAACGCGATGGAGTACCTTGCCGAGCGACGGAAGGACCAAGTTGATGTCAAAGACTGGCCGCGGCTGGCCGTCGCAGAGGTTGCTCAGCGTCCACGTGAGGATGCGCAGGAGCGATAGCTTCTCAGGCGGCGCTTTCTTGAGGCTGTTGACCAGGGGCGGCAGTGCACCGGCCGAGAGCACCGAGTCGCGCGTGTGCGAGCCCTCGCCGGCTAGGTTGCCAAGCACCCAGACAGATTGCTCGAGGACCTACAATGATGATATGTTGGATGCAAGCGCAACTGCAACACCGATACCTCTTCGTTGGGCGAGTCGAGGAGCGACACGAGCGTCGGGATGACGCCATTGTTGAGGAGCACGGACGTGTTGTCCGTGGCGCCAGCGGCAATGTTGGTCAGCGCCCAGAGCGCTTCGACTTGCAACAGCGGGTGGTCCTTCAATTTCAGCCAGCTAATGAGGCGCGGGGTCCAGTTTTTCTCGAGCATCTACGACCGCGTCAAGCTCGCGCAAGGGGCTACGTGGCGCATCCCACCTGCCGGATCAGGAGGTCGCGCTCGCTCGAGAGGAGGAGGCGCAGCTTCTTCGCCGCTTCCATCTGGACCGTCGAATCTTGGGACGAGAGCCCGGCGTCGATCTGCGCAATGTCGCCCTGGAAGTCCTTGTTGCCGGCCATCGCTGCCGAGTGGGCAGCCGATAGCGCCTGGATCCCGCTGCTTGCGAGGTGCACCATCGAGCTCGCGCTCATCGAGTGGGCGAAGGCCGCGGGATGGTGGTGGGGCGCCTGGCGCGCCTTGGACGGGGGAGCAGCGAGGCCAGCGACGTGGACGCGGACGCGGGGGATGGCATCGGTCTCGACGGGATGCTAGCGATCGAGCGGAGGAACGCGGACGGGTCGATGGACGCGGCAGGAGCGGCAGTCAGGGGATCGACTTCCGCCGATGCTGACCAGAACCTTGTACTGTTAGCCATCCCAAAACTTTATCCCGTCGAATAATAAGTTTTCCCGCAATTTCGCCCGGTTCAAAAACCTCTACAAACGCATACTCAATTCCATCGAAGAAATATTATTGTACGCGCGCCGTTGATTGCACCGATCCCATCATGGCAGTGCGCACACGAGCTCTGCTTGCATGAGCTCTGCTTGCATGCGCTCCGCTTGCATGCGCTCCGCTTGCACGAGGTCGCTTGCATCCAAGCGCTGCGGTCTCAGCATGTAAAAAACGGGCACGTGAGGACCATTGGATGAGGAAAATGAACACACAGAGCTCCACGTCATGAGCGCGTGGTCGTATTCTGTTGCCTTGCCGCAGTCGTGAGGCGACACGAGAAGGACACTCCACTGTCGACGCTATCACGTTTCGTCACGGTATCGGAGGACACGCGTGCATGATGGCAAGATGAGAGGTCCACGCACCACTCTCAAACTCAAAACTCAACACCTGCCGACGTACCTGCAGCATTGCATAATCGAAATCTTTGTTATCCGGATGTGCCGGATACCCGACCGACGCACGCGATGGCCCGAAAGATCGCACGACGAGCGCTGCGTCGGCGCGCGACCACGTATGTGGCGAAAACACCACTCAGATCTAAGTGGAGCTTTGTGAGGCGAGAGGACAGATTGTCTCGATCCGACGAAGACGAAGATACGTCAAGAAACCTCCGGTATCATCGCTCCATCGCAGTGATCCACTGCAGCAGCATTCGGTGGCGCGATAAGAACTGGATGCGCGACACCTCTTGCCCTCGTGCACGCGGCTCGAGTCGTTCTGCAACACCGCGCAAGGACGAGCCTACTGATCGCCGTTGCATGAGCCGACGACCGGTAGGAGGCAAATTTTAGCATGACGAGCACCACGGTGCAGCGCAACCTCTCTCTGTTGCCTTGCACAAACACGAGCAAGGCAAACACGAGCAAGACGAGCGCTTGGCGAGAGTCGGCTGGGATGCGATGCCTTCACGCATCTACTACGAGATAGTTCTAGTCTCCTCGGTGCGCTGAGGTCGTGCAATTGCAGGACCGTCACGCCATACGCGTGCCTGGCGACACCAGCTGCGCAACAGCCACGTCGGAGCAGCCTGTACCCAATGCAACAAGGACGACGACAACATGACCACGGACGTGGCTCGTCGGACACCTCGGCTTGAGATCGTTTGCAAGTCGTGCTTGCGCCCATTTACGACCAGAACGCTGGAACGCCGACAGTGTCCCATCGGAATATGTTGGACCGCTTGTGTGGTCCCAGATAGATTATATTACATAGACACAAACGCTTACGTTGCCACGACAACCACGTGGGTCTCGCGGCGCGCCATGCCAATCGCGAGCTTCTTCTTGAGCAGTTTTCGGCGCGAGACTTCGACGGCTATCGCCGCGAGCACGATCGCCCAAATGAGCCAGAGGTACGGGAACAGAAGTGTTTGCTTGAGCCCGTCCCGGTCGTTGGCGCAGAGCGGGTTGAGCGAGACGCCGTCGTCGAGCGTATTGCAGTGCGGCGCCCACTTGTCCTTGAGCATACCGAGGACGATGGGCGACGGGACATCGCCGAGAAGGTGCGCGAGGAGCGTGTTGATGCCGAGCGCAAGGCCGCGCCGGCGCTTATCGACCGAGAGCAGAATGGCGACGACCGACGCCGGCACGCAGCCAAAGAGGAACGCAAGCGCAATCGCCAGAATCCCGATCGAGAGAACCTTGTCCCACTCGAGTGCGATCCAGGAGAGGACGAGGAAGGCCGTGCCGGTGGCGAGCATGATGCACAGCTGCCGCGTCGCCTTGTACATGCGGAACTCCTCGTTGTCCGGGTCCAGCGCGCACGACCGGTCGAGGAAGAGGCCGCCGAGGAGCGTGCCAATCGTACCAGCGACGACGATGATCGCGCCAAAAACCATCGCGGCCGAGCTCTCTTCAAAGAGGCCGAGACCAATGAGCAGCGACGGGCCAAACGCGCCGAGCCCCGAGATGGAAAAGATGTACGCGGCCGACCCGAGCGCAACCAGCATAAAGAGCGGCGACATGAGGATCGAAAGCACTTCCATGTGCAACGCCACCTTCTTGACCTCGGGCTCGTCTTCCGTGACTTGCGCGACGAGGGAGAACGTCGACTGCATGATGCACTCGTGCGAGAGGTCGTTGTCGGCGTCCGTGGTACCTTGGTGGAACTCGACGGTCGCGCGGTGGAGCTGCGGCGTCATCGTGTGGGCGCGCTGGCGACCCACGAGACCCGCGGGCACGTTGTACTGGTTGGGAATGCTACAGATACAAAGCAGCACGAGTGGCACCATGAGGATCCCCTCAAAGTGGAACGCCCACGGCCACCCGATCGTGGACGCAAAGAGTGCCGAGTAAAAGTAGCCCGCCGCGGTGCCGACCGTGATGCCGCAGTAGAAGATGCCGAGCCAGAGCGTGCGCTTCGCCGGCGGCGCGCGGTCGTCAATGAAGGACGGCGCAATCGCTTGGAAGCTCGACTCGCCGACGCCACTGAGAATGCGCCCGACAAGGAGCACGTTGAGGTTGTTGAACGGCTCCGAGAGCCCGCAGAGCACCATGGCCACGCACCACGTGGCCATACCGGCCGCGATGAGCACGAAGGGACGGTAGTAGATGACCCAGTACCCAAAGGCAATGCTAAAGACCGAGTAGCCCGCAATGAACGCCGAGACGAGGAGACCCATGTACGTGTTGGCCTCGGCGGTCCCGTTTTTCTCGAGCGCCTTGTTGATAAAGCTCTGGAACGTATTGGGCGACCCGGGGATGATGCCCCGGTCAATGTAGTTGAGCATGTTGATGGTGCAGAGGAGCACAAAGAGGTACGAGACCTTGGTGAGGCGGACCATGCTGCTGCTACGAGAGCTTATTGTCAACTGCACCTTCTACCCAGCTTGGCCCACAGCTGCTGCAAGGCCATTGGCTGATGCGAAGACATTCGAACTTCGACGCGCCACCCACTTGCACGGGATTCTATCGTGCAAAGTGGACGCTCGAAGGAAAAAACCGAGATACTGGATCGAATGCTTCCATGAAGATTGATATTACATACAGTGTACTCATATTCCAATGCAATGTATATATTGAAAGATTACACCGCGTGCCACACACGGGCAGACGAGCGTGTGCCATCGCGACGCCACGACGGTCGGTCTCGCCGACGTGGAGAAAGCATACTACAAGGACAAGCAAGACGGCTCTGTTGACCTGGACCGGGCTGAAGCGCGACCGGGTTTATTCCAACGGCGCGAATACTATATATATTATTATGGATAAAATATCTGCCTCGAAATAATATAAACGTCGACGCCAAATTTGTCCCGTCCCATCTGATATGGCAAGTCTCTCAAACTTGATGCGTGTGTGGTGGGATGATGCAGGAGAAGGCGGGATTTTGCCCCGCGTGCGGCGCCGAGTAGCTGCACCACACAGTACAACTTTAACTCTGCAACTAGAGCGCAACGAAGCTTAGTACTCGAAGTCGAAGCCGTTGTAGAGACGCGTCGGACACTCAAAGCCATATTGCACTGCTTTCGAAGCAGGATTGAAGAGCCAGCGCCTTCTGGTTCGACGATCATCGGTGGGCTTGCCAGCTCATGGCTGACGACGTCCTGGATGGCTGCAACCTGCTCCTGCTGCTGGCGACCTCTGCTAGCAATCAATGGCTACAACAGAGTTGGACCTGGAGCTGGACCATAAACGTGCTGCATACAGTGCGCGGCGGAGCGCGATAGGCCCAATCGAGATGCTACGCTCCAGACCCAATTGCACTGTAATGGTCATGCCAGCGTTCCTGCGACGCCGATTCTGAAGCGTGCGCCAGAACGAGATCATGGCGTGTACTAGTACCTTGCTGGCCAGCTCGCTGTGCCTGCTTGACTCTGTCGCGGCTTTGGTCACGAACCGACATAGATAGTATACCACCCAGATTCCACACCCCTCTTTGCGTTCTGTTTGACTGTTGCGAGGCGAACGTACGACTCTCGGTTGCGCGGGCCGTCGTTGCATCCTCCCGTCCTGGTTCTGGGAACGCGCCTTGGCCAACATATCAAGTCTGGCAGGTTCTATTTGGTCGACCAATGGCCTTGCGCGACGCATCGGAAAGATATGCTGACCGAGATCGCGGTGCGTGTGGCCAAGGCCGACGACGCATCGATTGGCGACGACAGCGACAACGACGAGACCAAGCCGACGGGCCCACGCGTGAAGCGGGTGCAGGTCACGCTGCTCTCGCCGCCTGCGCGCCTGACGCACATTTCCTTTCAAAACTACTACACCGCGAGCCTCCGCGTCGACCAAGTGCTCTTCAGTGGTACGATTCGCTTGGCCATACGACGCGTCGATGCGAACGTCCTGTAGGCAAGACAACTTGCGTTGTCGCCAACCTCTCCTTGATGGCCAAGGCCCACTATGAGGACGACGCGCAGAATTGGCATGTACTCAAGCTCGACCAGGTACACGAGACTAGCATGCTCGCACGACAGCATTACGCGGCGTAGCTACCAGGGCTCGACGCGGCGCGCGCAACAGGCTTTGTGTTGTACCTCACGCAGCCGTCGCCGCTCTGGGACAAGGTGTGTCAAATGGCTCGAATCACCTCGGACGTTGACCGTAGTGGGAGCTCCGGCAGCTGCGGTTTTCGAGACCACCGAGGCGCCGTCCATCGTACCACGCGCGCTGCAAGAAAGGCAGCAGAGCTAACGGACGGTCAGCTCTTCCGCAAGTACACAATCAACACATCCGGGACGGTCTCGGCCGACGCCAAGCACATCCGAAACCATGCGGCGACGTTTCTCGACCTCCTCAGCCTCGTGCACCGCAAGTTGCATGTGTAGCAACAACGTTTGTAAAGCGTATATACTCTTTATATTATAAAGTGCTTGCCTCTTTCTCCAGACACTCTACTAAAATACATACGAATCAACGGCGAGGTACGCTGGCTCCGGACCCTAGCCCTACCCTAGACCTAACGCTACGTCCACCAAGCGACGTGTCGCCTTGGCGCAACAACGACAAAATATAAGCTCCATCGACAAGCAAATACGCGTATGGCAACTAGAGAGTGCTGTGGTGTCGGCGCGGAAGCTTGGCGTGGGCGGCTTTTAACAGTGCAATTTCCTTCCGGCGCTGCTCATACGCCACGTCATCGAGCGCTTCGCAGAGGACGGTGGAGCTCGTGTCATTGGCAGCCACTGCGACGATGTTTTCGTACGCCAATCGCCGGATCAGTGTCGGTGTCCACACATCGTGCGTATCGTGGTGCCCGAGTTGCCCATGAGCGCCACGGCCCCACGAGAAGACCCGGCCTTGCCTTGTCCGCGCCAGCGTATGGCTGCCACCGGCTGCAATCTCGACGACGTCCCGACCACTCAGCGCAGTCACGACCTTTGGTTCAAGTGTCCAGCGATACGTGGTCTCGGTCATCGCGTCGTAGCCGTCGTCGAGGTCGATAGCGTCGGCAATAGGCCCGAGACCGAGACGGCCGTTCGCTGCGCAGCCCCACGCGTAAATGTTACCGTATGGGCGAACGCAGAATTGGACCTTGGCCATGAGCAAGTTGGTCGCATCGTCGTAGTGGGCGCCACGCCGGAGAGCGCTACCGTGGGCATACGAGACCGTGCCGACAAGGGGCGATGCAGCCAGTGGCCCGCGGTAGATGGTCGCGTCGCCACAGGAGACGTCGCCCTCGAACGTCGGTGCATGAACCGGCGCCCGCTGCTGCAAAATGACGCCGGTTGCCCCGAGCTCGAGCGCAGTCGCCAAGATCGTTGGCGTGTGGTCGGGACGGAAGAAGAGTCGCGCGGTGACGTCCTTTTGTGCGACCAGTGCCGCTTGCAGCCGACTGCACTGGTCCACATCAATCATGAGAATCGGAATGTACACGCCGAGGTCGCCTACACCATCCATCGTATCAAGTTGATACATCGGCGCGAACTACCCGGTAGCATGAGCTCAAACGGCATTGACGCATGAAAGTCCAACGCGAGGACGATCGAGATGACGCCATACTCTTGGAGCGTCAGCGCTTTCTGCGCGATGGACGCCGTCACCAGCTCCACGATCGTCTCTACCCCACGTGTAGCGTAGATGAAGACGCCAGAGTCAGCATGTACCTTCGCGAAGGTGCTGCACCTTGACAACGAGGTCAGCCTCGGTGAAGCGAACAAGAACGATGCTATTGTCGAGGGGGAGCTCTAGAACATATCATGTGTCAGTAGGCGACAACCAAGCAAGTTAGTTCGCACCCGTGCTTGTCATGTCGGTCAGATCCAAAAAGTGCGTCCAGAGACCGCGCTTCGTAACCATGCGACACGTGTTGGACGGAATCCCGCGCAGCTCGAGGAGGATCGCGTCTTGGGTCAGGAGCTCGAGGTAGAAACCTTCGGGCGGCGCCACCGACGTGAGCAAGAGCCGTCCGCCAATGTCCGTGAGCACCTCGCGCAGAAGCGCCTTATAGTCCAAGCTCTCGTCCTTCACCGCGCGGCACCAGCGCAGCGGCAGAAGAGACGGATGCTGCTGGAATTGGGCAACCGTTGGCTGCACTTCTTGACATCGCGTGCGCCACAGCTTATGAAGGAGCGCGTTGATCGAGCTGTGGATCGCCGATGGCGATCGCGCGAGATGCGCGCCATCGTCTGTCACAGACGACGTATCAAGCGGACTCGACACCCAAGGACTCTCGCCCGCGATCGACGCTTCGGATGTCTCGGGACTCAGCGACCCCTACACCCTCTTTCGCACCACTAGGACGGCGAGGTAGCACCTACCCAATCGTCCTCGGGTGACGCGGCGTAATCGTCGAACGTCAAGTCCACAATCGCCAGATCCATGGGCGCTACCAACGCTCGGATGTGGTCGACGCCCCGCGCATGCTGCGCCAAGAGCACGAAACATTCGAGCGGCGTGTGCAGTAAGCACAGCCAGACACTCGCCCCTACATCGATTCTATCAAGACATCCAAAGACAGGAAGGATGGAGACCGTCGGCGATCGTGTGTTCGTGGCCTAATGCAAAGCTAGCGAGCGCATACTGCTGCGTACCGTGCTTGATCTGCGGGGCGTACGCGGGGGGGAGCTCCGTGCCGAGCATGCGCCCCCAGCTCCCCCATTCGTACAATTGATGGTCGCGCGCCAAGGCCGCCGAGCGATTGCCCTTGCAGCCGATCGCGACAATGTCCTGCAGGTTGGCAACCGCCTTGGGTTCGCTTGCAAACGTAAAAGCAGACTGGCGCTGTCGACGGTCCACAAACCCAACGGCGAGGTGGTCGCTCGCCGTGCCATGGCCCAGCTGCCCGTCGAACCTGTGAGAGGACGTTTGGGATGACGATGAGCGCGTACATGAAGTTACCTTCGCCCCACGAGTAGACTGCGCCGTCGCGACTCAGAGCGAGCGAGAAGAAGTCGCCGCACGCAATCGCTGCGATCGGAATCGCCTCGGCGGCTTGCGCGTCTCGGCCTGCAAAATACGCCAGCGGCAGCGGCGTGTCAAGGTACTCGACGTCCTCCCCCAGCCTCGGGTCCAAGTACGTGGCGTAGCGGGCGCCCGTTCGCGCCTCCAGAACGTCGCTTGGCCCATGCCCCGTCTGCCCGTGGTCGTTGAAACCCCATGAGAAAACACGCCCGATGCGGTCCAGCACGAGGCAGTGGCTCACGCCCAGTGCAAGCTGCTGGACGATTGCTACGTTGAGCGCAATCGCAGAGGGTACTTTTGTGACGAGCTGCGTTCCGTCGCCAATGCGCAGCGGCAGCCCGTGGCCCCAGGCAAAGCCTTCGGTCGCTGTCGTGAGCAGAGTCGTGCTTGACGAGACGGTGATGCGCAGACTCTTGGCGCCCTGAAGCCGCGGCACGATCTTTGGCGCCGTCTGAAGGCTGTTAACGTGGCCGTTGCCCAGAGAGAGGCCAGCGCCAAAGGTCAAGACAGCGCCGTTGTACGCAGTGCGTTCGAAAACAGCGCGGGCCATGAGCTGCTGTGCGGTCTTTTGCTTCTTCGCATACGCTTGAATGGTTTGCGCGGCGGCGTGCCGCAGTGCGAGGCGCTCGTCGCGTTGGCGCGTGAAACTGCGCTGCGCGAGCCGGCCCTTGTAGATGGCTTGAATCTTGGTCGACGCCGCCATTTTGGCCAACTCAGCCGCGCGCTCGGCGTCGTCTGGACTCAGCGACGCAAGGATAGAGGCGTACAGCGCTTGCTGCCGGTCGCCCGCCAACGGTAAACTCGGGTTCAAAATGTCTCCTGGAATAAAATGTCGAAGGATGTACGATGTCGTCTTGTGCTGAAGGCACCACACGACAAAGTCGTCGCGGGCGATGGTACTGGCGTCCTTCTCGAGCGATTGCCACGCGTCGGCGAGGAGCTCTTTCCCAAGGTCCCGTGCGCTGTGGTGCTGCCACGCGGCGTCGAGGCCCGTCGTGAGCTTGCGGAGTCCATTGATCGTCGAGAGAAGCAGGATTGCGATATCGCTCTCACTGAGCGTGCGCGCGCCGGGATGGGTGCAGAGGCTGCAGAGTAAATCGACTTTGGCCGGCGCCGACGACGACGTCGAGGTGCAGACAGCCAGCGCACAGAGGAGCTCCATCGCGTACACCTTTTTGCTCTCGCGCGTTGTCTTGAGCGACTCGAAGAGGTACAACGTGTAGACGTCGAACGTGCTGCCCATGTGTAGCCAGGACCGAAACTCATCGAGGGAGAGGAACGCGGTGGTCGGCAACAGCCGCAGCTTCTCGGCGAGCGCCGCGATCTCGGCCATCGGGACGCACTGCGTGAACGGCAGGAACTGCGGGCGGATGCACACCTGCGTCGCGTCGTAGCGCAGCGTGCTGTAGTGGCTGCCCATGGTGGCTGTGCCCCGACTCGATATTGTTCTGCCAAAACGGTACTTGCTTCGACGAGGCGCTCGTGAGCCCTAGTTCGAGGCAATGTCCTAAAGTTGAAGCAAGAGCGTTTCGTTTGCGCACATTGCACACACACGCATCCTTGCCAGCGCGACCAACGAATAGCAAGCGAGCATCATTTCACATGTCGCCACGCGTGAAGCGTGCTCCACACGTCCTTGATGATATCGGCGCAGTCGACGAGGAAGTGGCGGTACGTCTCGTGCTCGGGGCAAGAAGAGGCACGCCTGGTCGGCCTTGTCGAGCCAGTGCAAATGGGCGCGGAACTTGACCGCGTGGAGCATCACTTGGTAGAACACGAGTCGACATGGTACACCAGAACTCCCATTTAAATCAACGTTGCTACACTATCCCACGACCCGAAACGCTGGTGGCATTCCAGCAGGGTTTCAAGCGCTGGCGGAGGCAAGTGATGCAGACCAAACGACTTGTCGCGTCCATCTCCAGTTCCGTTCATCTCTCCACACCAATTGGCCTTGTGTGTGGAGCGCTTGCGGTGCATCGCGGCTCAAGAGACGACCACGCGACCCTTTTTTACACCGTCATGTTGGATGATATATCGCGAAAATCAAAAGACATTAGGCACACCACTAGGCGCCGTAGAGTATGGGATAGGCGCGAAAGAGGTCAGCGAATGGCGCAGGGATCCCGCTCTCGTTATCGTCGTCCGAGGATGCGTCCGACATGTCCGCGTCACTGTCGTCGTCGTCCCACTCACCATCGTCCCATACGACGGGGTTGGTCGTGCACATTAAAATGGCCTCGGTGCCAGCAAAGAGCGCTGTTCCATACGTGAGCGATTCCCGCGTGGACCAACGTGGATACAAACCGTCCATATGCTGGTACTGGAACGGCGCTTGGCCAAAGTTGAAGCGCACTGCAAACGGCGAGTCGATGCCCACCACAGGGTACACGGTGGGTGACAGGCACGCCACGGGGCGCCCGACCACAGCGCCATTGAGCGTGTACACAATATGGGCATTGGTGTGGATGCTATGGACGAGGCCGCAGCCGACCGTGTCGCCGCTCGAAAATGCGGGCCCAAACGCTTCCCCCTACAACGTAAGGGCACAGTAGTACATAGGCGATTGCGATTCATAAGAGGTTACCCGCGCCGACGCGTGAAAGAAGCAGCCGTCGTCGCCGTGGTACCCATACGAGTGGCGACGCCAGCCTTCAAATACAAGGCAGTTGACAATGATGCGCAAGAGGGATCGAAGCGGGTACCTGGCTGCGCTCCCTTCAGGCGAAAGGACTTGTTGCAGAGCCCGACCGAGACGCAGTGGCGGTCGAGGTTGAAGGGGCGCCTGCTTCGTCATGAGGCGAATGGGTAGAGGACAGTCGAGGTCGGTGTACCGCGGGTTGATCATCGGCTCGGTTCCAATCGTCACCTCGAAGTAGTTGTCGCACGTGAGTCCGACCATATAGAACTCGCGGCCATCAAGCTGGCGCTGGCGATACACCATCGCGTGCGGCGTCTCGGTCATGGGGACGTTGGCGCGAATGCAGCGGTCGCCACCGAGGTTCCTTCCTGCATAATGCACCTCGATCGGCGCGTTGTCACGGTTCCGATCGTGTGCGAGCGTCACAAACCTACGCACGTTTCGTGTGCGGACGCCATGGATCCATGCGCGTACTTGGCCTGTCCGGCCACATCGGCGTGCGTCGGCAATGGTAGCACCGCGTGCGCCAGCAGGCGATAGCACGCCATCTCCCTAGTTGGCGCCACGTTCGACCTCGCGAGATAGGCTACGAACAACGTACGTGCCAAGCGCCTGGACCAGCGGCGCGGCGACGACCAGTGGCACGTCGTGCGCCACATCAAAGTTGGTCTCCGACCATCGGCGTACGAACTGCGCCTTCCAGAGGCTGGCATCGCCCGTCGCCACATGCAGCCACGTCGACGAGACGAGGGACGTGGCCTTGAGGTCGCGCATGCCCAAGAAGGTCGCGACATGGCGCAGGGTCTCGGTCGGGAGCTCGTCCATCATCGCCGCCCACCGTCGAAATTTTCGTAATGAGAACATGGAAGGTGGCACTTGCCACGTGCGACGACCATCATTCTCTCCATCTGGATACGGGTCGGTTGGCCGAGCGCTCGGAGTATTTTTCAATCCATACTCATGTCAATCGGCTCAAATATTATCAAGTCATACTCAGCTCAACGACCAATATTATCGATCCATACTTAACGCATCGGATTGGCCAAAATAGACAACATAATCAACTCTGATTGGACACTACTAAAATAATCAAAGGAGCCTAGCACACTCACTCCAACCCCAAATAGTGTTAAATAATACAAAAAACGCAAATAGAGTATGTCGGACCGCCGTTTCAATGTGGGGCTCAATTTCAAAGTGCGACCGACGATCCCAGAGAACTACAGTACTAGTTCGATGCAGCGTGCGAAACCCGTCGCCCAGCCGCCGACTGTTGGTCGACAGATGCTGCGGGGACAATTTGCGAGTGCCATCAAGGATTTCGCTCTAACGAACGGATTCAAGGTCAAGGCGGCCAAGCGTGGTACTTGCCCTCATGACACACATGACTTGAATGACCATCAAACGCTCTCCATAGGCATTTTTGTGAATGGAGAGCCGGTCAAGAACAGCGGCACGACCGTGTAAGTACGACACCGGTGCTATGAATAGAGGTAAATTTTCAGCGCGCGAGCTCTTGGATGTCCATGAGCAGCGCCTCTGTCAAACAAGCCGTGGGCATGCCAAACGTACAGGACCTCGTGCACAGCTCGCGCAAGATATCGGCCCGAGCACTGGCGACAACCATTCAGGTATAGTACGTCTACGTCTGCCTCATATAGCTGATGTAGTTCGATAGGCCGATGGTGATGGGTCAGAAATGTCGCCCGGGTTCATGGCACGCGTCAAGGCTGGAGTTGTGGGTTCTCTAGAGACTTGTGTATGCTTCTTTCTTCGTTATATGACCCTCATCCATTGCATAGGGCGGCGAAAGCTACGCATTTTTGCCGTGGTTCCTCAAGGATTTCCAGAAGCGCAATGAGGGATCTACCGTCGAGCTCGAGGTTGACGACAGCAAGCGCTTTTTCGAGCGTCCGTCGCCTTTGGGGCTTCTATCAAGGAGCGTCACAATCACGTGCCCGTACTCGGCACAGATGGGACGTTCATGAAAGACCGGGGCTCGCTCCTCGCCAAGGCACGGCCTGCACAAAAGCCAACACGCCACCTCCGCTACGCTGCGGTGCGCAGGCTTTTCTGGGCCGATGCTCTGTCGTCGCTCGCAGCAAAGTGGTCCGAGATGTTATACAACGTTACGTTTATTGTGCGGTAGATTGTGCGAGCGACGTAAGAAATAGTTCGGTAGCCTGCAAAATATTGTGCGGTGACCGGAAATAAATGTGCAATCGACGTGTCAGATTGCGCACATACGGTAAGTACTCCATCGCGAGCTCCGGCGAGTCCGGTACCAAGAACAAGACGTACCAGCACCGAGCTCCCTCGACGAAGAAAGCGTACAAGTGCAGTTCGTGCGGTGCGACGGACTACAACGCGAAGACCTGCGGCAAGAAAGGGCGGAAGCTTGTGCCCGCTCGCTCGACCGGAAGCTGTCTATTCAAAGACATTCCGGCTGCCTGTGACCGTATTCTTTTTAGGGAGCTGCTCAACCCGGACGACGACAGCGACAGCGAAGACGTCGATGATTCCTGCGAAGTCGACGAATTCGGCTTTGCCGTGGGAGGCCGCGGGATTGCTGACGTCGAGTAATCAGTTAGCAATGTATGGCACAGCTAGATAATGCACAACGTTTTATGTTAATGGTGTGCCATTGGATTGTTCTCTGGGATGGTCGGTCGCACTTTGAAATTGAGCCCCACATTGAAACGGCGGTCCGACATACTCTATTTGCGTTTTTTTGTATTATTTAACACTATTTGGGGTTGGAGTGAGTGTGCTAGGCTCCTTTGATTATTTTAGTAGTGTCCAATCAGAGTTGATTATGTTGTCTATTTTGGCCAATCCGATGCGTTAAGTATGGATCGATAATATTGGTCGTTGAGCTGAGTATGACTTGATAATATTTGAGCCGATTGACATGAGTATGGATTGAAAAATACTCCGAGCGCTCAGCATCGACGCGCGCCATCCACGAGCCTGCCATGTCGTCAGCATGCACAGAGGCGAGCGTAGGTACACATGACACGACGATACTGTGTTATAGGTCTGCTATAAGACTAGACCTCGACCGACGCGTCGGCCTTGGCCGCGACCGAAGCCATTGGGCGAGCAGCGACAAACGGCCGCGCAAGTGCGAGGCGAATGCAGGGTGGGCACGCGACCTTGCCGTACGTCGCAATGCTACACAGCTTGCAACAACGTGCAAGGCAGATGGCGCACCGCGAGCGACTCGCAGGGCTGCTGCTGCAGCGGCGACAGCCGAGCATGGTGACGTCGGTTTCCGCACTCGACCGCCACGAGGCGAGGCAAAAGAGCTGGCGTAGGCACCCAGGAGGCCGCGACACCCGTTGTGGCGGCAAGCGGCTCACAAAGACTTCAAATCGCATTTGGTTGACGCGCTGTTGGAGCTTGGCGAGAAAGGCCAGCGCCGCTGCATCAAACGCTCGGCCGTACGCCGGTGGGACGCAGCCCGCGACCGAGACCTTGGTCGTTGTCGCATCGATCGCGCAAACCACCAGACCAAAGTACACTGGGGCGTCTACCTCGGTCACAGAGGTATGGCCGACCTTGAAATCGCGCGCCAGCGTAATGCTAAAGGTACGCACGTGCGGCACTTCGATGCGTGTGTGCTGGAGGTACGTAAATCGTTGAAAGCGCGGCAGTAGCCCCAGCGATGGCTTGGCGTCCACGTAACCCACATCAACATACGACGACGGGGATGCGATCCACCGGCAAATCTGCGCGGCGCGACGCGTCGGCAGCGGACTCAAGAGCGCGACAAAGTCGGGAAAGGCCATGTAGCCACCGGCGGCTTCGGCATACGCGAGCAGGTTGATGGTTTCGTCGAACGTCGCCTCGAGGTACGCCTGCGCGACGATCGCGGGTGCATCGACCGTCGAGGGCATGGCCGCGCTCGTCGACGGCGGAGCATTGGCGGCCGACGCGTAGACCCGCTCCGAGTTGCGGTGCGCGACCTGCAGCATGGCACGCTGCAGCCAGCGCGGCGCGTCCCGCGTCAAGAGTGGTGCGAGGTCCATCGCCAATTGCACACTCGATCTTGCACGGGTTCGCCCTGTCCCGCGTCCCAACGGGAAATAAATGCCGAGGCGAATTTATTGACAAACCACCCGCAGCTCTGTTTATCGAGTAGTACGCATTTCAATGGGCGTTGATGGGTTCTGACAAGTATGCATCGGCCGAGACGCTATATGTGTTGGGTCGATCGTGCGCACGACGCCAAGTGCCGCCCTGGTTGGGAAAGTGGCCCTAGAAGCGTCAAGGCAATGCGATCAACACAGCTTGAGCGCGAGGCGCAGGACCACCAACGCGAGGCGGTAGCTGGTGATAAAAAACCAGAAGTGCTGACTGACGCGAGGTGTCGACTGACGCGGGGTCTTTGGTACGTTGCCACCTCTGGTGCACGTGGCTCCACCGGCAAAGCGCGCCATCGGATACAGCAGCCCGTCGGTCGTGGGCGAACACGCGAGGCGTGCGGGAAGCGTGATCCCGTTGATGGCGAACGAGATCCGCTGCTTCTGGTGAGGCCACGTCATGTGCAGTAAGATCGCGCGCGGCGGTTTCGTCGGACCCAACACGATTTTTGTCCGACTCTGGCCATGCGAGTAAATCTCGCCCTTCTCGCAGCTGAAGAACCAGACGCGGAGGGGCTCGTCTAGGTCGGGCACGGGCAGCGACAGGTGCCATAGTATAAACCCAATGTCAATGGCACTCCCGAGCTTGACACTCACGGCAAACGTCGCTACGGGCTGGGACGCGATCGCGATGCTCACACGACGACTCACTTGCGACGCCAGAGTCGTGCTCTCGGAGAAGAGGATCGACACGGTCGAGTGCTTTGGATCCCAGTGCAGCACGGGGGGCGTGGGCGGCGACGGGTCCTTAGCTATAAGAACATCCTTTTGCAGGTAGTCGAGCATCACACTTAGGTCCGACACGTCCGACGCGTCGAGCCCATACAAGGAAAGCGTCCCCGTGCGCAGGAACCGCATGACATGCGAGAAAAGCTTGGCATCCACATCTAAAAAGTACGCGCCTGGACGCCATCATAGCAGCGTCGTCGAGCACCGAACGTACCATCCTCGTCCGGTTGCCACGCATCCGAGGCGAGCCTCAAATCAAAGTAGCTCCCAGGCACGCGACGCAGTGTCTCGCGCGCAGTTGTAAACAGGGTGCCGCCAACGTTGAGCGTGACCAACTCGGTCGCTTGGTCGAGGCCCATGCGGCGGCGGCGTGGCGTGCGAAGGCGGCCGAGCAGCTCGAGCTGCGCGTCGATATGCGCTTCCTGCCCACGCAGCGCCTCTTCCTTGGCGGCCAATGTGTCCACGTTTGCATCCATCTCGTCCACAGCATCGCTTCGTGGCATACCGCGGAGTGCCGCGATCCGCGCTGCCAAGCTGGCGCAGTCGTCGCCCATCGTGGTTAAACTGAAAAAAATGTGTCATAATGACGTGGCAGCGTCAAAGAGCAGACACCCACAATCCGACGCAGTTGGCTCTTTGCACCTCGGGCAGACTTGGGCGTTGTGTTGCTAAACCAATAGATGACCTGGCTACGACTGTGGCGTCTTCTATTGTTAGACACTTTTGTGATCAACGGAGTGCGATGACGGCGGCGATCCTGCCCGCACCTCCTTTTCCGCAGCACGCGCGCGTGACGTGGCACCGACCTTCGGTGGTTGTCAGCTTCGTCCTGGGTCTGAACATCGTCTTGACCGTACGTACTCCATCACTGCACCTTCTTGCTGCACCGTGCAGTAGCCGCTCAAGGCGTACTTGTGCGAGTCGTTTCCGTGGCAAATCGTCGACGCGGCGCCGTCATCACCGTTCAGTACCTGGGCCGAACGCGAGACGAACCTCCTTGCGTCCTACACGGCCGCGTACGAACCTCGTCGCTCTTCAAGAGGCCTCATGCACCCTGCGTTTAGGTACAGTACAGAGGTCTTTCGTCCTCAGGCGTCCTACTTCCACGACGTACGAAGCAGTACACACGTCTACCGTGCGGCCGTATTGCGGCCCCAGCACTTTGCAAGCTGCCGCGTCGACGTCTTGACGACGTTGACAGGAGGCATCTTTTTCGCACCCGCCATCGAAGAGACCATCTGTTCGTTTATGATGTCCCCAAATGCATCGATGGTCGGCGGCTGCTTTGAGAGCCGCGTGTTCACGTCGCTCTCAGGCACCAACTGCATCTGGACGCGGCCCGGCAACGAACTTGCCAACGCTTCGGATGCACGTTTGTTTACATATTACCTCGCGTACCGCCAGAACGCGACCATGGCGTTCATGACGGCGAAGCTCTCGTTTCGGCTACTGCTAACTCTCTACTTGGCATATTGCCTCTGGCGCAACTACTATCGCCACGCGATGACGCTCATGACGCAGTGTGCGAAGCTGCCAGAGGCTCGCCACTGCATGCTACTACTCGGCGACCCGACGTCCATTGCTTTGTTAAATCCTGTCGTGTCCCTTTGTTTGGCCGTCGACGTCTGGTTGAGCATCGACACGGTGGCAGCCGAACTTGTCGCGACCGTTCAAGTCGACGATCTTTGGCAATTTGCGCTTGGATGCGTCTATCTCTCGCGAACGGTTCGTGCGTCGCGCTGAAAGTTTAGTGGGACTGAGAGGCCGTGCTATTTAGGTATGGTTTTGTTACGCCTTCTTGGCCGCTGCCTCGTATTGCATTCATCGCAAGCGCTGGGCCCACTGCTTCACCCCTCTCGACCCGACCCTCGTCGCGATCGCTGCAGCGTTTATCGCTGGGCCCCTTACCTACTTCCAAGCCCACTCGGGGTTCATCGAGGCGTACCTGTACCTCTTCTCGCTCGGCGCGTCCGATCCGAACAGCACTGAAGGCGCGTTTCCCATTCTTGCGTATACGCTCACAATCGGACTTTTGCCGATTCAATTTGGATTTATACATCGCCGCTGGTGCATGCGACGACGAGATACACGGCAGGTTTACGCGTCGCTGCAGTTCAACGACTGCAAGCAACGTGTCTTGATGTCTTTGGCGTCTACCTGCTTGGGCCTGCCGAGCGTCTTGCAGCGTCGAGGCGGGTCTGTGTACAACGTCTTTGCCAGACACCCGAATCTGAAGCGGTCGCCGTGCATTAGCCAGCGCGGCGCCGACTGCTTTGTGTTTACGTTCGACGGTACCGGTCGCGCGACAACGTGTCGTCGGCTCAGTTTGCTGCATTGTCTGCAGCCAACCGTTGAGCTTGAGACTGTCCACGTCGTCACGCGCGCGAGCACGTCGGTCTTTGGTCGAGTCGAACTCACACCGACCGAGGGTCGCGGCAAAAATGTATGCACAATCGTGCTGCCCGCGCGCCACGACAGTACTATCTGGGTTGAATAATCGAGTAAATTGTTGTTGCCTCGGCAACAGGGCCGATGAAGTACTTCATGCTGGCGCCTTGAACGTGGTGCTGGAGACCCCGCTACACTTTGACGCGTGTTGCGATCGGTTGCGTCACGAAACCAGATCTCCCGGCTCCTCCAAGGCGTTCGAGGGGTCATTATAGAGCACACAACACGTCACGCTTTCGGAGACAGTCGGAGGAACATGGCATTCATGTCAGTGGACGTGCGGACAAGAAGCTATGGAAGCTCTCCTCATTGGGACGCTCGATGAAGAGCCGCACTTTTCACTAGAAGCCCACAGTATTGGCGACAGTGGGTATTACACACTGTTTCCTTGGCTGTTGATCCCTTCCTCCCATACGAGGAAAGAGGCGTCCAGTGCGCGTTCAACGTGAAGCTGTCGAGTACAAGAATGGCTGTCGAATGCGCATTTTGAAGACGGTCATGAACGAGCGCACAAAAGACTCGTCATGTCGTGCGTCGTACTCAAACATGCTCCTCCACGTCCAAGACGATTTGTAAGACGACTTCGACGACGGCCGTGACCAGAACACCCACACGCAGCTGTCTTCCAACGCGGCGGATGTGGAGTCAAACGACGTCGAACGCCGAGCGGCCAAGAGCAAACGCAATAGCATCGCCAACATGATCCGGTAGTGATGCGACAAATCAACGATTAACCTTGTAACATCGATTATTGCTTCGCAGCGATGGCCGCGATCATTTGCATCATCAGATCCGACTGAGTTTTGATGGCGCGTAACACGTCGTCTATCGACGCGGTTCCTTGCGGAGCACCTTGCGGGGCGGCTTGCTGGATCTGCGGGCGAGCAAGGGCTTCACTCATCGCAACAAGGCCTTCCTTCAACTCGGAGAAGCCAACTGCAATGGCATCTCCTAAAGCCATTGGCTTTTTCGTGCCCGTGCGATCATTGGCCTTGCCCTTGTCAGAGAGTGTCTTGTGCTTCTTCCTCGCAGGGGCAGATTCTTGGTCAGAGTCGTCATCCAGAACGACGACACTCTGGCCTACACGTAGCAAACGTCAAGTGAATGCACCGCACCGCATACATAATACCGTCGTCGTCGTCGTCGGAGCTACCCGTGTCGGGAACATCGTCCGTTGAGGCCAATGTCTCGCGCTGCATGCCAGGCTTCTCCAACCAGTACTCGAGCATAAGATCGTAGTGCGACGGCGGGTTCGTTGGTCTAGGGTCGCTGCCGGTTTCGGCTGGGTTGGACGGCTTGAACGTCGACCACGCAGTTCGCATGCGAGCAAACTATGTTGCAGGGATGAGATGCAGTAAAAGCCTGGATACCACACCTTGTTGTTGATTTGCCTGACCGTGAACGTACGCCCCATGAGGACACTGAGCTCGGCAGCAAGACACTCACCCGCGTAGTTCTTCTGCATGTTGTTTCTCGAGTTGAACTTCTTCGCAAGTTCCGACTTGTACCGAAGCTCAAAGAGCTTTGAGATGCTCTCGTCGCACCACACGACAGGCGCTTCTTTCACGATTTGCTTCTTGAATATCTGTGGGGTGGCCTTGGTTGGCGTCACGTCGGTAGCTATCTCCGTCTCGTCGATGGCCGTCTCAACTGTCGTCACCGCGTCCGTAGCCGTCTCGACTGTTGCCACCACGTCCGCGACGACGTCGCGCGGCTCGGCCTGATCGGTGGTTGGCGCATCGGTCGTCGGCTCGGCATCGGTCGTTGCCTTGCCCTTGGTCTTCTGACCCTTCGCGCAGGCCTTGTCTGCCGGCGGCGAGGGCGAGCGAACGCTTTTCGGTCTTCCTTTGGCGTCTTTTGCGGAGGCCATTTGCGTCAATCGGTTTGTTGCAAATCAATGCTCCGAAGCATGGACGGGATTGCACTTCAAGTCCAATTCTATTCCACCAATTTTCGTATCCGGATGCCCGGATAATGGTAGCAAATCACAGGCGATTATTTTGGCGCTTCTCAGGAATAGCAGGGAATGGAAGGGTCAGATCGATTCGCCGACCTGTCTCTTCTGTCCCTTGCTTCAATCTATCAAGTGAGAGTGCCCAATAATCCAACCGGCACATGGTAAGAATAGACACCCGGCGCACGATTGACCATACATTGGATATGCATGCGATCCACCCTGCGCCCCCAGAGGCGCTTGTTCCGACAGCGGTCGTGGTCTGGGACAGGACTTCCGTGTTCCTTAGCGTCGCGCTCGCGGCCAACCTCGTCTCGACGGTCGGTACCTCATTGCCTCTCCAAAGCACCTTTCGATTAGCGTGCATAGCCGCTGAAGGCGTATTTGTGCGAGTCGTTTCCGTGGCAAGCCAACGCCCCACCGCCGATTCTGAGCACAAATGCGTCGTGGGCGGTCAAAGAAGCGTTCTTATTGTCGCTGACGGCAGACCGGTGCCGCGCGCTGTTGTAGAGAGAGATGCGTCGCTCAACTCGCTGTAGGTACAACGACAGCGTCTTTACTGGCGACGCCAACTACTACGAAGATGTCTTGGCATCGACCGTCGTGTACCGTCGTCTCTTGACCCGGCCGATATCGCCCATCACCAACTGTGCCTTCGACGTCGCGACGCACGTCAACGGCGGTCTCTTCTTGTCGCTGCGCACCCAGTCGGCGCTGTGTGGTTTTGCTGCGTCCATCGACAGCCCGATGCTGCGCTCGTGCTTTGAGACGCGGACGATGGGCACTGTCGACCGGTACGGCTGCCTCTGGTCCGCGCGACGCCACGGGTCGGACTCGAATGCGACGCTTTGGCTCTACTCGGCCTTCCAGCTCAATGCATCGCACGATTTCCTGATCGGAAAGCTCGTGTTTCGAATCGTCTTGACGCTGTACATGGCCCGGCGGGTTTGGGTCGAGTACTATGCCCACTACGCCGTGCTGCGAACGCAGTGTGCGCGACTGCCCCACGCGGCGACGTGCAAAATCTATATAGGCGACCCGACGAGCATTTTCTTGCTGCACCCGGTCGTGTGCCTCTGCTTAGCGATCGACATGTGGCTCAGCGTCAATGTTGTCGCCAACCAAGTGGTTGCCGTCCTCCAGCTCGAGAGCCTTTCCGCATTCTTATTTGGGTACTTCTACCTCTCGCGCTGCGTACGTATAGATAGCATTTTCAATTTGTATAGAAATGGTGCGATCCGACATGACGTGTTGTAGGTGTGGCTCTGTTACGCCTGCATGGCCTGCACTTCGGTCGTGCTCAAGCGATGCCACTGGGAACATGTCTTCCCGCCCATGGACCCAACGCTCGTGGCCGTCGTCGCAACGGCGCTCGTCGGACCGCTCACGTATCTGCAAGGCAACAGCATGTGCATTCAAGCCTACGCATGGGTCCTCAACGTCTCGGCCAGCTCCCCCAACGCCACGGAAGGTGCGTACGCAGTCCTGCTCTACACGTGCTCAATCGGTGCGCTGCCACTTGTGCATGGTGCCTTGCAGTATGCGCTCTGCCGACGACGCTATGGTACGCGCAGCAGCGTCATCGCAACGGGCAGTCATCTTTATGTAGGTGCGCAGCGTGGGCTGATCAACTATGCATCGCATCAGTACAACGATGTCAAAAGCTTGGTGGTGCTGGCCCTCCCTTTTCGCTCGCTCGGGCGCGTGCCCCATACCTGTGGCGGGTCGCTCTACCATGTCTTTGATCAGTTCCCGGGCTTGAAGCGGTCACCGTGCATTAGTCAACGCGGCACCGACTGCTTCGTGCTCGTCTTGAATTGCGCCAAGCACCCGCTGGAGCTGCGCCGCCTGAGTTTGCTCTACCATGGCCTCGATAGGACACGTGCGGCGCAGGCGCCCAACGTCGTCGCGACGAAAGGGCCCGTTATCTTTGGGCACGTCGAGCTGCAGACGTCATGCGCGAGCTCCCGAGGCACGCGCATCGTCCTGCTTGAGTCGTCGCTTTTCCCGAGTCCATGGATTGAATAGCTGCCACGCCCATGCTATTATATCGTATTTTTGAACGTTTTGGTTGATGTGAAAAGGTGGCTCGGTAAACTACTCTAGGGATTCGATGCAGCTGCCACTAACATGTGTGCCCTGACGCAAAGGGAAGATTCCACCTGTCCTTCAACGAGGGACGCGGACATTGCAGCCGTTGAAATGGCCTTGTTTCCAAAAGTAGACGAGCGCAGATGACGATTCCTGCATCGCACAGTTTCAGTTGTGCCGGTAGCCAAGGCTCACACATGACGGCAAGTGTCGTTCCCGAGCAACCAACCACTGTCCTGCCAGTACGCGTCACGTGGAGCTCCCTCTCGGTTCTTCTCAGTCTCTGCCTCAGTCTCAACATTGTACTCACGGTACACGTCGTGTCCCCGAATCGAGATATGACATTGCCGTAGCCGCTGAAGGCCTACCTCTGTGAGCCGTACCCGTGGCAGCTACCGCCGCTGCCGCCGGTCCTCACTTCGTCCGACGCTCCGTGGTCCGCCGTTGAGGCGACCCTTCTCGAGGCTGCCAAACGCCAGTACACTCACTACTCATACCGTACCTCGCATCCAATGCTGGCTAGATACAACAGCTCGAGCTTTGCCAGCGGGACGTTCGTCTTTGACGCTGAAACGTGGACGAGCGTGTACCGCGACGTGCTTCGTCTGCCACCGCCACCCGTGTCGTGTCAAATCGACATCATGACTCAGTTGAACGCTGGAGTCTTTTTACCCCACGCGCTTCAAGAGAGTATCTGCGCTACCGTCTTCAACACTTCAATATCGGTCAGCGCTTGCTTTGAGGCACAGCTCTTTGCCTCGACCTTCAACGTCGGATGCGTCTGGACGGTGCCCAGCAACGCCTCGGTGATCGTTTACGGAGCGTACCGCATGACATCGTCGGTCGCAGCACTCAGCGTCAAGCTCGCGGCGCGCGTCTCGCTCACTGTCTGGCGCCGGTACTATTCTCAATACCGCAGGCTCGCGCAGCTCTGTAATCGCTATCCCAAGGTCGCCCGCGTTCATATTTGTGTCGGAGACCCTACGAGCATCTTCCTCTTGCATCCTGTGCTGTGCCTCTGCTTGGTGCTCGACGTTTGGCAGAGCGTCGGGACCGTGTACTTGCAGATGCTCGCCGTGCTGCAAGTTGACGATTTCTGGCAGTTTGCACTTGGATACCTCTACCTCTCTCGCAGCGTGTGGTTTTGCTATTCGTTTCTCTCTTGCACGTCCATGTTGCTCAAGAAACACAAGCGCGAGCACTGGTTTTCGCCGCTGGACCCGACCCTTGTCGCGATTGCAGCGGCCCTCATCGCAGGCCCTTTCACGAACATCAATGGGCGCACTGCACTCCTCCTTCTCTACTCGTGGCTCCTCATTTTGTCGTGGCTTCGCATCACTCGGTCGAGACGGCTGTCGCCGTCTTCTTTTACACGATCGCGCTCGGGCAACTGTCGCTCTGCGCTGGCTTTGGCTTGCGCTGTGTGCACGGCTGGCGTGTGAAGCAGCCGACGGACTACGCAGCCATCGCATTCAACGATATCAAGCAGCGCGTGCTCTTGAGAATGGAGCGACTCTGCCTCGGCGTGCCTTCCAACGTGCGACGCCGCGGCGGCTCGATCCACGCGGTTTGCGCGAGCCTTCCGCGGCTGAAATCGTCACCGTGTATTAGCCAACGCGGCGCCGACTGCTACCTCATCTTGTACGATCTGCATGGTGTGGCCATCGAGGTCGTGCGGTTGAGCTTGATATACTGCATCGACACGACCGACGAAGCTCTTGACGTGCTCGTGCTGCCAACATCCAATCCATTCGGCCACATGACGCTCGTGCCCGACGAGACGACGGGTGTGAATCGGCTAGTTCATCACATGCCGCTCGGCAGTGGCTGCGCATGGATCGAGTAGAGTGTCAGTGAATTATTGAAATCCTAAAGGTACGCGCTTCCCAATGTTAAAGTTTGACATTACAATGTATAGTCAAGTTCGAGGCCCACTTCTCCACGAGAAGGTTTAGGGTACACGTTGCATGGGCATTTTTGTTTCACCTGGTACGTCGCTCGAGTGGGGCACTAGACGATGACTCTTCGATTGGCCGCTAGCCATCAGGAGTGGTTCGAAGCGACCAGGCTAAATGAGAAAAGACTATCTGGCGACGGCCCCAGCAGTAGTGGAGACCACGGACGCGCTTCCTACAGCTGAGATAGTACCCACTTGTACTTCGATACTCTCTTGACCGCCGCAAAACGAAGTGTGCCGCCGCATTGAAAACATGGTCTGTTATGCTGTCATTTGTATGCGTGCTAGAGCCTTGCATGTGCGGCCTTGACGAATGTCTACCAACGCATGCATAGTCGACACCGGGGCATGCACCCACAGGGAGCCAACGCCTATTCTACCCCAGTCTAGGCAGTCAATGCCTCTCGATATCTTCGTAAAATGTTGGGGCACGGTGCGCATTGGTCCATTCGACCAGCTATGCTGCGTGCGTCATCGTACATGTGGGTCCGCAATGCTTTCCGTTGATAGCGCGCTCTTGCGTGAGTTTTGCAGGCTTCGACAAGCCTCTTGTCTGCACTGAGATGATCAAGTTGACGTCCAGCAATCGTCGCCAAGCTCGCGGGGACGACTCTCGACTCATCGCGTCGGCATGTACTCGTATCTGGACAGCAGACATTTAACGTTAGTCCGCGCCCGGAAGACCTCGTTACTTCTCGTCGTCCTCGTGTCCACCTTGTTTCAACCGCGCACTGCGCGCAGAGTCTGTACGGAGCGTTCCTCAATACCTGCGGTTAAAAATAGAGCCGAAGGTTAGGTCCTGTCGAAAGCTTGACATCAGTGGAAAACTCGTACCTGTCTGCCATCATTGACACCCACTAATAACGCTATGCGTTACTCAGTTGAGCGCCATGGAGAGGGGGCTTGATTCTTGGTCGGACCCGCCATTTTCCATAAGAAGCGGAGGGCGCTGGGATGCCCAAACCAACACTGCCTGCCGGATACATGGTAGAAGGTACTTCGAGCTTATAGCCAGTACTGCTGTTTTCGTCCCCGTGGCCAGAACACAAATGCACGGTGGAGAAGAGTGAGATTCGTGTTGGGAGGCTGCCGCCGCCCGAGAAGGGATGGGTGGGTGAGTTAAAATGAGTAGGTAAGGTGAGCGTGCTGCTTGGAGGCGATTTCTTTGAAGATGAACTTGGACCGTGGGTTTCTGACGTTGACAGTTGCTGCCTTGCTAAAACGGGAGCTGTGGCAACGGCTGAAGATGGCGCCCTTGCTTGGCTGTGGTCCAAGAACACAGCTTTACGCGTGCCGCGAGAAATTACTCCGTCGAATAATGCTAATACACGTCATATCTGTCCAAGGTACCGGGCGGCAAGAAAACGGAAACAGCATAAGCAAAGCGTCAAGCACGAGGCCGCGACAGTGTATTTTTACTTCAGACCTTCCTCTACTAGAAATGACTTGCATCTGTGTTTAACCCCTGTCCTAAAGTCTTGATAACGTGAGTTTTGTAGCCGTTTTCAACGCATTGGTGCCAAAATTGGACTTGGAAAAAGGCCAGCACTGCTTAAAATCCCGCATGACAAGGGGCTGGCAGCCAAGGCTCACAAATGACGGCAAGTGTCGCTCCCGAGCAACCAACCACTGTCCTGCCAGTACGCGTCACGTGGAGCTCCCTCTCGGTTCTTCTCAGTCTCTGCCTCAGTCTCAACATTATACTCACGGTACGCTTGGTACCTCATGACAAAATGCAATCCAATGAGCTATAGCCGCTGAAGGCATACCTCTGCGAGCCGTTCCCGTGGCAGCTACCGCCGCTGCCGCCGGTCCTCGCCTCTCCCGATGTACTATGGTCCGCAGTCGAAACGACGCTTCTCGAGGCTGCCAAACGCCAGTACACTCACTACTCATACCGTACCTCGCATCCAATGCTGGCTAGATACAACAGCTCGAGCTTTGCCAGCGGGACGTACGTCTTTGACGCTGAAACGTGGACGAGCGTGTACCGCGACGTGCTTCGCCTGCCACCGCCACCCGTGTCGTGTCAAATCGACATCATGACTCAGTTGAACGCTGGAGTCTTTTTACCCCACGCGCTTCAAGAGAGTATCTGCGCTACCGTCTTCAACACTTCAATATCGGTCAGCGCTTGCTTTGAGGCACAGCTCTTTGCCTCGACCTTCAACGTCGGATGCGTCTGGACAGTGCCAAGCAACGCCTCGGTGATCGTTTACGGAGCGTACCGCATGACATCGTCGGTCGCAGCACTCAGCGTCAAGCTCGCGGCGCGCGTCTCGCTCACTGTCTGGCGCCGGTACTATTCTCAATACCGCAGGCTCGCGCAGCTCTGTAATCGCTATCCCAAGGTCGCCCGCGTTCATATTTGTGTCGGAGACCCTACGAGCATCTTCCTCTTGCATCCTGTGCTGTGCCTCTGCTTGGTGCTCGACGTTTGGCAGAGCGTCGGGACCGTGTACTTGCAGATGCTCGCCGTGCTGCAAGTTGACGATTTCTGGCAGTTTGCACTTGGATACCTCTACCTCTCTCGCAGCGTGTGGTTTTGCTATTCGTTTCTCTCTTGCACGTCCATGTTGCTCAAGAAACACAAGCGCGAGCACTGGTTTTCGCCGCTGGACCCGACCCTTGTCGCGATTGCAGCGGCCCTCATCGCAGGCCCTTTCACCATTGTAGAAGGCGGCACCGCGCTCATGGTGGTCTACTCGTGGTTCTTCAACGTTGTCGCGCCGTCGCATCATTCGGTCGAGACGGCTGTCTCGGTTTTTGTGTACACAATTGTGCTCGGACAGCTGCCCCTTCTCACGGGCTTTGGCTTGCATTTCTGGCGCGTGAAGCAGCCGACGGACTACGCAGCCATCGCATTCAACGATATCAAGCAGCGCGTGCTCTTGAGAATGGAGCGACTCTGCCTCGGTGTGCCTTCCAACGTGCGACGCCGCGGCGGTTCGATCCACGCGGTTTGCGCAAGCCTTCCGCGGCTGAAATCGTCACCGTGTATTAGCCAGCGCGGCGCCGACTGCTACCTCATCTTGTACGATGGGCATGGTGTGGCCATCGAGGTCGTGCGGCTGAGTTTGATATACTGCATCGACACGACCGACGATGATCTTGATGTGATCGTGCTGCCGACGTTCCATGCGTTTGGCCACATGACGCTCGTGCCCGACGAGACGACGGGTGTGCGTCGGCTATTTCATCACATGCCGCTTGGCAGTGGCTGCGCATGGATCGAGTAGATACCAACGAAGAGCTTGAAACAAGATGTACATTATGAAAGCGTGGCCAGCACCATGAGCCCGAACGACCTTGAATTTGTGTTGTCCAGACCCGATGATGTGTTATCGGGTTCGAAGGGCTGCAGATCGCTCCTTGACAATGCTCCGACAAGGAAGCAGAAGAAAGATTGATTCGAACTTCCTTATCCCGCTGGCTGTAGACCACGGGAATCGTGTCATGCAGTCACGGGCAAGAGGTAGCCTCGAGTCCCATTGGGTGAGGTCGGAGGCCGCTGCATTGCGGATGACAGAATACTCCACGTGTAATGTGGTGCGCTGATTGATCATAACTGGGTTATCGGCAAGGATACCCTACCCGCTGTTGGCGGGCATCGTGCGCGTGGACTGTGAAATGAACCGCTCGGATTTCTCACGTCTGCAAGCGAACTTCAGACGAGTCTGCAATAACCTGGGGCTTCAAGCCTACAACCCGCGACCAGATTGATAGAGTCAATGAACAGACGCGGTTGAAAACAAAATGGGTCAATTCGATCATCATATATACACTGGCTATGGCGTGAGCTGCATTGCCAAACGCGTGGCGCGGCGCCGGTGCACGAGCGTAAGAAGCGAGTGGCGAAAGCGGTGCCAGCTGGGGCAGAAAAAGTTGTACGTGATGAAGAGCAGCTTTTGCTGGAGCACAAACGACGGAATCTGGCTCACGACAAAGATCGAATACTGCCGCTTCTGGAGGCGCGCGCGGAGAAGGAAGAGGACGCGCTTGAAGATGTGCTTGCGCGGCGGCAGGAGCGTCGCGAGCCGATAGGCGCGGAGGCGGTCGACCCAGTTGAACGACGCGCCGCAAAAGCACGTGATCGAGTCGCAGCCGTCGCCTTTGACGAGCTGCACGTGGCACTCTGGGCAGCCGACAAGGTCGTTGGCCATCGGCGTCACGCTTTGGCATGGCACGTTCTCGTGGTGGCCCTTGGTCTGGCAGCCAAAGCACACGGCTTGGTCGCAACACCGCGTGTACACAAAGGGCTGTTGTCGCCGCCAGTGCAAGAACAAGGTAGCACGGCGCTCGGTATCGAGGAGCAGCGGCAACAGCCGTGTGAGCATCTCGTCGCGCTGGTCGGTTCCGTACAGACCAACGAGAGACTCGTAGACGTCGATGGCACTACGCTGGTGGTGGTTGAACTCGGCACAGAGCGGTTGGACCTTGGTCAGACCGGCCTCGCTCCATGGGCATGCGGCATCGTTCGTTTCATGCGCGGGCGGCAAGAGTACGGAGAAGTTGTGGCATTGCGGGCAGAGTGTCGAACACGCAGCCGCAACCTTGGTCTCGAGGCCAAGAAGCGCGCTGTCGCCGACGAGCTCCTTCCACCGTGGCAGCGGCAACGGCTTGATGCAAATCGGGCACTCAAGCTTGGTCAAGACACCGCTGATGGCAGCCGTCGAGTGCGCTTGCACGTAGCTCTGGAGGCAGCTCGTGCACACGGCGGCGGGGCACTTGGCGCCGCAAAGCTGCTGGACGACGCACGTCGCGTCCAAGCAGATCTGGCACGTAGCCAGCGGAACCAATGTGTTGGGAAGGACGTCGAGCGCTGGCATTGTCAACTCGGCAACAAAACTTGCGGAATGACCAGGACCAGCGTCACAATCCAGCGAGAACTTCTTCCGAATGCTGGTCTTTCAGCCGCTGCCGCGGCCCATACAAACGGCAAAGTCAACGAAAGACCATCATTCTGCTTCCGGATACGGGCTAGGGGACCAGACAGTAACAAACCAGGGCAACCTCAACGACAACGCTCCTCAGTGCGTCTTTCGCCATGCATCACGTCTATGTCTACGGACCACGGACGGCACCGCCGCCGTCGGCCACGTGCTTTAACGTCACGTCCAAGTCCAAGGTGCCCTGGACGCAGGCGTTCTCGCCCTTTTTCTCGGTCCTGTCGACGTCACGCCGTTTCCAGACACGACGCTGCGTGCATCCTGTGTAGAGAATGCGTGGCAGTATACCAAGCTCTATGCCTGTCATGGCGACGACGTCGACGCGTACTGGGCGTGGGCTACCAACGGGTTTGCCAACCCCCGCGCGGTGCGGTTTCCCATGGGGCGTGGCGCCAAGCCGCTCTTCTCGTACTGGCACGGCGAGCCGCTCGGGTACATCGAGGCGCGCGTCCGTATTTACGCACCACTGTACGCCGACGCGGTCGAGACGTACGCCGCGACAGAGCTTGCGACGCTGCGCGAGGCACTGCGTCACGGCGACATAGCTCTCTTCGACTATGACGGGTACCGCCACGACACCGCTGGTCTCTCGCTCGAGGACGTCTTGTACAGCCCGAAGCGAAAGATGGGTCATGCGTTTGTGCTGGCCATGATGCTCACAGAGCAGCGCGTATGGGAGAGCGAGCATTTTGACTCTAAAAAGGTCCGCGAGTAGGCGTTGGATGACAACTTTGTCATGATTGTCGACAACTATATACACCATTTATTTCTGTGTGCTTATTAAATTGAGATGATCTTCAAGCGAGATGCCAAGGGAGAGCCCTCCCCAGCACGACTCCAGTTTGTAGAGGTGCGACGTGGAACACTCGCCATGACATCGAGAGAGCGTTCGTTGTTGTGGTTGGCGTGGGGATATTGTGAATTTCATCATGAGCAAACAGCAAACCATGTAATTTGGAGCATTTAAAAGCAACGCAATGCAATTTCGCTACGGCGCGGGCTTGATTTCGGGTATGGCCTTGGCCTTGGCTGCGGTCGCATGAATGCACAGATTGAGCTTCTCGGCTTGCTGCGAGAGGTCGTCGTCGTCGGTCTCGGGCACTTGGCCGAGAAAGACGGTGGCTTCAATGTCCTTGTGGCGGTCCCGCAAGTACGCGAGCTCGCGCGGCACATCAGGCACGGCCGCCGCCACGGCCGACTTCATAAAGATGCACACGTGCTCGGCGACGATGAAGATGATCCACTTGGCCGTCGTCGACGTGTGGCTCGTAAACTTGTCGTCCGGGTCTTGGGTAAACAAGAGAATGCCAATGTTGGTCGCGACCGCCAAGTAGTTCATGAGGCAGAGAAAGTAATACCTAGATACAAAAATGTCCATCAATATGCACGACAATGTTTTCCATCATTGAAACGTACCACGAACCAATGCTGGCGACGCGGTGCGGGTACGGGCGCCGATGGCCGTTGCAGAGTTTGTACGCATCGACGTGGGCTTCCAAGACGTTGTTGAAGAGTGCCATCGCCGGCGTAATCGGCATGGCCACCACGAAAAGCGTCACAAAGCCGTACTGAATGACCATCTCGTTGTAGTCGGCGAACGCGTCGTCCTCTTCGTACGGTGCCCACAGCGCTTGGGTCTCTTCGTCCGAGAGGCCAAGAGGCGTGCTGGTCTTGGCTTCTGGCGTGCGGGCCAAATACCGCTTCGCGTAGGAAGAAATCCTTGGCCACGCGATCTCGATTGCATTGCTGACAAACGTCGAGATGACGAAGAGCACGAAGAGCTGGACACGGAGCTCCATGAGGCAGCTGTTGTTCAAGCACTTGTCGCCAATGTACGCCTTGATGTACGCAATGTAGAAGAAGGACGCAAACGAGTTGCAGAACTGGAAGAGGAACACCTTGGTGATCAAATGGTTCTCATAATCGACGCTCGTCCGGTGGTTCTCCCAGTCGTTGAGCCTCTGGGCCACAAGTCGGTAGATCTATCCATTCAATGGATACTGGATACTTGGATACAAGGATCCAACGCACCACGTTGAGAATGTTGATTTGAATCGAATTGAGGACACTGACGCCGACCGATGCCCACAGCGCGTCAGTCGGGTCCGAGAGCTTGGTCACGAGGTGCTTCAAGTAGAAGAGCCCGCCGAGCGCACCCAGCACGATAAGAACCATCAAGAGCACGACGAGGTACGCCACCACGCGCCGACGCCGCGCCCTAGTCACAGCAGCTTGGTCCTTTTGCGATAGTGTCAGAACGACGACGTACGTGGCGGTGGCCATGTCCCAGATCTGCGGCGAGTTGTCCACGGGGTTCATGCGGCGCACGCCCTTGTATTGCGTGCGCGGCGCCGAGTCAATGTCGAGGCTCACGTCGACGCCCCAAAGCACGGTGTAGATCTCGGTCTTGCGCTTCCAGAATTCTGTAAAGAACGTCGACCAGACGACGATAAAGCCCGCAAAAAAGATCTTGCCCGCGGCCACATTCCCAACGTTGCCCGTGTCCAGAACGTAGATGATGATGCCAATCACCGCCGGCAAGAGGAGGCTCTTGGTGTAAAACTCGAGCCACGCAAAGTAGAGCGCGATCTTCTCGCCAAAGTAGTTGCGCAATTCGCCGAGCGGCTGCCGCGTGAGCCCCTTGTTTGTCGCCCAGTGCGTTGTGAACTGCTGCAGCGCCGCGATGTCGTGCAGAGCGAAGAGGTCCGTGAAGTATTTGGCCTCCTTGAGCGCCTCAAAGTTGATGTGCTCGTCCAAAATCGAGTGCACGAGGCGAATACGGTCGACGGACCGAAACAGCGTGTCTTCCTACAACGTCCATCCCCTTGTCAGTCCATGCGTGGAATGCAGCGACGTAAACGCACGCTGGCGCTCGCGGCGGTCCCTGGGTGGTGTCGGTAGTATGGCTGCAACTTCGGGTCGCTCTTAAAGGCCGTGTACAGCGCAAAGTAGTTGTACGGATCGCGCGGGATGTAAATGAGCTCGTTCCGGAAGCGCTGCCACGCCGACATGAGCAGAGTCTCTAAGCATGGCCCGTCAAAGACGTCGATCCATAGATTTGATACCGGGGGTCGCGGGGGGTGGGAAGAGTCCGTCGGCCGCTTCGTTGTGGCCCCACATCATGAGTGCTTTGTACAACTTGACTTGGTACTCGGCCCCACGCGAGATGAGCCACGGGTCCATCTCGGGCTCGTCGTCCTCGACACTCTCCGCGCGCGTGAGAAGCGCAGTCTGCTGTTCTTCGTTTTTGACCGAAATGCCCTTGGTATGACCGCGCGTCGCGCTAGCATGGTCGATGAGATTTCGACGATGTCGTTAAAACAGAATACAGCAGGTGGGTCTTGGCATCAGAAAGCACGTTTTCGGTCGGGTTCGCAGCGGCGATGCGCGCGAGCTTGTCCGCATGCACGCTGCTAAAGGGCTTGTTGGAGGTCTGGAGACGGTACTTGGTGCGCTCGGCCTGGATACGCAAGTCGCCTTCATCTGCTTGAATCAATACCAGAATCTAGAATGTCGTCTGGTCAAAACGACCATCGAGCAGGGTACTGTCGCCACCTGCTTTCCATCTTGGCTGTGAAACATGGTTGTGCTGAGCCCACACACGAGCTGGATGCGCTTGGCGACGGCGCGGGCGATTAGCTCACAGAAGAGCGCCTCGGTCGTCGCCTCGGACGACCCAATGTACTCGAGGTACTCTGCGCGCAGGCAGTCGATGCGTCGAATGACGTCTGCGTTGGCCGCGGTGCCTTGGGTGAGCGTGCTTCGACCGTTGTTGTGGCTCTTGACCCAGTCGGTTGACGCAAACGTCTCGGGGTTGGTGCTCGTAAAGGGATGTCCGTCGTTCGAGACAAAGCACTTGGACGTCCGCAGCACGGCTGGGATGCCCGTGACCGAGAAGCCGAGCATGAGCTGCACAAAGGCCTTCTGCGTGAACGAGTCCGGTTTGCTGACTTCACCACCGCTCCGGTGCGGCAGCTCGAGCACATAGTCGGTCGCACCAAACGGCTTGGTGCGCGAGGCCATGACGGACGGGCGTTGCATCGACGGCAGCGTCGGTGGGACGTCCTCGGCGGCCATGGGACGGGCCATGGCTGCGTCAATCTCAATCGAGATCATCGCCTCGTACTGGACAGGGCTGGGCTCGGCCATCTTCAGTAGTTTTGAAAACTGAGAGTTTCGATGGGTTTCTTGTGATGTGCATGGGCTATTTACGCCTCCTCCAATCGGAATGTAAAAAAGTACGACCGTCTCAACGGTGGAGACAGGTGTACCCTTGCGTGGAGATGTCGGTGGTTGATAGCACCAAGGCCATACTAAGTACATTTTACCGTAGTTGCACCTTAACGCCGCTTTTTTACTAGGTCGACGCGACCGCGAGGACGTAGAGAACGCCGCGGATCGGCTCGGAGCTCTCTTGACGCACGACAATGGGCTCTTCGTGCCGAAGGCTAAAGCCAGTGGCCGTCGCCAGTCGACGGATGTACGCTCGCGTGTGCTGGAAGCGGCCCGACTGCACGAGCTTGAACTCGCTCGCCGACGGCTCGAGCTCTTCGATCGAGAAGGCGAGCGTGCCGAACGGTCCCAAGACGCGGTGGCACGCCGCAAAGACGGTCTCGAGGGCGCCGACATAGATCCAGACGTCGGCCGAGAGCACAAGATTCACGCTTCCTGTCGGCTGGGCGTCCAGAACCGGCAGAATATCGTCCGCTATGCACAATATTACAATATAATGAGGCCCATCCTGCTCAAACAATATCAGTACCGTAGACTTCGTCGTAGCCACCGAGAGCGATTGTCTTGTCGACCATGAGCGGAGACAGGTCGACCTACGTCGCATGCGTGCACGTTGACACGAAAGCGCCGCGCTTACCCCGATCGTGTGCCCGACAAACGGGCGAAAGAGGCGGCCGCAGAGACCCGTGCCGCAGCCCAAGTCGAGAACGCGCCAATTCCCGCCACTCGACATCATCGAGGTCGTGGCCGTGACGGCATCCAGCAGTTGCCACGGCACCTATGCGCACTTGATACATTGATGCAATCTTGACACGCGACGACACCTTGTAGTGCAAATGCTGCACGAGCTTTTCCTCAAACGTGTCGGCCAATTCGTCAAACACTTGACGCACGTACGCCTTCTCGCTTGTCGTCGCGTCGCCCTGGAGCGCGGCGAGCGTATGCGCCGCGCGGAGGTGCGTCGGGTGCGTCGCGACGATCGACGCGTACCCGCGCCGCACGAGGTCGGGTTCTTGAGTAAAGAACACCGAGCTACCATACGTGTATGAGTCGAGTGCCCTTTTCACTGGATCTTCTTACCGCAGCACCGAGTGGGCCGTTGCATCGTTCGGGTCAACCTCGATCACACGCAGCATGTACGGGATCGCGAGCCGCGTTTGGCCTACCTCAGAGTGTACGTGAAATGGCTTGCAGGCAGAAGGTCCATGGTACCCATCGTATGCAAGATGACGGCGAGGTTGAAATTGCTCTTGATGCAACACGGGTCGAGCGCGAGGACGTCCGAGAAGACGCACGCGGCGCCGTGGAAGTCGCCTTCGTCGTACATAACGTTGGCGTTCCGGCGCATCTCTTGCAGCAGGCGCGTGTCGTCCGCAGGGGGCGGAGCGGCGCGCGGCGCCAACAGCGCTGCATGGACCGTATAGCACTGCTGCTTGAAGCGATTGATGCACAGTGTACCTTGAAGCAGCGCGCGGCCGTCGGGCGAGCAGTGCGGGAGCGTCTAGCCAGCGCGATGACACGACATCGTCCAGCACGCGGCGTGTACCTCGGGCGTCAGCGGGCGCAACGTCGCACCCTCTATTACTCGGATCTGCGGCACGCTGTCGACCTCAAAGTGACGAAACAACGTCACGCGCCTGCATCAGACATCATTGCATCCAGGGCGTCGTGGCGCATGCGCGTACTCGTCCTGGCAATGGTACGGCAACACTTCCGCCCACGACGCCAGCCACTCGACGTGCTCTACGCGTTCGGTTGGCTCGTGCGCATCGAGAGCATTATAGGAGGCGTACCCGTGAAGCGCACTTGGTCCAGCTCGGCCGACACAAACAAGACGGACGCCGTCGCATGCTTGGCCACGAGGTCGTGGAGGCCTTTGAGCACACGCTCGTTGTGCGGCTTGGCCCACGAAGCAGAGAAGACGAGGATCATCGGGTGCGCCGCTATACACCGCCATGAGCCTCGTACAGCCTCGCGCATACGTGTCGACCTGACGCACCGTCGGCAGGTCGCGGCAGGTATGGCGCGAGGATCGCTTGGACCGTCGCCATCGTCGTCGAATTTTGCCGTGGCACAGTATCCGGATGCATCCGGTTTTATGGCACAAGATACCACCACCGCACACGGCGACAAGCAGACACGACCGACAATGGTGGCTTCGCCCAGCGGTCATATCGCATTCATCCATACACACTAGTCGTATGCACTCGACCCTTACGCCGGGTAGCGCGAAGGCTACCGCTGTAGCGAGCGACGCGACGTCGCCTGTTGCAATGCAGTAGTACACTGCAAGACACGTCCATGTCCACGCCGCTCTCTCATATTGCTTCATGCATGCTCCTGGAGCTTTTGAAGCATGATATCACGCACGACAAGGATCATCTTGGGGTTGGCAAACAGTTGGCACATCTACACGCCATACGACGTCAAGAGGCGCAGGAGAAAGAAGCTCGCACCGTCTCGTGCAATCGGTGCTCGACGACATCCTCGCGCGAGCCAAGGCCCTTGGCGTGCAGCGCACGACCTCGCTATAGCACCATGTCAGAACGCACCGATACAATGCATTTTCGTACCTGCGAAAGGTGCTGCATGAAGGCAATGTACTTGGTGTTGATGAGGTCGACGGTCGCCGTGTCGGGATGCAGCCGGGTAGTTTGTGTCGGGACGCTCACGCGCGCTGGCGGGGCGGCCGGTTCTTGCAAAATGCTTCGACACTGTTCCCGAAGCAGCGAGAGGACGAGCTCGATCAAGAGCCCGGAGGCGTCGTCGTCCACGGTGCGCGTCACTGGCGCCGCATCGCGGCGGGTCGTGGCGCGTGCGCAGCAGCAGCAGATTGACGACCGACACACGTCATGGTAGAACGCATCAACGCCAGCATCCTACGCCATCGCTCGCGTCGTGTCCACGCCGACAAACAACTACAAATGCAGCACCATGGGCGCCGGCTGTGGTGTCGACAACGCGACCGATTTGGCGCTGGACGCTCGCGACGCTAGTCGGACAACACTGGCATCGTCTAGCGCGTCTTCATGCAGCGCTGGCAGCCGAGGCATCTCGTCCGAAAGGTTGCTCGTCCGAGGGATCTCGTGGTCGTCTTGGCCGCCAACGGAAGCGTCGTCCTTCTCTCGACCATCCCATTGCATTCGACGTGCGTCGTCATCGTTGTCTGTGGGCTCAGGTGCTATCTCGCCACGTGCATCGGTGCCAACGTTGTCGGCCTGCAGGGCCGAGCATACTCGTCGCCGTAACTTGTTGTTGCGGCGTCTCCAGATGCGCCTTGCGCCTCGCAGGCGTTGTATGGGGGGCTCTCTACGCTGGCCTCGAAGGCGTCGTTCGAGTAGCCAAGCTCGTCAGCGTGGAGCGGCGGTGTGTCCAACGCCGCATCGCCAAGTATCTCGCTCGCTCGGTCTCTTCTCGGACTCTCGTGACTCGTCGCTTCAAAGCCGTCTTCCGAGTAGCCCAGGTCATGCGCGTTCGTCGCTACGTGGGATTCAAACGTCTCGCTCGAGTAGCTCTCGTGGCCAAGTGGTTCACTCAACGCGTTGGGCTCTGCGGCGCCATCGTTCGCTGCCGGTGCGTCGTCGCCGCTGCTCGTGGGCGATGGGGCACGCGACGAGGCACTCGGTGAAGTAGCGTGAGCTGGAGTCTCTGGAGTCTCAAACTCGTCAAACGACGAAAAGCTGTACTCGTCCATCGCGCGACCTCGCGTGCGGTTTCGCTCCGTAGCAACGATCCAACGACGTCTTGAATCCACTATCCAAGTCTCGTTCCACTAACCAACCCGATTGCCGTATCCTCGATCCCGCCACGTTGCCTATTTGAGCAGAATCCCATCGACTCTAATCGACAAGCGTTCAAATGGACAATATGTCTTATATCTCTAGTCCATACTTTAAGCGGCTCTACAGCGCGGACGGGCCCGACCAATGTATCACGGAGCTTAGCGGCGTGGGGGTAAACCGCGTCGGTCGATGGAAGGTAATCGCATAAAACGCATTTTCGATGGCGGCGACGACGCGGGCGAGGGCGTAGGCACCTGCGCCGACGTTGAAGAGACCGCACTCGCTCAGATCGGAGGGATCGTCGAGCACGAGCCGGGGCACGGGCAGCGCGCCCTTCATGGTCGGCGGCACAAAGTACTCGCGCGAGAGCAGCCGGCCTTCGTCGTCGATGCACCACGTGATGCACGTCATCGTGTGATCAAAGACAGTGCCATAGTACTCAAGAAAGCCCAGAACGGCCTCGCCGACGCTCTGCTCGGGCGGCGATGTCAGCAGGTAGTGCAGACACAGCAGCACGAGCGCATACGAGCTCAGGCCGCCAAGGAACGCGTTGTTGAGGCCCTTCTCCCGCAGAAACGACTTGAGCACAAGCACGAGCGGGTACATTTGGGCCATGGACGCGACGCCGGCACGGACGACTTCGGTCGCGCGGAGGCCCTGGCGCGTGTGCGGCGTCTCGACAGCAATGTCGATTTGGCGCCCAGAGCCCGCAACGTCGAGCTTGATGACGGGCACCTTGGTGCCGACCACGACTGCGCGTGCCACCCAGTCTTTCTCCAAGAGGAGGCTCAGAATGACCTCGAGCTGGTCGACCTGCGCCTGGTAGTCGTCGCTAAGCGCCTCTTCGTCGTCAAGAATGCCCTGGATGACGACGTCAATGTCGCTGGACGGCAGCCAGAGACCGCTCGCGAACGACCCAAAGCACGTCGCCGTCGCGGTCGGCCACTTGGTCTGGACACACGCCGTGAGCTGCGCGAGGCTCGCGTTAATGTCGACCTGCGCGAGCTTGACGGCGTCCTGTGTGTGTTCGACGAAGCGGCCAATCTCGATCGTAAGCCGGTCCTTGAGCGGCGTCGTCGGGTCCAGCATGACGTCGAGGTCTGTCGGCGCGCTGAGCCACACGGGCAGTGGCAGCGGTCGCTTGAGCGCGGGCGCGGGGCACCGCCGGGGCAGGCCCACGTCCTCTGTCGGTAGGTACTGCACCTGCAGCTTGCGCTCTTGCATGCTGCTCGTGCTCTTGTTATCCACGTCGTCCAGCATCGTCGATTCAGCCATGTGGTCGCGTCTTTTTATCCAATCCGAAACCGTAAACGCGCGCTTGAATGGGTGGCACCAATCACACAAGCGTTCGCGTCGAATTTTAGCCAATGGAAGCACTGTCAGCAAGAAACCCGGGGCACGGCTGCTGCTGCTGTCTCGGAGCCTGCTAACCTGCTGCACATGCGACCAGAACAACGTGCGCGTGGCCTGGATCTACTGCTGCCATGAAGTCCCAGCTCGTCCATATACGTCTATAGATGCCATGCACGTAGCCCGAAGCTCGCAGCCATGCACACCGTCGCGATCAAGATCGCCCACCAAGAAGCCGACCCTTGGTCCGACTCTTTCCCGCCAGGTCTGGTCTTCACGCATGTCGATTGCAAAATACGGAGGCGGGTACAGTACGTCGTTGAGCAAATCTGCCTCGTCATGGCTGCTCTCGTTGCTCTTCGGTGGCGTTGACAGGAGTGCCCGTGCGAATGCTTGATACATTGACACTTTTTCGCCGGCCCAGCGCTGCTGCGAGGCTGCCATACACCCGCATCCCCTGCCGGTACAAGCCTGTACAAAAGAAGATAGCGCGTAAGTTAATGGAGTGCAGAGACCTTGAGAGGCAAGAGGGTGTTGATGACGTTCTCGTATTATACCCGTGGGCACCTTGATGTCCGCGGCTGCACTGGATTGGGCAATTCCGGTGAACACTTCTCGTATCCGACATTCATCCGGATAGACGTGATCAATGGCGACGGAGTTTGCGCAGACGAGCGACCACGGCGTCGCCGAGACCGCGTTTGATGCCATCCACTGCAAGATGTACGCGCGGATTGCTTTAAGTAGTACGTACGTGGCGTCTCGTAGGTCGGCCGTCAAGCAAGGCTACTTTTCCGATGATTTCGTTGCGCTCGTTGGCCGCAAGCCGACGCGTCGCATTCCTCTCGTACTACGTGCTGCCAGCATCAGGCGCTGCATACTCTGCGTAGATCCATCGCGGCTACTACCTCCGGCACGTCGCTGTCGAGGCGGCTGTCGACCTCTTTCTGTCGCAGCGACCGACGCCGACGACGCCTGTCCAGATCCTCTCGCTGGGCGCGGGCTTGGACACACTCTTCTTTCGCCTCCAGCAGCAGCATGTATCCCACATCTCCATGTTTGAAGTCGACTGCACCGCCATCACGGACCACAAGATCGACGTTTTGACGGCCAAGACGAGCCAACTTTTTGGCGATACGACGAACGTTACGACGTCGGTCCATGCGCTCATGGCGACGTCGCCCACGGCCAAGTACGTCGCCCTCGCGTGCGACCTCGGCGACACGGCGGCGCTAACAGCGCGCTTGGCGGCGTACGGCCTGGATCCCTCGCAGCCAACGCTTGTACTCGCCGAGTGTGTGCTGGTACTTTTAAGCGTGCAAGATCGCCGACGACACTCTGACGGCGTAGGCGTACTTGGCGCCGACAGCGCGGTCAGCGCTACTAGGGTGGGCATCGGCGCTGCTATCGGACGCCCTCTTCGTCGGCTACGACCCGATTGGGCTGCCCACCGCGTTTGGGCGTCAAATGCACGGGTACTTTGCGGCGAAAGGCTGCGACTTGCGCTCGGCCAAGGCGCTGCCCAGCGTCCACGACCAAGCGAGTCACTTTGCTGCCCACGGATGGCGCAGCCTCCGTCTCTACAACATGAACGCTGTCTACCGCCGTCTTGTCGACGCGGCCGAGCGCCAACGGTACCCTTTCTCTCTAATTCTTGAATGATTACAGCGGCGGAAACGAGGCAATTGGATTAGGATCGAGGCGCTCGAGCCATTCGACGAGTACGACGACTGGGTCACGTGCAACCACCACTATGGGCTGACGCTTGCGTGCACGGGAGTCATGGACGGCGGCTCCGTCGGCGCCAAAACACTTGGTCGCTGGCCTCGTGTGACGACGCACCTCGACGAAGCAGCGATGCTTGACACATTTGCGACCGGCGTATCGATCCGTCCGTTCCGGCCTGCCGACCAGGACGCGGTGCGGGCCATTTTCGAGTCGACGCTCGACGAGTACGACCACAAGTCGGTGCGCAAGCTCGTGGCGCATCAACTCAACACGGAGCTCGCCGATGTCGCGGGTTCGTACCTAGCACCCGCCAAAGCATGCTTTTGGGTGGCCGAGCGCGGGACCGAGTTCCTTGGCTGCGTCGGTGTCAAGCCCTTCAAGGACGATGGTATCGCCGAGCTCGTCCGTCTCCGCGTTGCCACGTACGCCTATCCTCTCTTCCTTATCTAACACCTTGGCGCTTTCGTAGGAGTGCGCGCCGCCTGGGCGTCGCCTCGCGCCTCGTGGCCGCGCTCGAGACCTTCTGTCGCGACGTTGGGTACCGCGCCGTGTACCTCGAGACGCTCGCGGCAATGGAGCCCGCAAAAGCCTTGTACGTGCGCCTCGGCTACGCGCATCTCGGATCGATTCGCGTGGGGAAGCCGCCTTTGGATTTTGGCCTCGAAAAGTTCCAGCGCGACCTGTAGAGCCTGCATTGCAGAAAGAGAATGTAGCATGCTATTAGAGATTCTTAAAGTCAAAAAGGGCGGTCGTCGGGCCATCGCGGGGTAACGAAAGCGTCGCGACGCGCTGCTCTTGGTTGGAGACGCGCGGCCGGACCTTGGGCGACCGCCAGCCCGACTCTGGGAACCGTCGGCGCCAGATCGTCGAGGATGGTGGCGCAAGTTGAAGTTGCAGCCCGTCCTCGGTCGCGGCCTTCTCTGGCTTGTGTAGCAACGGCACCTCGTTGTTGTTGTTGGTCGCGCGACGCCGCCAGCGCTCGGGCGCGTGGACATCGTCGGCAGGGAGGCTTGTCGGACGCATTGGCTTGCAAAAACCTGGAATGAATAAAATTAGAAACAGAAACAAGCTCGGCGGATCCGACGGCCCATCGGTAGATGTCGTTACGACGCCGACAGCGCCAACAACGCTTGCATGCCACCGCCATCGACCATGACCATCGACGCCGTCCTCCTCTCTCCTCCGTGTCCACGTTGCCACGGGTCGTCCATCCGGATGGCACCAAGTGCAATGTCAAGTGCAATGTGACCAAGACCGTCACATGCATATTGGTACATCATGCGCTACATCGTCGTTGACGCCGAGCGTACGGAATCACCGTCACTGCGAACGCGTCACAACCCTTGTCACGTCACAAGCCCAAGCAAATGCGCACAAAAAACAAGGTGGGCCGCCACTAGAGCTTCCCCAGCCCACTCCACAGTGTGGACAAAGGCGTGGGCTGTTGTCGCGAGGTGGCCAAGCGGCTGGCAGTGCGAGCGTGGCGACGTCAACCACGGCTCCAGACCCGTTCGTTCCACCGGCGCGATCTTCAACTGATCAACACTCCGTCGCCGTGTTCCATTTTTTACCGCCAGGTGGTCGCCTTTCTGGTACCGTACGTCTTTCAATGTACAATGTACGGTCCATCTTACTGTTTGTATGAATGTACGAAGTGTACGACGGTGGCCCGGTTTGGCGTTTCGAAAAACGAAGGAGTTGGCCAATCACATGACTGGATGCTGGAAATTTCGAAAATGCTTCTTGGAACGGCATGTTTGTATAGTATACAAAACGTAAGAGAGACCCAACTCCAACCTCCTCGCTTTTCCCCAGTTTCCGATTTTCGACCACCTAGCCTTCCAGCAGCAGCATGACGGCCGTCGCTCCTTCAAGCTTTGCCTTCACCTCGAGCCACGTCGAGTCGCAGATCGACCTCTCGCTCGATGAGCTCATCAAGCAGCGCCAGGTCGCGGCCAAGGAGGCCAAGGTACATGGCGGTATGGCGAAGTAGCGTGAGGCTCATAGACGGCACATGTAGGCCAAAGACGCTTCGCCGACCAAGAAGAAGCAGGACAAGAAGCAGACCAAGGCCACCGAGCCGCAAGTGAAGAAGACGAGCGCCCGCAAGAAGCGCGCCAAGAAGGGCAAGAAGGCCGGCAGCGATGAAATCGTCACGATCCAAGTGCCCAAGGCGGTCGCTGAGAAGCTGGCCAAGGAAGCGGCGACGGTGCAGGCGCCGGAAGGCGGCGCTGCCAAGAAGAAGCGCAACCGCAACAAGGGCAAGAAGGCGAATGCACCGAGCGGTGACAATGCCCAGCCCAAGCAAAACAACAACAACAGTAACAACAACCAGGCCAAGAACAACAACAACAACAATGGCAAGAAGCAAGGCAAGAAGCAGAACGCCAACGGTCAGCAAAAGGGTGGCAACATCTCGCCGACCAACTCGGCCTCCAAGGTCAACACGTACGTCCTTTCTCCTCGTCTGTCGTGCGCGTCCTTATCCTGTGCTTGGATCGTATAGAAGAACCCGGAACGTCCTCTTCAACATCACGATGAACAAGAATCAAAACCCGGCCAAGAAGGGCAAGAAGCAAGACGGCGGCGCCGTGAAGCGCCTCCTCGGCGACCACCTCTCAGCGCTCACGCTCAACGACACCAAGCAAAAGAAGAACAAGAAGGGCAAGAAAAAGGCCAACAACACCGCCAGCAACGTGAACAGCAACAACAACCAGGGCCAGCGGAATGGCAAGAAGCAGACCCAGTTTGTGACCAAGAAGCGCCAGTCGCGCAAGGCATGAGCGCACGCCATTTTTGAACTACCACATCTTGATAATATATTGCACCATACCCTACTACGGCTGCCCGTCGGAGCGATCCAGGAAGCTCAAGTCGGTCACGTGTCCCGGCGCGAGGTCCCACACATCGGCGAGGTGCGCCTCGTTCCAGAACTTGGTCAAGTGGCGTTGGCCCGAGTCGCAGAGCATTGTCACCACGACGTGGCCAGGGCCGAGCCGCTTGGCCGCACGCACGGCCGCGACGCAGTTCATGGCGCTCGAGCTACCGACGAAGATGCCTTCCTCCTGGAGCAGGTAGCGGGACATGTCGATCGCTTCTTGATCGGTGACGCGGTACGCGTCATCAATGGCCGCTCTGGTAAAGTTGGCCGTGAGGCGGTCGATGCCAATACCTTCGGCGATCGTGTCGTAGCTACAGTGATTGGATCAGGCGCATGCAGAGGCTCGTGTGACGCACCGATGGCGCTTGACCGTGCGCTCCGACTGCTGCGGCGCGTAGCAGACGTTGTGGCGAACCTAACCGTCTCCGTTGCGGTGCCTCTTCATACAAATGGGCAGTGAGCACCTTGTTGTAGAGGCTCGAGCCAGGCGGGTCGGCCAAAATGATTTGGACGTTCGGGTTCTTCTCCTTGAGGTAGAGCGAGACGCCAGCGATCGTACCGCCCGTGCCTAAGCAAGCAGCGGTCAAAGAGATCGCCGAGCGAGCGTAGAGTACCTGCCGACATGACGTACGCATCGACGTGGCCGTTTGTTTGCTCCCAGATCTCGCGGCCCGTCGTGTGGTAGTGCACGTCGCAGTTGGCGAGGTTCTCAAATTGGTCGGCAAAGTACCCACCTATAGCTTGCAATGAGAAGGCGAGGCGCGAGGGGGCGTCGCACCGGGAATCTCGCTGGCGCGGCGCCGCGCTTGGTTGACGTAGTGCTTGGCATTGACGATCGAGGCCGGCTTGACAAACTCGACGGTCGCGCCAAACTGCGTGAGCAGGTCGCTCTTCTCCTTGGCTTGGTCGTCCGGCATCACGATGAGGCACTTGTAGCCCTTGGCTGCACGCGCATAGGATCACTACGACGACGACATATTGCATGTGCACGATACCTCGGGCGATGAGGGCCAAGCTGATGCCAGTGCTGCCCGACGTGCCTTCGACGATGGTACCACCTGGCGAAAGAAGACCTCGGGCTTCGGCGTCTTCCACGATGCCCTTGGCGACGCGGTCCTTGGAGCTGCCGCCAGGATTGAGAAACTCGGCCTTGGCCTACGTGCACGCTGAGCGTCGACTACATGCTTTGAAGTGTACAAGGATCGTGCAGCCCGTGGCGGCCGAGAGGCTCTTGAGCTTGACCAGAGGCGTGTTGCCAATGAGGCCCGAGTGGCCGTCGCAGAGCTGGTCTGCTCGGCGCTGGAGCTTGGCTTCTCTCTCACGCAGCGACCAGTGCGCCATCGCCGCGGCGACGAGCGCGACCGCCAGCAGGACGCCCGTCGTCGTCGACTCCATCGGTTCAAGGTGCGGAAAGCCCAAATGATTGGCCGATGTAAATATTATAAAAACCCAGCGTTAAAGATACCTTGGTTCTTGTATACCATAGCAAAATACATTGGATTCGGCATATGCCACAGATACTCGAGCTAAATTCGGCGTCTCGTGGGCTCGACAGCACTCGAAGCAGCGTGCGCAGCAATGCAGGTCCTGTACATATATGTATGGCTTCATGCAGTGCTGGACGAACGCATCCGGGGGCTCTGACCCCAATTATTTGACGCCGACCCATCTACTTTCTAAACGTTCCTGCGTTGGGGCGCCTCTTATTTTCGGCAATCGTCGCCATCGTTTGCCGAAAATTGTGCTCTCAGTCAATAAGATCGGACGAGCATGGCGTACCGCGACGACGAGACGCAAGCACTGGTGCCCAAGGCGCGGAGCACGACGCCATGCCTCATGCTCCTCACGTGCTGCTCCTGCATTGGCGGCTTCCTCTTTGGCTATGATACGGTCGGCGAGATGGTCGACGCGATCGAAGCTCATGGAGCGTGGATGTACTAGGGCGTCATCTCGGGGGCACTTGTCTCGATGCAAGGCGCAGATGGCGGCTTCTCGCTCACCACGCTGCAATCCGAGACCGTTGTCTCGGCGGCCATCGTGGGTGCGATCCTCGGCGCGGCCATGGGCAGCTACGGCAACGATCGCTTCGGGCGCAAGCCCATGATCTTGGCCTCGTCGACGCTCTTCACGCTGGGCGCCGCCGCCATGGGCCTTGCGTCGACGCTCTCGATCTTGATCGCTGGCCGCTTCCTTGTCGGCATTGCCATTGGCGTCTCGTCCATGACTGGTACATCACCATACAGCTATCAACCTCACCTTGCTGGTCACAGTTCCCGTGTACATTGCCGAAGCATCCCATCCAGGTATGACCCTCTACGACATGATGGCAAAGCATATAATGCCGTATTGCATGATGACTGTTTAGCCTCGCGCGGGACTCTAGTGTCTCTCAACACGCTCATGATCACGGGCGGTCAATTCGCCGCCAGCGTCTTCGACGGCTTTCTCAGCACGACGCCGCAAGGCTGGCGCTACATGCTCGGTCTCGTCGCGATCCCGTCCGTGCTTCAATTCATTGGCTTCCTCTTGCTGCCAGGTAGAAGACCTCCCCAACGACGACACCAAACGATGCTGTAGAGAGTCCACGCTGGCTCAATGACAAGGGGTTCCGCGCCGAGGCCCAAGACGCGCTACTGCAAATTCGCGGCTCGGGCGACATCTACGACGAGTGGGAGCTCATGGTGGCCGAGGCCGACGCGTCGGATGCGCGCGAGAAGCACTTTGTGTCCGACCTCAACACACCCGCCGTGCTAAGAGCCCTCACCCTGGGCTGTGGTCTTCAAGTACGTTTGGCGTCTGAAATGTTACAGGACGACGCCTTCTTGTGTAGATTTTGCAGCAGCTCTGCGGGATCAACACGGTCATGTACTACGGCGCCACCATTGTCCAAATGGCCGGCTTTACCGACCCGTCGACCGCGATCTGGCTCGCGGCGGTCGTAGCTTTTAGCAACTTTGCCTTTACATTTGTCGGTATCTTCCTCGTCGACCGGTACGTTTTTCTGGTCATCGTCGTCGCAGAAGATGCCAACGTGGTCCGACTAGGGCTGGGCGCCGGCCGACGACGCTCTGGAGTCTTGCCGGCGTCGTGCTCACGCTCACTGCCCTTGGCACGGCCTTTCACCTCGCCGAGTCGGTGTCGATCCCGGTGCATGGTCTCGGCGCCTGTGCTTCGCTAAGCACGTGCTTTGACTGCGTCGCCAGCCCTGGCTGCGGCTACTGCGCCGCCACCCAGACGTGTCTTCCAGGCTCGGACGTCACGCCGCTCGACTCGTTTCTTTGTGAGAGCAAGCGCCTCAACTGGTCGTTTCATACGTGCCCGACCAAGTCGAGTGTCTACAGCTGGCTCATCGTCGGCGCCATGTTTTCGTACCTTGCGTGCTTTGCGTCCGGCATGGGTGCGTTGCATATATATATTGTATCAAGTAGATATCAAGTTGATGGCATCGAGTAGGCTGCATGCCGTGGACGATCAACGCGGAAATCTACCCCACGAGCGTTCGCAGCGCCGCGATCGGCCTTGCGACAACGTCCAACTGGGTCGCGAACCTCGTGGTGTCGTACACCTTCCTTACGATCACCGAGGCCTTGTCGCCGGCCGGTGCGTTCTACCTCTACGCTGGCATTGCCGCTCTCGGGTTTCTATGGCTCTGCCACGCGCTCCCCGAAACAAAAGGCCTCGCGCTCGAAGACATTCAGCGCATCTTTGCAGACAAGTAACAGTGCCGTATCAACACGTTGATACGCTATGGCTGCGTTGTCTTGGCACCCAGCGGCTCGGGAAACACGCGGTCCTTGAGCCACAGAAAGAACGCACAGGATGCCGGCACAGTGCCCGCGCAAATGTAAAAATACTCGCCGTGACGAGCCTTGGATGGCTTGTTCACGGTGCGCAAGACGGCGCGCTTCTTGCAGTGGCAGAGCGGCGAGTCCGTCATGTAGAGAGACCGAAGCATGCGAAAGGTCAAGTTGATGCGCGCGTCGTGGGCGTCGGCGTGCCACTTGACTTGGTGTGGCCGCACCGGCGGCACCTCGTGTCGGTACAGCTCCTACACCGCGATACGTTGATACATTGATACAATGTTGAGACCACTGACTTGAAACGGAGGCAACATGATCAAGAGCGAGTTGTGGGGCAGCGTGAGATTGAACGTTTGCGCCGGCGTGTGCTCGGTCGGAAGGCGTTTGATGCGAAAGACGCGCTCGGCGCCAAGCGTCAGCGACGCGATCGTCGGTCGTGGCCCGAGGTCCGTGAGTGCGTCCGAGTGCGCGCCGACGCTCTGGTCGTGCGACTTGTAGCAGTTGGCGAGCGCCACGTTGGCTGCCCAATCATGCGCCGCCTCGAGCGCATGACGCGGCCTCGTCGCGAGCAGGTTGTTGACCGCTGCGTCCACGCTCGTCTTGGCAGCCAAGAGACGCGGCGAAAACGGTGACGACTCGACTTGATCGCTGTACATGGTCGTGCCGGGCACGGTTGCGTCGAGCTTGTAGAGCCGCGAGACGTGCGGTGAGAGCACCTCTAGCCAGATGCTATGGATCGGTCGGGCATGGTATCGGAAAACGTGCAATACCTCGCTCAAAGATGACCCATTTGATCGTGTGCCAGGTAGCTGCGTCCGCCAGCATCTCGTGTAGCAGCGCGTTGGCTTGGTCGGGTGGCAAGAAGCTGGTAGTCAGTGCCAGCGGCAAGCCCGCCGCCGCCAACGTGGCCGGCGTGAGTGTGATCGGGCGCTGCGCCTCCTTGGCGGGATCCCAGTGCTGGAGCTGCGCGATCGGTCCCGACGTCGAAGGCGGCGCTACGTTCTTGAGGCGAATGTCGGGCGGTGGCGCACCAAAGAGCTCGCGGATATCGGTCGTCCGCTTGCGCTTCTTGACGCTGCTGGGTTGGCGCGAGAGGAGGCGGTCAATGGCGCCGTCGAGACTCTTGGCCTGGACGAGCGCGTCACCGACGACGCACGCGTCCTCGGCTGGGAACATCTCGATGAGCTGGGCGAGATGCGTGCCAAAGGTAGCCTCGTCGTCGTCGTCCATAATGGATTTTGCGTCAACGTAACTGTCGCATTGTATAAATACGATTGTTTTGTGCCTCTTGATGTTTGTATGTAGAATCAAATACGCCATCAATGCGACCGGGCGCGAACGCCAGGTTGACTCAGTTGGCGCGAAATTGCACTTTCGGGCCCCAGCCGCGCAGTTTCCAAGAGCTTCTGCTTGATGAAGGGCGTTGTCGGTAGCAACAAGGTGCTCTGGCGCGGCAAGTCGGTGACCCTCCACGGTACTAAACACGTGGCAGACGAGGCAGCTCACGAACGATGGGATAGATATTCGCGTCTACAAGCTCATTAGCCGGGTGTGTGGCCGTTTTGTGTGCGATGCGGCCCAACACGACGTGCTAGATCCCAGCAGGCAAGGTCGCCACGTATGGCAGCGTCGCCAAGGCGATCCAGTCGGGCCCGCGCGGCGTCGGCCAGGCGCTTCGGGTAGGCGACGTGCGGCGCCAACGGCACCTCAGTAGGCTGCGTCTTAGCGCAATCCATTTGCGCCCGACGTGCCTTGCCACCGCGTAGTGAGTGCGACGCGGTGCTTGCACGGCTTTCGCGGGTCGCTCGACCCGACGTGCCACGATCTGCAGGACAAGCACGCGTTGCTCGTGGGCGAAGGCGTCTCGATCGTCGACCACAAGGTACAGAGTGCGTTCGTTCTCGAGATGACGACTCGACGATGGCATATATTTGCATTAGGTCGATGTTGGTTGCATGTACATGTTCACGCCCGACGATGTCGCGTCGCTGCAAGACGATGCGATCGATACGTGTCACTAGCACGCTTTGATAAGTGCAAGAACCTTTTGCATCCACAATGTCTTACATTTCGGACGTCGAGGCGACTGCGGGCAAGCTGGAACGCTGGCTGCTGGAACGTCCCGAGACTGCATCTAACACACGTGGCAGCGTGAGCGCGCGTTTTGTGTTCCGCAGCCCGACTTGAGTCCAAACCAATGGAAGACGCCGAGCTTGGTTTTGCAGCGCGGACACGTGATCTTGCCTTGCTCGCCCTGCCGCATTTCGCTAACTACGTGTGACATGCAAGATGACGAAGTCTACCTGCGTCTCGAGATGCATCCACGGCATCGGCTCGACGTACAGGCCATCGCACATGGCCGCGGCTACCGTCCCAAAGAATGCCGTGTACACGTGTGCATGGCAGCAGAACACATACCGTGTAGGCTGCTGTGATGATGCTCCACCTATTCACAGGCGACGTCGTAATCTCGTGGGCAGGCCGCAGCGTGTACTGCATTAAGGGTCGTGCAGAGGAGCTGATTGCATTTCTTGCAAAAGCACTTGGTGCTACCGCTGGTCGCGAGTTCAAACGGCAAGAGCCGCACCGCGTACGTGTTGCGCTTGTGCTCGTGTGCGCACATGGTGCGGTACTAAGCCAGAAACGCGACCGTGGACGAGGAGGGATAAGTCGGGAGGTACCGTAGCGTGGGCGACCGAGTGGCCCGTGAGCGAGCACTGCATCGCATCAAAGAGCTCGAGCTGGCGGAGGAATCCCGCGTTGATGTAAATGCATGGGCGCGCCGCTTGGACGATCGCGTATGCGGCGGGAAAGCGCAGTCCGTCGAGCTGCATGAGAAAGGCGACGCAAATGGCCGCGCTGCGCGACTGCCCGTACGCGCAGTGGACGAGCACGTTGCCGCCAGCCGCCAAGCGCGCGTGCAAGAAGGCGTAGCATGCAGGCAGATGCTCGAGCAAGAAGGCGTCTTCCATGTCGACGATGGCAATGCAAAGGACATCGTGGAGCGGCGAGAGATTGCCCGTGCCCAGCGCGATGATGGCCGTGATACCATGCGCCGATGGGTTGGCGGCTGCGTCCGCGTGGCCCACAAAGAGCTGCCCGGGCAGCGAGCAGGGCACGGCGGCGAGGTCTGCGCAGGCAGAGACGGGCGGGTGGCGCCGCTGACTGGCTTCGAGTTCCCGCCACATGCCGTAATCGAATGGACTTTGCACAGAAATAATACCACTCCCTCATTCAATTCCAAATGCATTGCAGTGAGGGAGTTGCCCTTCAAGAATCGCCTTGTGGGTGGAAAGGGTGGCACTTGAACGGTGGCGACCGGCAATCCTCCTCGAACGCCAGCGAGGCTCTCTTTTCTGTAATATAATAGCACTACAGATAGATAACTCGACGGATGTCGTCTTGGCGCGCAAGGATGGAGGAATGATCGATGCACAAGTGGTCAGCGGCGACAAAAATTGGTTGGTTCTCGCAGCCTTTTCGGGTGCGGGATTTCTCCGATTCTCCGACTACTGCGTCTCGGCCCAGCAGTGGAGCTACTCCATCTCGCACAGTCTCGACGCTGGCCTCTCAGCCCCGCGCCTCTGCCTCGCAGACGTTCGTCCAAGATACACTTCGAGGAATCGAGAGAGAAAGGACAGTCGCAACGCAGTGGTCGCAACGTTCGAATTCGGGCCAAAGCCTGCAAGACAGACAGTGTACGCGATCTGCGACACGCTGCGCCACCAACGAGCTGACGCGACGACGGTGGGTCGTCGTCATCGCCTTCTCACCTCCATCGGGCGTCAAATACGTGTACTACCTCAAGCCCACTGCGTCGTTATTAGCGTGGCGCTCAACCCGGTATTTAATCAGTCGATGTTTGTACTAAAGACTACTAGTACATTGTAGTCGGTGGCGCCTTTGCTGTTTGTCCATCAAAAAGTATCTTTTTCGTTGCGTGCACGCAATTGGCGGCTCTCTCGTGGTCTCATTACTCATGGGCTATTCTTTAATAACAATTTTGCACTTAGTGTTTCTAGGGAATTGTTAATGCGAGTGTGTAGTTGCCTGACGGTCGCGCCGCGTTAAGTGCCCGATTACCAATAAAAAAGATTGCATTTACATTACGATGTTGTATGCTGAGACAGGGAAGCGTATTTAATTGGATTTGGCCCACCGCGTTCGACAACGAGTTGCCCATTTCCGTCGTCCAAGCCCCATTGCCGACGTCCGTCGCCGTGCATAGAGACGCCGTCTGCCAGAGATGGACGACGAGAGGAGAGGAGACGACGCGCAGGTGCCAGACGGCCATGGCGCTCGCGCCCCGAGGCAATGGCGCCCGCGCACCGGGCGAGCCAGCGCCGCAGTCGTCGCCGGCGTCCGAGGACCAGTACCGCATCCGCATCTCGTCGATCGAAGGCTCGTCCGATAGCTCGCTCGGGTCTCGCCGATCCTTGCCGCGCATCTCGGCCAACTCGGACAAGTCGTCGCTCTGTGGCTCGTTCATCAAGCCGACAACGCCTCTGTCGCCGGACGAGGCGCACCTCTGGAGCCTCCACGACGACGACGCGT